TTCTTACAGAACACAATAAAACACATCAGGGAGCTGACACATTGCATAAGAGCGTGAGTCAGACATTAGTGGGACAAAATTTATACACAACAATAAAACAAGTAACTTAACGTTGCCAAGAAAGTCAAGCGCCTGGTACGGCCCACTGACTACTACCCGCTACTGGTCTTTCAGGCTGGTAGCGATGAAGTAGCAACAAGAAGTCCGAAGGCGATCAAAAGAGACTTTAGGGATTTGGGGCGACAACTTAGAGGTTCAGGCGCGCAGGTTGTGTTTGCCTCTGTCCTTCCGATAGGGGGGATCGAAGCAGAAAGGTGTGCTGTTCGCATAAACTCGTGGCTTCGAGACTGGTGTGACCGGCAGAACTTTGGGTTCTTTGATCACGGGAAGGTCTATGCTACACCGGGCCTGATGGCACCGGATGGGAAGGGCCTCTCTCGGAGAGGGGTAAGGATCTTTGGTCAGGAGTTGGCAGGGCTGATAGATAGGGCTTTAAACTAGAGTCGAAGGGGGAAGGGGCTAAAACCAGGCACGCCGGTGAAGACCTAAGGGATGGTACGCTAGAATCAGAGGGGCTGTGTGCCAGTGAGGTCCTTCGGTTAGATCCACAAGGTGCTGAGTGTAAGGAGACGCACCTGAAATGCTTCTACACGAACGCACGCAGTATGAGGAATAAAATGGATGAGCTAGAAGTACTGGCCCAGTCCCGCAACTACGACATCATCGGCATAAGCGAAACCTGGTGGGATGAGTCCTGTGACTGGGGTGTTGCGATAGATGGTTACAGGCTCTTCAGGAGGGACAGGCAGGGTAGGCGAGGTGGTGGGGTGGCGATGTATGTGAAGCAGGGGCTGGACTGTGTGGAACTTCAGGTCGGCGATGGCAAAGTTGAGAGCCTCTGGGTAAGGATCAAGGGACGAACGAATAAAGGGGATGTTGTTGTGGGAGTCTATTACAGACCGCCTGGCCAGGACGATAGCACCGATAACTTATTCTTTACAGAACTAAGAGAGGCCTCGAGATTAACTCCCCTTGTCCTTATGGGGGCCTTCAACTTGCCAGACATTAACTGGGAGTGCCACACGGCTGACACGAGCAAGTCCAGGAGGTTCATGAAGCACCTAGATGATAACTTCTTGGTGCAGGTGCTAACGGAGCCAACTAGGAAAGGTGCCCTCCTAGACCTGTTGCTAGAAAACAGAGAGGGTCTGGTGGGAGATGTGGTGATTGGTGGCCGCCTCGGTCATAGCGACCATGAAGTGGTTGAGTTCAAAATTTACGGTGACAGAAGAAGTGCCACCAAAACCTCATCCCTAGATATGGGGAAGGCGGACTTCAGGCTGCTCGGGGAACTAGTCAGCAAGGTCCCCTGGGAAGCTGCTCTTGAAGGCCTTGATGTCCACCAGTGCTGGTCACTCTTTAAGCGATGCCTCCTAGAAGCACAAGATCAGCCAATTCCTAAATATCGCAAGTCAGGCAGGCGGGGCAGGAGGCCGGCGTGGCTGACCAGGAACATTCTAATCGAGATTAGGCAGAAACAGAGAGTGTTTCGCTACTGGAAGGAGGGCCAGGTGACATGGAAAGAATACAGGGATGCTGTTCGTGTCTGTAGGAAGAAAATTCGTGTGGCTAAAGCACACCTAGAGTTGAAGCTGGCTGTGTCTGTGAGAGAAAATAAAAAGGGTTTTTTTAGATATGTGAATGGAAAAAGGAGAACTAAAGAATACATAGGGCCGCTCCTTGATAGGGAAGGTCTTCTCACAGACGGTGACATAGGCAAAGCAGAGACGCTTAACGCCTTCTTTGCCTCTGTCTTCAATGCCGATGATGGGCTTCGGGACCCAGGGTGCCCTGAGCTGGAGGACCAGGACGGTGGGGATGACAAACTCCCAACCGACCCTGAACGTGTGCGGGATCTGCTACTCCACCTGGATCCCTACAAGTCCATGGGTCCGGATGGGATTCATCCCCGGGTGCTGAAGGAGCTGGCGGACGTCATCGCGGAACCTCTCTCAATTATTTTTCAACGATCCTGGGAATCTGGAGAGGTCCCGGTAGACTGGAAGCTGGCAAATGTTGTGCCGATTTTCAAGAAGGGTCAGAAAGAAGACCCTAGCAATTACAGGCCTGTCAGTCTCACATCAGTGCCTGGTAAAATCATGGAGAAGATGGTTCTAGAACTTATTGAGGCGCACCTGGGGGACAATGCAGTCATTGGTCCCAGCCAGCATGGGTTTGTGAAGGGTAGGTCCTGCCTAACTAACCTGATTTCCTTTTATGATAAGATCACCCGTATGGTGGACCAAGGGAAACCAGCTGATGTGATTTTTTTGGACTTCAGCAAGGCTTTTGACACGGTTTCCCATAGGATCCTACTGGACAAAATGTCCACCATACAGCTAAATAAAAACATCATACGATGGGTGAGCAATTGGCTAATGGGCAGGGCCCAAAGGGTTATGGGGCTGCGTCAGGCTGGCGGGCGGTCACCAGTGGGGTCCCTCAAGGCTCCATTTTAGGGCCGGTACTTTTCAATATTTTTATAAACGATCTGGATGTAGGAATAGAAGGCATTTTGAGCAAGTTTGCTGATGACACCAAACTTGGAGGAGTTGTGGACTCTGTTGAGGGTGGAAAGGCCTTGCAGAGGGATCTGGATAGGTTGGAGAGCTGGGCGATCGCCAACCGCATGAAGTTCAATAAGAGCAAGTGCCGGGTCCTGCACCTGGGACGGGGAAACCCTGGCTGCACGTACAGACTGGGCGACGAGACGCTGGAGAGCAGCCTAGAAGAGAGGGATCTGGGGGTCGTGGTAGACAGCAAGTTGAATATGAGCCAGCAGTGTGCCCTAGCAGCCAGGAGGGCCAACCGTGTCCTGGGGTGCATCAAGCACGGCATCGCTAGTAGGTCAAGGGAGGTGATTGTCCCGCTCTACTCTGCGCTGGTGCGGCCTCACCTTGAGTACTGTGTGCAGTTCTGGGCACCACAGTATAAAAAGGACATGAAACTGTTGGAGAGTGTCCAGAGGAGGGCTACGAAGATGGTGAAAGGCCTGGAGGGGAAGACGTACGAGGAACGGCTGAGGGCACTGGGCCTGTTCAGCCTGGAGAAGAGGAGGCTAAGGGGAGACCTCATCGCAGTCTACAACTTCCTCGTAAGGGGGTGTCGAGAGGCAGGAGACCTTTTCTCCATTAACACCAGCGACAGGACCCGCGGGAACGGGGTTAAGCTGAGGCAGGGGAAATTTAGGCTTGACATCAGGAAAGGGTTCTTCACAGAGAGGGTGGTTGCACACTGGAACAGGCTCCCCAGGGAAGTGGTCACTGCACCGAGCCTGTCTGAATTTAAGAAGAGATTGGACTGTGCACTTAGTCACATGGTCTGAACTTGGGTAGACCTGTGCGGTGTCAAGAGTTGGACTTGATGATCCTTAAGGGTCCCTTCCAACTCAGGATATTCTATGATTCTATGATTAACAATGTAGCATCTGTTTACGTAACAACCCCAATACCAGGAATAGAATAAAATTTGGAATAATCGGTAAAGGAAACTATCTGGGACAACAGTGGTAAATTGATTTTTTCAGAACTCCCTAGAAAAGGGGGGTATTGTTATTTACTGGTTCTGACTGACACATTTTCAGGATGGCCCGAAGCTTTTCCCTGTCGAACAAAGCAAGAGAAGTGGTTAAAGTCTTTTTAAATGAAATAATACCACACTATGGGATTCCAGTAGCAATGTCTTCTGATAGAGATTCACATTTTTGTGCACAAGTGGTACAACAGATAAGTAAGAACCTAAAGATATATTGGCAACTACATACTCCTTATAGACCGCAGGCAAGTGGACAGGTAGAAAAAATGAACCATTTAATTAAACAACAAATAGCTGAAATCGGACAAGAGGCTTATTTGTCATGGCTTCAATCCCTCCCTTTAGCATTACTCAGAATTAGAGTTAAACCCAGAGTAAAAGAGAATTTGAGCTGCTTTGAAATCTTATATGGAAGGCATCAATTTCTATTTAGTGGAGAGGATCTAATGCAGCTGGGATCAGAATATTTATATACTGATGTAACTGAACTTCAAAAACAGTTAAATAAAGTACATAAATTTGTGTTAGGGACCAGGGCTAGAGGGTTGGATCAACCAATCCACCCCTTTAAGCCTGGGGAATATATATATATAAAGACTTTTTCAGGACAACCCCTAGAGGAAAAATGGAATGGACTGTATCAAGTGTTGCTGACAACTTACACTGCTATCAAGATTAGAAAACAAGCTGCTTGGATCCACCATTCTCGAGTGAAGAAGGCTGCAGGAGCTCCTTGGAAAGTAACACTAGGTGACAATGAACTGAAACTAAAGCTTAGTCGAACAAAATGAGAACATTGTAGTTGGGAATATTTGGTAATACAGTTGGCAGAAAATTTGTTGATAGAATTGTTTTGTTTCTATGGTGTATAGTTTCTATGGCTTTGACCTTTAAATCAATATACATGAACACAGAGCCCTCTACCTCCTCCACCAGGTTTTCTGGTTACTTCTTTTCTGGTAGGGCTTACACGGATTGTGGTGATCTCCCCACCTGGGGATGTTTTTGCAGCATCATCCGGTTACGATGGAGGGGGTGGAAATATTCCGGTCATCCTCCACCTCCGTCAGCTGCAGGAATTGGGCCAGAGGTTTCCTGCTTACACCTCTAGCCCCGTCTGCCTGCAGTCCCTGCTGTGTGGCTGCTCGTTGTTCCTGCCACAGCGGGACCGCGATTGTGGGGGTGGCAGGGGAAGGGGACGGGAGCATCCCAGCAGTGCAGAGCTCCAGCCCCGGCTCCGGGGTGGAAGGCGTTTAATGGCTGCTCGTTCTTCTTCCCATCTCGTCCCATGCCCACCTTCCAGGGGTCCCCAACATCGTGACTGCCACAGCTCTGCCTCCAAGGAGCAGCCACTAGATGGACCTCGGGATTCACCATGTGCTCTCGTGGGCAACGGGAGTGTTTTCCAGCACCCTTGGTGCTGGAGGCGCAGCCACCCCATACATTTAAAAACTGAGCCATTACATTTCGGTTTGTGGACACCGAGCCTGGCTCCAGGAAAAGCCTCCTGAGCCTGATGAGCCCTGCTCTTGTCTGGGGGAGGAAGACAGCGCAGACGGTTTGTTTGTGAGAAAGGATTGGTGGCGAGAAGTACTCAAACTAAAACGCCCTTCATTGGGAGGAGCTTTTTTTGCCTTACTTGGTCAGTTCAGTAACTTTCTGTTTCTGTTCTTGGCGACCAATGACTTTGCACATGATCTAGCTCCTAACCGGCTCGTACACGGTCATTTGTTCAACAGAGCTGGTTTGCATGTCACCGAAATCCCCTCCTACTCCCGCTCCCACTAAATGCTGCCGAACTTCACAGGCAGCTGCCACACTTCAGCCACTGCACCTACAGAAGAAGACCTGTCACTGTCAGAAGCTGCAAAGTTCAGACTCGGGGACAAAAGCGCACAGGTGCCTCTGGTGAGTTGTCTGAAATGCTGCTACTGTCATTCCAGGGAGAAAAAAGAAAAAAAGGTTGTAATGCCTGCTTTCAGGGAGGGGGTTATTACTTCCTTAAGTAAAGTTCAGGGAGTCTTTGTCTTCCAGGTGAGAACAGAAAGTCCCTGGAGAATGGAAATCCTGATTGCATTTCTGTAAGGGTGATTTAACAAACTCCTTGTCTTCAGGAGTGTCTGTTCTGGTAGCACTCGCTGGGTCCTCACAGGAGCGTTGACTTCACAAGGGTGTCTGCACCATAGGAATATCAAAAGGGTGAAAAAGTTCTCTGACCTGCCTTAAAGTGTCTAGGAAGAAATTGACTCATTTAAGTTACAATCAAGCTTTTAAATATATTTCCCCCTAAGCGTGCCATATGAACCTTTCACATACTTTCTGATTACTGAAGCCATTCTTAATTTTTTCCTTGTTTTGTGGACAGAACAGTCTTCTTGGGGGTGTTACAATGTAGTACCCGTCCTAGCTTTTTGTTTTAGCTGTGGTTTGTTCTACACGCCTGTTCTGTTGTGGGATTTCCCAGCTGACACGGGTTCTAGTTGTTTCATTGCACATCTGTTTCTTACTGTGATGCCGAGCCCCGGAGGCTCAAACGGAGGCTGGTTGGTGCAACCCAGGGCTCGGCAGGGCACGAGCATCTCTCAGCTCAAATGAAGGGCTCAGGTACCCATGGGTCTGGGTGGATCATCTGCTTGGACTGGGGTGCCACGTGTGGTTAGGTGATAAAAGCATTGTTCTCGTGCTGGCAAGGAACAGAAAGCAGAGAGCTGAGGACACGGTCAGGGGCAAGACGTGAACTATATTGCACCTGGCCCGATCACTGTGACCTGAGGAGGTAAGAGGCAAGCACAGCAGCCTCTGCTGGAGCCATGCGAAGTGAGCGGTCTGTGCACCGGGTGGCTCTGAAGGGTCTCGGCATTTGGGGGTACTTTAGGAACTGCTAAGCCTGAGCAAGCTGGCAGGGAGGCAGAGGAAAGACAGCCGAGAATTGGTGTGGCTTTGCTGTGGATGGGGTAATTCCTCCAGTAATGACTGAATTATTTAGTGACGTGATTTTAGTTTACTTTGAGTAGTGTATAGTCTGTGCTTAGTTTTGGAGCAGTTTATCTTGCTGAAATCACTCGAGGCAGAGTCCAGAGCTGAAACAGGGGCAGGAGACGTGACAGCTGGCACCCATGGCATGATCAGTGGCTGGGACGGACCCTGCACACTGCTCGGGGCTGGGACAGACCCCGCACACCGCTCAGGCTCAGGGCTGGAGGTTCAGGTGCCGGATGAGGGCACTGAACTGACCGTGATTCTGGGCAGAGGCTCCTGCTCCAGTTGGGGGCCGTGCACGTCCTCTGCGAGCTCTCAGGTTTCCCAAAGCACTGCAAGGGTTGCCAGTGACTGATCTGAGTTCCCCTGCCAGCTCCTCGTTCCCCAAGGCATCGGGATCCCCTCCCAAGCTGAGGAGGAGGAGCAGCCCTTGCCCGGGCTGTCCCCATCTGCCACCACGGTGCAGCGAGGCCCAGCCACGCTCCCCTGCCCCTGCAGTCCCTGCTCCTGGGCTGTGCGGGGCTGGCAGAAACGTGCCCTGCCCCTGGCACGGGGTGCGGGGCTGCCAAACGCTGCTCCCTGCCTCACGGGGTGCGCAGCCATCTTGTGGGTGCGTGTGTTTACCCTCGGCTGTACAACCACTTCCTGCATGCACACACAGCAGGCAGCACGCACACACCGGGTGTGTCAGCGACCCTCATCGTGACCATCATCGGCCTTGTTATCCGCCATGGGGGGAGCACGGGAGACTTTGGCAAACCTTGCTCAAAATCCCTTATTCTTCTTTCAGGCTTCCCCTCGGAGTGAGCTCAAAATGGAAGACGCTAAGATGGAAGGTGAGCGCCTTACCCACTGCACGCAGCAGCTTAGAGTCCCATGGTCACAGAGCCACAGAGTGGCTGCCCCCAGCCCCATCCAGCCTGGCCTTGGGCACTGCCAGGGATGGGGCACCCACAGCTCCTGGGGACAGCCTGCGCCAGGCATCACCACCCTCATAGTAAAGAATTTCTGCCTCGGATCTAACCAAAAACCACCCTCTTCTACCTTAAAGCCGTCACCCCGTGTCCTATCCCTATACCCGCTGCCCAAGAGTCCCTCCCAGCCCTCCTGCAGCCCTTGCAGGCACTGAGGGCTGCTGTGATGTCTCCCTAAAGCAGAATTTCACAGAATTTCTGGGCTGGGAGAGACCTCAAGATCATTGAGTCCAACCTCTGATGTGACACTAACAGTCCCCACTAAACCATATCCCTAAGCTCTACATCTAAACGTCTGTTAAAGACTTCCAGGGATGGTGACTCCACCACTTCCCTGGGCAGCCTGTTCCAATGTTGAACAACCCTTTCAGTAAAGAAGTTCTTTCTAACATCCAACCTAAAACTCCCCTGGTGCAAACAGCCTTCTCCTTTAGCAGCCTCCTCATTCAGTCAGCCGGGCGCAGTGCTGCTGAGGGTGAGGCTGGGTTTGCGTCCTCGTGCAGCCTCACGCACGCTTGTGCACGCGGTGCACAGGCCCTCTGGGGAGGCCACGGGCTCGAGGATTTCCCGAGGCTGCCTCTCCTCTTCCCACTCCTTAGGCTGTGCTGTGCCAGGCTCAGGGCACATGGGGCAGCAGCCGTTGGTTACAGCCGGAGGCACAGCGCAGGGTGCAAAGTCCTGCCCCAAAACTTCGCTATCTGTGTGCCTGAGCCAGCTCTGGCCCTGCTGGGGCCGTGCAGGGCAGGCCGAGGGCCTGCGGTGATCCAGCACAGAATCCAGTGGGTGTTTTTTGCTCAGCACGTGACTTCTTGTAAAGGAAGTGCTTCAGCCCAGCTGTTTGAGCACTCTGTGCATTCCTGGGCTGCTGGAGAGCTGCAGCATGCACTTCTGCTTTCTCTTTCTGCCTTTGGAAGAGGTCTGGGTGCTGGCCCTCTGAGGCAGCCTTATCCAGACTCCCCTGGGGTCCCTCTTGTTGCTCCTGATGGTCCCCGGGGACCGCTGCTGGGGCCGCTAACCCTAATTCCTGTGTTTTTGCAGTAAAAACCCTTTCCTTCTCACCCCTGGGAGTGTGGCGTGCAGGGGGTGTCCCGGCACCACAGGGCCGTGGGGTTCAGACACGTGTCTCTGGTTGTTCCCCCAGGACCCAAGCTGAACATCCTGCTCGTGGGCAAAACTGGAAGTGGGAAGAGTGCGACAGGGAACACCATCCTTGGCAAGAGAGCATTTGAAACTATGGTGTCAGTTGATTCAGTAACCAAGAGCTACAGTGCAGAGAGTGCCTCATTCCGTGGAAGAGACATTACCGTTATCGACACTCCTGGCTTTTTTCACACCCAGAGAGCCAATAAGGAAACAGCTGAACTGATTGGAAATGCTCTTCGTCACTTCTATGGAGGGGTGCATGCTATCATCCTGGTGATGCAACTGGCCGATACCAGTAAAGAAGAGGTGGAAGTGGCTGAGTGGGTGACAAAGATTTTCCATACTGAAGCACAGAAGTACACGATCCTGTTATTCACCCGAGCAGAAGATCTTGGGAGTCCAGATGATATCCGCGATTTCGTGGAAAAAAGCACGTACCTCAGTGGGATTGCAGAAAAATGTGGAAATAGGTACATTGCTTTCAGCAACATAGCAGCAGAGCAGAGAAGGAAACAGCAGGTTGCAGACCTCATTAAAATGATTGATGCGATGGTAGAGAAGAACAAAGATGCTCCGTGTTACACGCGAGAAATGCTGGAGGAACATACACGGACGGCTTTTGGAAAGTATTGTACCATACTCTAGCCAACAAGGCTTTGGTCAGACGGGCGATGTTTCCTCTCTTGTGCCTTTCCTGCCGCGCTCTGAAGATCACTCTCTCCTTCCTCTCCTGATGTTTCCTCCTGTCCCGTCAGTGACCTACCTTTTCCCCTGGCCCGTGCCATTGCTCTCCTGACAGGCTGCGAGAGTGCAATGGGTGTCTGGCGACGTGTAATTCTCCTCTGCTGCTCTGTTGTGCTGGGAAGCCGGAGACCTTGGCTGGGTGGCAGAGAGCTGCACTGCCCTGCTGCAGCACCACTGCGCTGACTCTCTCCTCCCTGGTCTGAAGACACGGCAAGCTGAAAGCAATGGGAACATAAGGACTGTGAGATGTGCCCCCTCAGACCAGAGATCAGCCTGGAGTGCTGCTTCCGAGATCAAAGCCTCTTGTCGTCCCCGTGGCAGCCAGGGCTCTAGGAACTTCTCCGGGCTTCGGGAGGGTTCGTGGTGCCAGCCTTGGTCCCTCTGCAGTGGGATGCTGCTGGTGTCACTGGCTGTGCTGCCCCTGCCTTCGCTGGGCAATGCGAGTACTTGTATGTGATCGCTGGGTCTACAGAAACTCATCTAATAAATGCCCATAAATGCCCATAAATGCTGAGCCTTGCTGTGTGGAGAGACGCCCTTCAGTGCACTGTGACCCGCAGTGCTGAAACAGCTGTTTGGGAGGGTGGAGAATGGTCCGGGTGCATTCAGGATCAGGCCCAAGCTGCAGCTCCTCCCAGGCTGGGGTTTGGTGGTGGCCATGAGCTGTGCAAGGGCGCGAGGTCTCACTGCTTGCCAGGTGAGTGCAGCAGGCACGGGAAGCTCTGTGGCCATACCTGAGCGTGGGGCTGGGGGAGTGCTCAGGGGGGCTGCCTGACTCACCCCAGGTTCTTCTCCCACCCAGAAAGGCTGCGGAAAGCAGCCTAGGAGGGGGGAGGAATCCCAGAACGCCAGGCTGACCTCTTCCTCAAGCGATCACAGTGAGAGAAACTGCTTCAGAGCTAAACACAGACCGTGCATCTCTGCAATTAAATATCTCTGAGGTTGAATTGTTACTGGAGGAAATACCAGAGTTAGTGTAACAGCTGCGTTGTAGGTAGTGCTGTATGGGAATCAGTGTATGTAAATGTACCACTGACCTCCAGTGGCATAAGCAGTATCATTGCTATCCTAAAACCATCCCAGCATGTCCTGAAGGCATCCGGTGCTTACTCCTGGCTGCCCCCATCCCTCTGCATGATGAGAGGAATCACAGAATCCCAGAACCATCTAGACTGGAAGAGCCCTCCAGGATCACCCAGTCCATCCTCTGAGCTAACACTAACCAGTCCTCCACTAAACCATATCACAGAATCACAGAATTTCTAGGTTGGAAGAGACCTCAAGATCATCGAGTCCAACCTCTAACCTAACACAAACAGTCCCCACTAAACCATATCCCTAAGCTCTACATCTAAACGTCTTTTAAAGACCTCCAGGGATGGTGACTCCACCACTTCCCTGGGCAGCCCGTTCCAGTGCCTAAAAACCCTTTCAGTAAGGAAGTTCTTCCTAACATCTAACCTAAAACTCCCTTGGCGCAACTTTAGCCCATTCCCCCTTGTCCTGTCACCAGGCACGTGGGAGAACAGGCCAACCCCCACCTCACTGCAGCCTCCTTTAAGGTATCTGTAGAGAGCGATAAGGTCGCCCCCGAGCCTCCTCTTCTCCAGGCTTAACAAGCCCAGCTCCTTCAGCCGCTCCTCATAGGACTTGTTCTCCAGGCCCCTCAGCAGCTTCGTCGCCCTTCTCTGGACCCGCTCAAGCACCTCGATGTCCTTCTTGTAGCGAGGGGCCCAAAACTGAACACAGTACTCGAAGTGCGGCCTCACCAGAGCCGAGTACAGGGGGACGATCACCTCCCTAGCCCTGCTGGTCACACAGTTTCTGATACAAGCCAGGATGCCGTTGGCCTTCTTGGCCACCTGAGCACACTGCTGGCTCATATTCAGCCGACTGTCCACCATCACTCCCAGGTCCTTCTCTGCCTGGCAGCTCTCCAACCACTCATCTCCCAGCCTGTAGCTCTGCTTGGGGTTATTGCGCCCCAGGTGCAGGACCCGGCACTTGGCCTTGTTGAACTTCGTGCAGTTGACCTCAGCCCATCGGTGCAGCCTATCCAGATCCTCCTGCAGAGCCTTCCTACCCTCGAGCAGATCGACACACGCACCTAGCTTGGTGTCATCTGCAAACTTACTGAGGGTGCACTCAATGCCCTCGTCCAGATCATTGATGAAGATCAGTGATGGAGATATCACTGAGCTCTAAATCTAAACGTCTTTTAAACACCTCCAGGGATGGTGACTCCACCACTTCCCTGGGCAGCCCATCCCAATGCCTCACAACCCTCTCGGTAAAGAAGTTCTTCCTAATAGCCAACCTAAACCTCCCCGGAGCAACTTTAGCCCGTTCCCCCTCGTCCTGTCACCAGGCACGTGGGAGAACAGACCAACCCCCATCTCGCTACAGCCTCCTTTAAGGAACCTGTAGAGTGTGATAAGGTCTCCCCTGAGCCTCCTCTTCTCCAGGCTGAACAAGCCCAGCTCCCTCAGTCGCTCCTCAAAGGGAAGGGGCAGAAGAAGTGTGTTGGAGGGGTTGGGGGCTGTGTGCCACAAACTGCTGGAGACTCTGAGGGCCCCAACACATTTCCTGGGGGTACGGAATACTTCTGCTGACCTGGAAGAAGGCTTGAAATGCAAGCAGCCCTGTAATAATTCTGCACCGCTTGCTTAGAATGGCAAGAAAATGAGCATTTAACCTGAGGATTACGGCAAAATGCAGGCCCTGTGTGCACCTCCACCTGGGGCGTGTCTCTTGCTGTGTTAAGAGCAGCAGCAGTGGTGTGGGTAGGGGGGGTCGCTACAAGAACAAGCCAAGGCTGGGCCTGCTCCCCTCCTCTGCCACACTTCTCATTTCCAGCCAATTTTTGCATTCAAACACTGGAGCACAGGCAAGGGGGCCCGGGGAAGCACGCTGGGTTAGAAGCAGAGCAGCACTGCGAGGCTCATGCTGAAATGCAGACAGCGAAGTGGACAACTAAGCCCACAGTCACACCTCCAGAGCTGCACGGGATCGAAACCAAGATCTGGGCTGGTGCATGGGTATTTGTAGGCTGCCGAGTGTCCGTGCCAGGAGGCTGGATACTCTCCTGTGCCTGCACCAATGCCGGGCACAGTGGTGCCAGCAGCCATAGTCGTGCTCCAGGCTGCCAGTGCCAACGCTGCCACCAACGCCACTGCCAATGCTGCTGCCACTTCATGGTGGCTGCGAGGGTTCCACGGGGACACTGCCTCTGCTTCAGTGCGGCCACGCTGGGTGTAGATGGTGAGGCCAGCATGGAAGCTGCTTGAAGACATGGGTTGGTGGCGAAACTCTGTGCCACTGGGAGGGTTTCAAGGTGGCCCAGGGCACGCGTGTGCCTGGGTGCTGCAGGAGCCTCATGGGGAGGGTGCTGCTCTCTCCTGCAGCCACCCAGGGACCTGGTGTAGAGGCCATCCCTTTAAAAGATCGAAACCTGAAACCTTTTTCATGGTGATTTGCAAAGCGAGTAACTGGTAAGTGCTTCACATCCGTGAGTTGTACATTAACTTGGCAGTTTGGTTTCACGCTCGGTACATAACCAGTATGTGCTCATTGATTACTGATAAGCTTTTGCTCAGTCAGGCAAAAAAAAAAAAAAAAAAAAGGAAAAGGAAAAGGAGAAATCAATGTCTGGTCAAATAAAATTGTACCTATACGGTATAGAAGAGCGTCAAGTAGGTTGTGAATCTGTAGTATTAAACCAGTGAGGAAACAGGGAGAAATCAGGTGTCGGGAAATAGGGGACATAGGGCTATGGTAAACTTGTGCTGTGCACTCCCGCTTGCAGGATATGAAAAACAAAGTTATGTTTTTGCAGTAGAGAATTACTTTTCTGTATTCCAAGGTAGTTGTGTAGTCATAATAAGGAGAAATGCTAAGTACATGTAGGTAAGTGAACAGTAGAAAGCCTCACTGTTACTAAATAAGGTGGAAGCTTGAGAAAAACAGGATGAGCAGTGTGGGAATAGTAAAACAAAGATCACAGGTTCTTAAAACATAAGAAAAAAAAAAAAAAAAAAGGAAAAGGGAGAAATTAAAGGGTTGAAAGAAAGAAGAATTGTACATGTATGGTATAAAGGAGTGTTGAGTAGCTTGTGAACTTGTAGTACTCGGCCAATGAGGAAACAGGGGAGGCAATGACATGTCGGGTAATGGGGAATAAAAGGTTATGATGTGTTTACTATATTGTGCTCCTAATTGGCAGGACGCCTGCCACTGCAGTCATGAATGAAATAGCTTCACAGAACATCCTGTCTGAAGAAAATTATTTGAGATTTTTCTTACAAGGATGCCCACCATTGCAATCGCGATGGTGGAAAACAGCTTCATGGAAGGTCCCATCTAAGAAAATTATTGAGATTATTATCACACCATCAATAGATAAAAGGGGTTAGGGTGCTTCATCGGGGAACACCACCAAGGACCCCCACAGAAAGGAAGGCATGCGCAGGAGGGCCTGAAAAGGAGCCATAAAGAATGATGCCAAATGAGCACAAAACTCAGGTAGATTAGAATGAATTTGTATTAGATCGCTAGAAGAGTCATGAATTTAATGTCTGCATGTAGCCAGGAAGTCGACATTGGCTGTGCTTGATCTGTGGAAACTGCACCGAGCTCTGAGGCCTGAATAAAAGCAATCTCTCTCCTGAGTGCGTGCGAATGGGCTTATTGCACACCGGGTGAAGGATCATAGAGTCATAGAATGGTTGGGGTTGGGAGGGACCTTAAAGATCATCCAACTCCAACCCCCCTGAAACAGACGAGGCTGCCTCCCCCCAGATGAGGTTGGCCAAGGCCCCATCCAGCCTGGCCTTGAACACCTCCAGGGATGGGGCATCCACAGCTTCTCTTGGCAGCCTGTGCCATTGCCTCACTACACTGACAGTGAAGCGTTTCCTCCTAATGTCTAGCCTGAAACTGTTTTCTTTTAGTTTAAGAGCATTCCCCCTTGTCCTCCACCACCACCCCAGGTCCTTCTCCTCAGGGCTGCTCTCAATCCACTCCCCACCCAACCTGTCTTTGTGCTTGGAATTTCCTCAGCCCAGATTAAGGACCTTGCACTTGGCCTCGTTGAACCTCATGAGGCCCGTACAGGCCCACTTCTCAAGCCTGTCCAGGTCCCTCTGGATGGCATCCCATCCCTGCAGGGTGGCAGCTGCACCACCCAGCTCACTGTTGTCAGCAAACTTGCTGGGGGTGCCTCAATTTCACTGTCCGTGTCACTGATGTTTAAATAGTAGCAGCCCCACTACTGGGAAGAAACAACCCGAAGTATCAGTACATGCTGGGGGATGACCCACTCGAGAGGAGCTCTGAGGAGAAGGACCTGGGGGTCCTGGTGGACCACAGGTTGACATGTGCCAGCACTCTGCCCCTGTGGCCAAGAGGGCTAATGGGATCCTAGCGTGCATTAAAAGGAGTGTGGCCAGCAGGTCGAGGGAGGTGATCCTCCCCCTCTATTCTGCCCTGGTCAGGCCTCCCCTGCAGTACTGTGTCCAGTTCTGGGCTCCCCGGTAGAAGAAAGAAAGGGATCTCCTGGAAAGAGTCCAGCGGAGGGCCACAAAGATGGTACGGGACCTGGAGCATCTTCCCTGTGAGGAGAGGCTGAGAGACCTGGGGCTGTTCAGCCTGGAGAAGAGAGAACTGGACAGGACAAGGGGCAATCACCACAAAAAAGAGCACAGACAGTTCCGCACCAACATGCAAAAGATCTTCGTCACGGTAAGGGTGACGGAGCATTGGAACAGGCTGCCCAGGGAGGTTGTGGAGTTTCCTTCTCTGAAGACATTCAAGGCCCGTCTGGACGCCCACCTGGGCAGCCTGCTCTGAGGAACCTGCTTTGGCAGGGGGGTTGGACCTGATGATCTTTCGAGGTCTCTTCCAACCCCTACAGTTCTGTGATTCTGTGATTCACGGATCCTCCTTCGTGCCCTTCTTGAAGACCGGAGTGACGTTGGCTGTCCTCCAGTGTTCAAGCACCTCTCCTGTTCTCTAGGACCTCGTCTTCCTTTTACTGTTTACATACTTTAAAACAAACAAACAAACAAAAAACGTATTATTATCCTTTATCTCTTTTGGACTCAAAGACACACTTCCCGAGGAGGGTGTTCCCCATGGCCATTTTCCCCCCACCAGCCTTCCCAGCCAGGATCAACCTCATCTCCAAGCCCCCACCGACCCCGGGCTGCATGTGATGGATGGCCACAGACTGGCTGCAGAGACAAAGCAGACACCCAGGGCTCCATCAGCAGGTACCCAGATGCTGGGAGCATCACTGACAGCAGAAGGGATTTTCACTAAAAGCGGGGATGGTTTCGAAGCCTCTGTGTGCCCCCGATGCGGGAAGGGCTCGTGGGCTGCAGCTGGGTCAGGCTGCAGTGGCACCGGGACAGACGGGGTCCCCTGGATCGCACTGCACGGACAGCAGCAAGGAACAGAAATTCAAAATAAAAGCCGGAGCTGTGAGCTGCAAGGAGCTGCTGGTCTGTTTCTTCAGTCTCAGCCTCAGTCTGTGCAGGATTACAGGTGTGGGGGAAGGCAGCATGGTGGCAGGGACCCTCGGGTGGTGGCAGGGACCCTCGGGGCAGTGACACTCATGCAGCCAGGGCCCCGTGTGGGGCTGAGCATGGTGCCCAGGGGCTCCCCTGGGCTGGGGCTGGGGCCATGCCAAGCATAGGAAGTGAGGAGTGGGGAGAAGGGAAAGAGACCAGAGGGGACTGGGGAAGAGCCACTTCCCTGCCCCGCTGCCCTGTGACAGGTCCCCACGCCTCTTCAGAGCCCACCCCACCGGCACGGAGCCTCGTGGCCCCTGGCCTCCCGCCCGTACCTTCCTGCACGTCCTGTGCTGGCGTTCGCCTTGTCCCCATGGGACGCTCACAGCCACCAGGAAGTGACAGCGGTGACGGCCGGTGTCAGCCTGGAGAACTGTGCTCATGCCACAAGGGCAGCACCGGCTCCTCCCGCAACAGCCCCCAGCTTGGTTTCGATTCTGTGCAGCCCTGGATGTTCAGACAGCTCTAACGCTACCTCCTGTACTTCCTCCAGAAACAGTCCGGCCTCAGAGTTATTTAACTCCCGTGATGATCTGTGCTTAGATTTCAAGAAGTTCCTGCTGCTGGTGGGACTGGAGGCAGAGCCCTGACAGAAGAAGGGGCAGGAGACGAAGCAGCTGCAGCCTGCACCGCGGTCAGGGGCTGGGACGGACCCTGCACGCCTCTTAAGTGTTGCAAAGCTTGCAAGTGGCAAATTTTTCTGCCAGTACCTTGTACTTCTTTCTCCCCACACTCGTGGTGCTCCCTGGCTCCGCAGGCACCTGCAGAGCTGGCAGTGAGAGCTCCGACCCCTGCTCCCACACCCCTGGGTAAAGACAGGGATCTCCTGGAAAGAGTCCAGCGGAGGGCCACAAAAACGATACGGAGCCTGGAGCAGCATCTTCCCTGTGAGGAGAGGCTCAGTGACCTGGGGCTGTTCAGCCTGGAGAAGAGAGGACTGAGAGGGGATCTCCTCAATGTATAAAAATATCTGAGGGGTGGGGACAGAAGGACGTAGCCAACCTCTTCTCAGTGGTTTGTGTGGATAGGACAAGGGGCTATGGCTGCAAGTTACAGCACAGGACATTCCGTACTGACATGTGAAGGAACTTCTTCATGGTGAGGGTGACGGAGCATTGGAACAGGCTGCCCAGGGAGGTTGTGGAGTTTCCTTCTCTGAAGACATTCAAGGCCCGTCTGGACGCCCACCTGGGCAGCCTGCTCTGAGGAACCTGCTTTGGCAGGGGGGTTGGACCTGATGATCTTTCGAGGTCCCTTCCAACCCCTACAGTTCTGTGATTCTGTGATTCATGGATCCTCCTTCGTGCCCTTCTTGAAGACCGGAGTGATGTTGGCTGTCCTCCAGTGTTCAGGCACCTCTCCTGTTCTCTAGGACCTCGTCTTCCTTTTACTGTTTACATACTTTAAACAAACAAACAAACAAACAAACAACTTCTTATTATCCTTTATCTCTTTTGCAAGCTTCATCTCTAGGTGGGCTTTGGCCTTCCTTGTCGCATCCCTGCAGGCCCTGACAACACTTCTATACTCCTCCCACACCCTTTTAAGGGGAGTTCCTCTAATTAGACTGCGGTTGGGGTGATGTCCAAACACAACTTGGCAGGGGTCATCCCTTTAAAAGATCAAAACCTGAAATCTTTTTCATGATGATTTGTAATTGCAAAGTGAGTAACTGGTACATTCTTCACATCCGTGAGGTGTACATTAACTTGGCAGTTTGGTTTCACGCTCAGTACATAACCAGTATGTGTGCATTGTTTACTGATAAGCTTTTGCTCAGCCAGGTCCAACGCCTCCCGGGCACACCTTGTTCTGACTTCAGGACTTGCAAGTCCTCCCTGAGGGGGAGGAAGGGATTGCTTTCCTATCTGCACCTGGCAGACACTGTTATTTACCATCTCAATACTAGCCTTCGTTGCAGCTACTGTGAAATTGTCTGAAATCGATACCACGGCAGCCTGTACCAGGGCTTCAGCACCCACCCAGCACAGACGTGAGACCAGGGAGCTGCCCTTTGAGCGAGAGCTCAGGAGCAGCCCCATGTCCACAGAGCACGGCCCTGGGCTCTGGCAGGGCGATGCTGCTGGATGTCCTGCCCTCATGGCACTGCATTCGGGACCTGTCCAGCTCCGAGCATGCGCCAGCAGGAGCCCCAGGCCTTGTGCCCAGTGCAGAGCAGGGGTAGGCTGAGAGCCGTCATGGCTCTGCCCTCTGCTGTGCTGCTCCCACTGAGCTGCAGGCCACGGAGGAAAGCCAAGTGTCCCCTGCCCCATGGCACCCAGGCAACTCTTGGGGACATTGGCTGTGGGGAAGGGCACCAGCCATAAGGCAGGCATGACTAGGCCCAGAGATCCGCTCAGTTCCTGCAGCTGACACGGCACGGCTTGGCTTGGCATGGCAAGGGGGGCTCTGCCATCCTCCTCTCCTGCCGCACACATGGATGCACAGGGACCGAGTGTGGGGCCAAGGGCAGGGCTGTGCATTCCTGCTGGCTGCCAGGGGCCCACATCCGTACCTCAGAGCGCTCCGTGTGCAGGAAGACATGAGCACCCGTTCAATTGCTCAGCAAGGACAATGAGGTGCTGGTGTTGACCGAAAAAGTGGATCCTTTCTCTATGAAGAAAGGCTGAGAGAGCAGGGTATGTTCAGCCTGCAGAAGAGGAGGCTCTGGGAACATCTCATTGGAACCTTTCAGAGCTTAAAGGGCTTTAATAAAGAGGATGGAGAAAAAAAAAATATTCATGTGGATTATGCTGGACAAGGGGGAATGGTCTTAAAATAAAAGAAAATAGCTTTAGGCTAGACATTAGGAGGAAACGCTTCACTGTCGGTGTAGTGAGGCACTGGCACAGGCTGCCAAGAGAAGCTGTGGATGCCCCATCCCTGGAGGTGTTCAAGGCCAGGCTGGATGGGGCTTGGCCAACCTCATCTGGGGGGAGGCAGCCTTCTCTGTTTCAGGGGGGTAGAGTTGGATGATCTTTAAGGTCCCTCCCAACCGCAACCATTCTATGACTCTATGATCCTTCACCCGGTGTGCAATAAGCCCATTTGCACGCACTCAGGAGAGAGATTGCTTTTATTCAGGCCTCAGAGCTCGGTGCAGTTTCCACAGATCAAGCACAGCCAATGTCGACTTCCTGGCTCCATGGAGACATTAAATTCATGACTCTTCTAGCGATCTAATACAAATTCATTCTAATCTACCTGAGTTTTGTGCTCATGCGGCATCATTCTTAATGGCTCCTTTTAGGGCCCGTCTGCGCATGCCTTCCTTTCTGTGGGGGTCCTTGGTGGTGTTCCCCGATGAAGCACCCTAACCCCTTTTATCCATCGATGGCCACATGTCACCGAAGCGCAACCTCAGGCTACTTGCTATTGGCAACTTTCCTTGGTTTCTCCCAGAAGGAGCATTCTGTCCCTAAACAAAGGGAGCCTAGGTTAAAAGTTAAACATATTTTTTGCCCTCTCCTACACATATGATAACTGATTAAAGGGAAGCTCAATAAAAATAGACAATTCCTCTTCGTTTCCAAGGGAGAGTTGGTTCCATTACACTGGGACTTGGGGGTCCCGTCTGTGTGTGTGAACGCCTGGTGGGGTGCCCAGAGTCTGGACACAAGAGTATGGGCACTGCTGGAGGCACAAGGATGCCCGCTGAGACATCAGGAAAGTCTTTTTTTGCTGTGTGTGTGTCTGAGCGCTGGCACAGGCTGCCCAGAGTGGTGCTGGGGTCTCCATCCCCGGAGATGTCCAACACCCAGTGGACACGGTCCTGGGCAGCCAGCGCTGGGGACCCTGCCTGGGCAGGGACAGAACATGCGGGGTGCAGAGGGGCCTCCAGCCCCAGGCGTTCAGTGGCTCTGTGGTGCTGGGATTCATCACAGCCGTGCAATAAGGATACCCAGGGTGATCACAATAATGATGAGGACAATTAGCGCACAAGCCAGGACAACTTTCCGGGATGGCCTCCAGCTGAATCTCACCCCCTTTATCCTGCCTGCTCTGTACCTCGCCATGTGATACGCCACCTTCTCTTCTGTTAAATTGGGCTCCAGGTACATCTCATTGCTGTAGTACCTGTCCCCATTCACCTGCACCATGCAGCGGACCATCCCCATCAGCTCCATGACCTGGTGGTCCCATTCGGCTCCAACTGCCCGGTTGTTGAAGCCGCAGTATCTGTTCCCACATCTCTCGATCAGCTCGCGGAGAGCTTTGTTGTCAGTACAGGACACATAGTCGTGCAGAGATCTCTCCCCCAGCTCTTCCGCACGGGTGAATATGACAATCGTGTGCTGCAAAACATCAGCTCCAAAGATGTCCTGCAGTCTCTCTGCGGCCTCCTCGTCCTCCTTGGTGAATCGGCCCAGCTGGGTCACCAGCAGCAGCGCGTGGGGGCCCGGGGAGGACAGCCTGATGCAGTGGACAATTTCTTGGCACACCTCACTGCTGACACCTCCGGGGTTGAAAATGTCGGCCGTGTCAACCACCGTGAAGTCCTCGCCATCCCAGTGCCCCTGTGCTTTCACACAGCTCACGGTAACTGGCTGGTGGGACAGCTTGGACTCAAAGACACGCTTCCCGAGGAGGGTGTTCCCCGTGGCGCTTTTCCCCCCACCAGCCTTCCCGGCCAGGATCAGCCTCATCTCCAAGCCCCCGCCAACCCCGGGCTGCATGTAGACACGATGGATGGCCACTGTCACACTGCGGAGACAAAAGCAGACACCCAGGGCTCCGTCAGCAGGCACCCAGATGCTGGGAGCATCACTGACAGCAGAAGGGATTTTCATTAAAAGCGGGGATGGTTTCGAATCCTCGCTGCTGGCCTCTGGAGGCTGTGGGGCTCTGTGTGCCCCCACTGTGGGAAGGGGTCGGGGGCTGCAGCTGGGTCAGGCTGCAGTGGCACCGGGACAGAGTGGGTCCCCCCTGCTTGCCTGGACATCAGAGCAAGAGCAGCGCAACCGGCATCTGTGGATTGCACTGCCGTGTGTGCAGTCACAGCAGTGCACGGACAACAGCAAGGAACAGAAATTCAAAATAACAACTGGATCCGTGAGGTGCTGCGGGGAAACAGAGCCGCTGGTCTGTTTCCTGTCTCAGCCTCAGTCTGCGCAGGAATACAGGCACGGGGGAAGGCAGCGGGGTGGCAGGGACCCTCGGGTGGTGGCAAGAACGCTTGGGATGGAGACACTCATGCAGCTGGGGCCCCGTGTGGGGCTGAGCATGGTGCCCAGGGAATCCCCCGGGCTGGGGCTGGGGCCATGCCAAGCATGGGGAGTGAGGAGTAGGGAGAAGGGAAATACAGGAGGGGACAGGGGGAAGAGCCACTTCCCTGCCCCGCTGCCCTGCACCAGGTCCCCAGGCCCCCTCGGAGCCCTCCCCGCCGGCACGGAGCCTTGCGGTCCCTGGCCTCCCGCCCGTACCTTCCTGCACGTCCTGCGCTGGCATTCGCCTTGTCCCCGCGGGATGCTCACAGCCACCAGGAAGTGACAGCGGTGACGGCCGGTGTCAGCCTGGAGAACTGTGCTCATGCCACAAGGGCAGCACCGGCTCCTCCCGCACCAGCCCCCAGCTTGGTTTCGATTCTGTGCAGCCCTGGAGGTTCAGACAGCTCTAACGCTACCTCCTGTACTTCCTCCAGAAACAATCCAGCCTCAGAGTTATTTAACTCCCGCGATCACATGTGTTTAGTTTTCAAGCAGTTCCTGCTGCTGGTGGGACTGGAGGCAGAGCCCTGACAGAAGAAGGGGCAGGAGACGAGGCAGCTGCAGCCTGCACCGCGGTCAGGGGCTGGGACGGACCCCACACACCGCTCAGGCTCAGGGCTGGAGGTTCAGGTGCAGGACGAGGGCACTGAACTGACGGCCATTCTGAGGGGAGGCTCCTGCTCTAGTTAGGGGCCGTGCAAATCCTCTGCGAGCTCGGCAGGTTTCCCAAAGCACTGCAAGGGTTGCCAGTGACCGATCTGAGTTCCCCTGCCAGCTCCTCGTTCCCCAAAGCATCGGGAAACCCCCCCCAAGCTGAGGAGGAGCAGCCCTTGCCCGGGCTGTCCCCATCTGCCACCACGGTGCAGCGAGGCCCAGCCACGCTCCCCTGCCCCTGCGGCCCCTGCTCCTGGGCTGTGCGGGGCTGGCAGAAACGTGCCCTGCCCCTGGCACGGGGTGAGGGGCTGCCAAACGCTGCTCCCTGCCTCACGGGGTGCGCAGCCATCTTGTGGGTGCGTGTGTTTACCCTCGGCTGTACAACCACTTCCTGCATGCACACACAGCAGGCAGCACACACACACCAGATGTTTTAGTGACCCGAAGGTCGCACATGCAAAAGATGACCGAAGAAGACCGGGAAATCTACCCCAGCAGATCCACTGGTTATAAAAATTGCGCCGGAGATGGAGGGAAAAGAGGTGGATCTTATGGTAGATGCACGAGCAACATACTCAGTTTTAAATAAAGCATTAGTATCAGTGAGGAATGATTACATTGTAGTGAAGGGGGCAACTGGCCAATCTGCAATAGCATATTTCTGCAAACCATTGAAATATAAGTATGGGAAACAGTGGGGCATTCACAAGTTCCTATACATGCTCAACTCTCCGGAGTCACGCCTAGCAAGAGATTTATTGGAAAGATTACAAGCAAACATTTCATTTAAAAATGGGGAGATTATTCTGGAGGTAAATGATCAAAGATACGTGGAAGTGTTAAGTTTGATATTGACAGCTATTGAGACCAAAGAGGAAATTAGCGAGGAAATCCTAAGTCAAATGTTTTCCAGAGTCTGATCTAATGTACCAGGGAAGGCGAAAAATGCACTTCAACAGTACCCCTTGAAAAAGGAAGATAGAGAAGGAATTAGCCCCATAATTGATTAACATGCTTAACACCAGAGCTAACTTGGTTTACCATTTTAGACCTGAAGGATGCCTTCTTTTGCCTCCCTCTCCAAGAAGACGGTCAGAAAATCTTTGCATTTGATTTAAAAGGCCCTAAGAGTGGGCGCAAAACACAGCTCACATGGACAAGGTTCCCTCAGGGCTTTAAGAACTCTCTCACCTTGTTCGGAGACAGACTTGCAAAGGACTTGGAGACCTGGGAAGTCCCATCAGGAGAAGGAAGGCTGTTGCAGTACGTAGATGACTTCCTAATAGCCACCCAGACAGAAGCATGTGTGGCCTGGACGGTAAGCCTCCTAAACTTTCTGGGACTACAGGGGTACAGGGTATTGAAGCAGAAGGCCCAGGTGGTTAAGCAGAAGTTGATCTACATGGGTTATGAGGTTAGTGCCGGACAACAGACCTTGAGGCAAGATCGTAAAGAAGCGATATGTTAAACCCCAAAACCTGAGACAATAAAAGAACTGCGAACCTTTTTGGGAATGACAGGGTGGTGCAGATTGTGGATCTATAATTACAGATCGCTTGTAAAACCGCTGAATGTGCTCATTGCAAATGGGAACAGGGAACTCCAATGGACAAAGGAGGCCACAGGAGCTTAGGACTGTCAGGAATGTGTTAACAATTCGTGTCCATAAAGAACAATTCTGTTTGAATCCTGTCGGCCTCTGGGCCCTGCACTGGCAATTTAATTCTTGAACCACAGATGCAGTGTGTCCCAGTCTCCCCCTCATTCTAGTCCATTTATCACGTCTTCAGAAAACACTCCTTAAATTTATGAACCTGTTTGCTTTTGTTATTCCGGACTTTTATTTCTAACAGTTACAGCCTTTTTTCCTGTCTTCTTCGAGATTAACTTAACACTGCTATAGATGTGTCTGTGAATGGCTGGGGAAGAATGTTTTAATTACTCGTGAAGCGTCAAATAAGAAAGCTGTTTGTGTTTGATGTCTGGTAGTTTCAGAACAACTGATAACAACTAGTGACTGTTATGGGATACTATGTGGATCTTTGGTATCTGGCCAAGGGGCCAAGAGATTAAGAGGAAGGAAAAAGAAGCTGAAGGACGGTTGGGAGACAAGACCTGCAGAGAGTGTACAGAGAGTGTTCCATAAACTTGGAATAGTGCCGAGTGAGTACAAAGGTGAGAGGAAGACTACGAGCCTTCAGCATGAAAGACCCCTAGAGACCCCCAGAGGAGACTGATGTGCATGCTCCAGTAGGAGGAACTGGACCCCGGAAGCTAATTATAATAATCTATTTTTTTTTTAGAAGTAGTAATGAATATGTATTAGTCTAGGTGCATAAAAATCAGCTGCTTGATATAACTGGTGTGCGTCCTGGTGGAGCGGAGACTCCCGGTGCACCCAGCGCTGTTTGCTTACCTCTATTCCTTTATATTCTTTTAATAAATCCTATTTTTTTTATTTAATCCTAATTTGAATCCTGAGCCATTTATAACAGGACCAACTAAAGAAGGCCCTCATGTCAGCTCTAGCTCTGTGACTCCCAGATGTAAATAAACCATTCTTCCTTTTCTCCCATGAGAAACAAGGGATTGCCCTGGGAACACTAGCACAGGACCTGGGCCCATATCGAAGGGCAGTTGCTTATTTTTGTAAGCAGTTGGATGCTACCACCAAGGGATGGCTGGGATGCCTCAGAGCTGTTGCAGCAGTGGTGCTAAATATCCAGGAAGCACGCAAGTACACCTTGGGACAGAAGATAACTGTGCTAGTGTCTCACACAGTGTCCACAGTGCTGGAAGTGGAAGGCGGTCACTGGCTTTCCCCACAAAGGCTCCAGAAATCAGCAGAAACCAAGGGGAGCCAGTACACCATGAGTGCCTGGAGACCATTGAAGCTACCTACTCCAGCCATCCAGATCTGAAGGACACTCCTTTTGATGATGTGGAAATATCATGATGAGCATACTGATGAGCAGCTACGTCATCAGTAGAAAACGACATGCTGGGTATGCAGTTACCACTTGCAAAGACGTAATAGAATTTGAAAAATAAATATCTATAGGGACTAAATAATGAGATTATTGGAAGCAGTTCAGCTGCCTGAAAAGGTAGCAATCATGCACACTGAGGCACACCAGAAGGCGAGCTCAGAATTGGAAGAAGGAAATGATCTGGCAGACAGAGAGGCAAAAGAAGCAGCAGAAGGTGAGGTGGCAACTGAGGGAGCCCTGATTCCAGACAGGCAAATTCTCCTCGAAGGTAAGCTTGTATATAACAAAAAGGATAGAAAATTAATCGAAGGTCAGAAGGGAAAATATAACCAAGAGGGATGGACTATTACCAAAGACAGGAAGGGAAGCTAGTCATCCCCTCCAATTTATTGCAGTCACTGGTAAAGAAAGAACACCAGAAAACACATTGGGGAATAGATGCTTTGTATAACTATCTAATTGAAAAAAAAAAAATATTGCCAGAACCTTATATGCTACCATCACTCAAATAACTGAACAATGTGATCTTTGTCTACAGACTAACCCCAACATTGCCCCCAAACCACAACTGTGTCAAATTGGAAAAGGCCATGGGCACGGGCAACAGTGGCAAATTGACCTTTCTGAACTTCCAAGAAAAGGGGGGTGTCGATATTTACTGGTGTTAACAGACAGATACCTTTTCAGGATGGCCAGAGGCTTTCCCCACTAGGACTGCCAAAGCCTGAGAGGTAACTAAGTCTCTTGTAGAGAAAACTTTGAAGCCACAGTGGGAAGGACTATACCAGGTGCTCCTTACAGCCTTCACCACAATTAAGATCAAGGAACAGAGTGCCTGGATTCACCATTCTCAAGTGAAGAAAGCTCCAGAACCCCCTGGAAAGTAACGCCAGGTGACGGTGAACTGAAACTAAAGCTCAGTCGAGTAAAATGAGGACATTATGGTCAAGAGTATTTAGTAATATAGTCAGCAGGAGTCTAGTTAACAGAATTGTTTTATTTCTATGGCTTATAAATTGTAATTGTGATTCAAGAAGGTGCCTCTAGGATAATAGAGAATGGTTAGTGGCCTTGGTCCGAAGCTGTAACAATAGAGGATAGAGCATTAATGGAAAGTTAGCAGTTGCGGTTATTTGGCGAACAAATGGTGACCATTTATGTACATTACAAGAATGGCAAAAATTAGGGAAAGAATGGACACACCAAAGAACCTTAGGGGACGAAATTAAAATAGGGTACTGAATGATTAATGGAATGACCCACGAGAAAGTAATGGGGATTTTAGTAAAACTGATTTCCAAAAGTGGCTAACAAGAACGTTGCATCTGCCCAGGTAAATCAGATTGCTGGTATAATTTTATATTAACACAGACTGTAGTCATTAGCTGTTTTTGGCTGTACTTCCTACAACAGTGAGACAAAACTAAAACAGCCCCTACAATCATCCTTAATGGCATTGGGAACTAGCCAATGGCAAGTTTCAAAGGTATTACCGAGATGGGAAAAGGCTGAAGACCAAGACCACAAACTAATAATAGATGCACTTAGTATGGTTCAAGATAATGCATCTTTAGCTCTTTGTCGTATACAAGCACAGTTATGGATTCAGGCAACGGCTGCCTTGATCATTAGGGAAGGAAGTGAAGGCATTTTTCCGGCTGAAGTCCAAAAGACTGTTTGGGACAATGCCAATGATTTTGAGAAATTCCAATCTTGGTGGACTCTGGTAAATTTTACCTATGATCCCATTGTTAACAAGGCTACTGCCTTTGTGCTTACTATACGTAATGCCACAGTTTATGTTATCCACCCCATCATTGCACTAGGATTAAACCATGAGGAGACAGTGCTCTGTCCTTCAGAGCATAGAACATGGGCATGGATGGAGAATGGGAGATGGCAGTCTGTAAATCTAGAATCATGTGTTACCTGGGAACAGCAAGGATTTATTTGTGAAAGTAATACAATTGATGCTCAGGATGTATGTCTTGACACGGAGCAAGGTGTTTGCCACTTTGAAATTCATCCAAATACTAGTCAAAAGACTGTGCTTGTATATATCGGTCAAGGCTATGTGTGTTTAAGAACTGCTTGTGATTTTGTAGAAGTAGATAAGGAGAACATAACCCTCCCTAGCAAAAATCATTCTAACATTTGTATTTGTAACTTTGTTAGAATCATCGGGTGTCATTTTCTGTATTTGGCACCAGTGGTATCCTGCCAGTTGATCAAGTCTAACAACACAATGTACACTCTAATCACTGTCCATCATGATACAAAGGCAAAGAGCAAAACAGGACACAAATCACAACTGGTGGGATACACTCTTTGGATGGTCGCCCACTGCAACTGGGATTTTGAACACATTGTGTCACCCAATTATTGTTTTATAGATATTAGTTGGCATAAGTTTGATATTGTCTTTGTAATATTTGTTTGGAATTGGAAATCGTTAAAATGAATGTCTATATTAGCTTCCTTGACAAAAGTGCATGGCAAGGCATTGAGGGGTACATACCATAGAGACTGAGAAGAAGAATTTTTGTATTAACTAAAAGAATTTAGTAGATTTTCCAGAAAAGGGAGGACTGAATCATAGGGATTAGAAATTAGAGAGTGATTGACTAAGAATGAATAGGTGCTATATTTCATAGAATCATAGAATCATAGAATATCCTGAGTTGGAAGGGACCCTTAAGGATCATCAAGTCCAACTCTTGACACCGCACAGGTCTACCCAAAAGTTCAGACCATGTGACTAAGTGCACAGTCCAATCTCTTCTTAAATTCAGACAGGCTCGGTGCAGTGACCACTTCCCTGGGGAGCCTGTTCCAGTGTGCAAGCACTCTCTCTGTGAAGAACTTCCTCCTGATGTCAAGCCTAAACTTCCCCTGCCTCAGCTTAACCCCGTTCCCGCGGGTCCTGTCGCTGGTGTTAATGGAGAAAAGGTCTCCTGCCTCTCGACACCCCCTTACGAGGAAGTTGTAGACTGCGATGAGGTCTCCCCTCAGCCTCCTCTTCTCCAGGCTGAACAGGCCCAGTGCCCTCAGCCGTTCCTCGTACGTCTTCCCCTCCAGGCCTTTCACCATCTTCGTAGCCCTCCTCTGGACACCCTCCAACAGCTTCATGTCCTTTTTATACTGTGGTGCCCAGAACTGCACACAGTACTCGAGGTGAGGCCGCACCATATATTTGCAATTTACTGCGCCTGTGCTGCGCTTAGGCCTCCAGATAACAGGAGCCCTTCGGACCCCAAGAAGCAGATCAAAACAACCTTATGGCCCAGATTGTGACCAAGGCCTCAGAGAGCATGCGCAAAGAGATGTGGTGAAAAGTTCAATCCTGATGAAGACATCTTACTTCATCCCCACGACCCTCAGCGCCCACCACCACAAGGCACCGCGCAAGCGCAGATGGTAGTAGTTTATGGAAACGATGTCTTGTAACTAATTTTAATACTAAGCGGGGACAGGTTATGCATATGTATAGGCGTATTGGGAAACCTCATGCATACGTAACTCTTTACCGCATATAACCACGACAAGTTACTGCGTTAGGGGTGGATGACTTTTTTGGGACTACCCCCCGTGCTGCCCAGCTCTGAATAAACATACCTACTGTACACTCTTAGTGACTGTGGAGTCAGCATTCCGTGAGTCAGCTGTGAGGTCTCCCCGCATCCTTCTCCTTTAGCAGCCTCCTCATTGAGTCAGCTGGGTGCAGTGCTGCTGAGGGTGAGGCTGGGTTTGCATCCTCATGCAGCCTCACGCATGCTTGTGCATGCGGTGCACAGGCCCTCTGGGGAGGCCACGGGCTCAAGGATTTCCCGAGGCTGCCTCTCCTCTTCCCACTCCTTAGGCTGTGCTGTGCCAGGCTCAGGGCACATGGGGCAGCAGCCGTTGGTTACAGCCGGAGGCACAGCGCAGGGTGCAAAGTCCTGCCCCAAAACCTCGCTATCTGTGTGCCTGAGCGAGCTCTGGCCCTGCTGGGGCCATGCAGGGCAGGCCGGGGGCCTACGGTGATCCAGCACAGAATCCAGTGGGTGTTTTTGTCTCAGCACGTGACTTCTTGTAAAGGGAGTGCTTCAGCCCGGCTGTTTGAGCACTCTGTGCATTCCTGGGCTGCTGGGGAGCTGCAGCATGCACTTCTGCTTTCTCTTTCTGCCTTTGGAAGAGGTCTGGGTGCTGGCCCTCTGAGGCAGCCTTATCCAGACTCCCCTGGGGTCCCTCGTGTTGCTCCTGATGGTCCCTGGGGACCGCTGCTGGGGCCGCTAACCCTAATTCCTGTGTTTTTGCAGTAAAAACCCTTTCCTTCTCACCCCTGATAGCGTGGCGTGCAGGGGATGTCCCGGCACCACAGGGCTGTGGGGTTCAGACACGTGTCTCTGGTTGTTCCCCCAGGACCCAAGCTGAACATCCTGCTCGTGGGCAAAACTGGAAGTGGGAAGAGTGCAACAGGGAACACCATCCTTGGGAAGAAAGCATTTGAATCTATGGTGTCAGCAGATTCAGTGACCAAGAGCTACAGTTCAGACACTGCCTCATTCCGTGGAAGAGAAATTGCCGTTATCGACACTCCTGGCCTTTTTGACACCCAGAGAGCCAATAAGGAAACAGCTGAACTGATTGGAAATGCTCTTCGTCACTTCTATGGAGGGGTGCATGCTATCATCCTGGTGATGCAACTGGCCCACATCAGTAAAGAAGAGGTGGAAGTGGCTGAGTGGGTGACAAAGATTTTCCATACTGAAGCACAGAAGTACACGATCCTGTTATTCACCCGAGCAGAAGAACTTGGGAGTCCAGATGATATCCGCGATTTCGTGGAAAAAAGCACGTACCTCAGTGGGATTGCAGAAAAATGTGAAAATAGGTACATTGCTTTCAGCAACATAGCAGCAGAGCAGACAAGGAAACAGCAGGTTGCAGACCTCATTAAAATGATTGATGCGATGGTAGAGAAGAACAAAGATGCTCCGTGTTACACGCGAGAAATGCTGGAGAAAGACACACGGACAGCTTTTGAAAAGTATTGTACCATACTCTAGCCAACAAGGCTTTGGTCAGACGGGTGATGATTCCTCTCTTGTGCCTTTCCTGCCGCGCTCTGAAGATCACTCTCTCCTTCCTCTCTTGATGTTTCCTCCTGTCCCGTCAGTGACCTACCTTTTCCCCTGGCCCGTGCCATTGCTCTCCTGACAGGCTGCGAGAGTGCAAAGGGTGTCTGGTGACAAGTAATTACAGAATCACAGAATCACAGAATTTCTAGGTTGGAAGAGACCTCAAGATCATCCAGTCCAACCTCTGACCTAACACTAACAGTCCCCACTAAACCATATCCCTAAGCTCTACATCTAAACGTCTTTTAAAGACCTCCAGGGATGGTGACTCCACCACTTCCCTGGGCAGCCTGTTCCAATGTCTAACAACCCTTTCGGTAAAGAAGTTCTTCCTAACATCCAACCTAAAACTCCACTGGTGCAACTTATGCCCATTCCCCCTCGTTCTGTCACCAGGCACGCGGGAGAACAGGCCAACCCCCACCTCACTACAGCCTCCTTTAAGGTATCTGTAAAGAGCGATAAGGTCGCCCCTGAGCCTCCTCTTCTCCAGGCTGAACAAGCCCAGCTCCTTCAGCCGCTCCTCATAGGACTTGTTCTCCAGGCCCCTCAGCAGCTTCGTCGCCCTTCTTTGGACCTGCTCAAGCACCTCGATGTCCTTCTTGTAGCGAGGGGCCCAGAACTGAACACAGTACTCGAGGTGCGGCCTCACCAGAGCCGAGTACAGGGGGACGATCACCTCCCTAGCCCTGCTGGTCACACTGCTTCTGATACAAGCCAGGATGCCGTTGGCCTTCTTGGCCACCTGAGCACACTGCTGGCTCATATTCAGCCGACTGTCCACCATCACTCCCAGGTCCTTTTCTGCCTGGCAGCTCACCAACCACTCATCTCCCAGCCTGTAACTCTGCGTGGGGTTATTGCGCCCCAGGTGGAGGACCTGGCACTTGGCCTTGTTGAACTTCATGCAGTTGGCCTCAGCCCATCGGTGCAGCCTATCCAGATCCTCCTGCAGAGCCTTCCTACCCTAGAGCAGATCGACACATGCACCTAACTTGGTGTCATCTGCAAACTTACTGAGGGTGCACTCAATGCCCTCATCCAGGTCATCGATGAAGATATGAAAGAGGTACAGCCCCAGCACCGAGCCCTGGGGAACGCCACTAGTGACTGGCCTCCAACTGGACTTGACTCCAGTTCTCCTCTGCTACTCTGTCTCTGCATTGCTCTGTCACCACCCGTTGTGCTGGGAAGCCGGAGACCTTGGCTGGGTGGCAGAGAGCTGCACTGCCCTGCTGGCAGCACCACTGCGCTGACTCTCTCCTCCCTGGTCTGAAGACACGGCAAGCTGAAAGCAATGGGAACATCAGGACTGTGAGATGTGCCCCCTCAGATCAGAGATCAGCCTGGAGCGCTGCTTCCGAGATCAAAGCCACTTGTCCTCCTCATGGCAACCAGGGCTCTAGGAACTTCTCCAGGCTTTGGGAGGGTTCGTGGTGCCAGCCTTGGTCCCTCTGCAGTGGGATGCTGCTGGTGTCACTGGCTGTGCTGCCCCTGCCTTCGCTGGGCAATGCGAGTAATTGTATGTGATCGCTGGGTCTACAGAAGTTCATCTAATAAATGCTCATCTAATAAATTCTAATAAATGCCCATAAAGGCCCATAAATGCCCATAAATGCCCATAAATGCTGAGCCTTGCTGTGTGGAGAGGCGCCCTTCAGTGCACTGTGAACCGCAGTGCTGAAACAGCCGTTTGGGAGGGTGGAGAATGGTCCAGGTGCATTCAGGATCAGGCCCAAGCTGCAGCTCACCCCAGGCTGGGGTTTGGTGGTGGCCATGAGCTGTGCAAGGGCGTGAGGTCTCACTGCTTGCCAGGCGAGTGCAGCAGGCAGGAGAAGCTCTGTGGCCAGTCCTGAGCGTGGGGCTGGGGGAGTGCTCGGGGGGGCTGCCTGACTCACCCCAGGTTCTTCTCCCACCCAGAAAGGCTGCGGAAAGCAGCCTAGGAGGGGGGAGGAATCCCAGAACGCCAGGCTGACCGCTTCCTCAAGCAAAGGAGGTAGAAGGAAGTACGGGAAGGGAACCAGGGCAGGCACCCGCACTACGGCAGGCACCACTTGACCCAGAGATCCACTCAGCTCCTGAAGCTGGCACGACATGGCTTGGCTTGGCACAGCAAGAAGCGTTTTGCCATCCTCCGCTCCCACCACATGTGGATGCACAAGGACCAAGTGCCAGGCATGACTGAAATGTGTCATGATGTGAGTTTGTAGATGGCACCAAGCTGAGTGGTGCAGTCAACAAAGGAGAAGGAAGGGATGCCATCCAAAGAAGGCTCTGTGGAGACCTCATTGAGGCCTTTCAGTGCTCGAAGGGTTCTTATAAAAAGGATGGAGAGGGACTGTTTAATTGTGTAGATAATGATAGGACAAGGGGGAATGTTATTAAACTGAAAGAGGGGAGATTTAGATTGGATGTTAGGAAGAAATTCTTCACTCAGATGGTGGTGAGGCACATATTGCCCAGAGAAGTTGTGGATGCCCCATCCCTGGAGGTGATGGACGTATGAGGAACGGCTGAGGGCACTGGGCCTGTTCAGCCTGGAGAAGAGGAGGCTGACGGGAGACCTCATCGCAGTCTACAACTTCCTCGTAAGGGGGTGTTGAGACTCAGGAGACCTTTTCTCCATTAACACCAGTGACAGGACCCACGGGAACGGGGTTAAGCTGAGGCAGGGGAAATTTAGGCTTGACATCAGGAGGGGGTTCTTCACAGAGAGGGTGGTTGCACACTGGAACAGGCTCCCCAGGAAAGTGGTCACTGCACCGAGCCTGTCTGAATTTAAGAAGTGATTGGACTGTGCACTTAGTCACATGGTCTGAACTTTTGGGTAGACCTGTGCGGTGTCAAGAGTTGGACTTGATGATCCTTAAGGGTCCCTTCCCACTCAGGATATTCTATGATTCTATGATTCTATGATTCTATGATTCTATAGGTGTTCAAGGCCAGGCTGGATGGGCCTTGGCCAACCTCATCTGGGGGGAGGTTTCCTTGTCTGTTTCAAGGGGGTTGGAGTTAGATAATCTTTAAGGTTCCTCCCAACCCCAACCATTCTATGACTCTATGATCCTTCACCTGGTGTGCAATAAGCCAATTCGCACGCACTCAGGAGAGAGATTGCTTTTATTCAGGCCTCAGAGCTCGGTGCAGTTTCCACAGATCAAGCACAGCCAATGTCGACTTCCTGGCTACATTAAATTCAGATTAGACATTAAATTCATGACTATTCTAGCGATCTAATACAAATTCATTCTAATCTACCTGAGTTTTGTGCTCATGTGGCATCATTCTTAATGGCTGCTTTTCAGGCCCTCCTGCGCATGCCTTCCTTTCTGTGGGGGTCCTTGGTGGTGTTGCCCAATGAAGCACCCTAACCCCTTTTATCTATTGGTGGTGTGATAAAAATATCAATAATTTTCTTAGATGGGACCTTCCATGAAGCTATTTTATTCGCAATTGCAATGGTGGGCATCCTTGTGAGGAAAATCTCAAATAATTTTCTTCAGACAGGATGTTCCGTGAAGCTATTTTATTCATGACTGCAGTGGCAGGCATCCTACCAATTAGGAGCACATTATAGTAAACACATCATAACCTTTTATTCCCTATTACCCAACATGTCATTGCCTCCCCTGTTTCCTCATTCTCTGAGTACTACAGGTTCACAAGCTACTTGACGCTCCTTTATACCATACATGTACAATTCTTCTTTTTTTCAACCCTTTAATTTCTCCCTTTTCCTTTTTTTTTTTTTATGTTTTAAGAACCTGTGATCTTTGTTTTACTATTCCCACACTGCTCATCGTGTTTGTCTCAAGCTTCCACCTTATTTTGGAACAGTGCAGCCTTCTACTGTCCACTTACCTACTGCGCTTTTCTCATTATGACTACACAACTACCTTGGAATACAGAAAAGTAATTCTCTACTGCAAAAGCACAACTTAGTTTCTCACATCCTGCAAGCTGCAGTGCACAGCATATGTTTACAATAACCCTATATCCCCTATTACCCAACACCTGATTTCTCCCTGTTTCCTCACTGGTTGAATACTACAGGTTCACAACTTACTTGATGCACTTCTATACCATATAGGTACAATTTTATTTGACCAGTCATTGATTTCTCCTTTTCCTTTTTTTTTTTTTTTTTTTTTTTTTTTTTACTTCTCTTGTGATTAGAGGGCCTGTGATTCTTGTTTTTACTTATTTCGTACTACTCCTCCCATTTTTATTAGCTATGCTTCTTATGTTGGGACAGTGGGACCTTCCCCTTATCTGCTTAACTAGTGCTATGCTGCTGTCATGGCTGCACAATCACATTTGAATATGCAAGGTTAATGGATATTCCACTGCAAAAACAACTTCTATTGCAAAAATACAACCTTGATTCTCAAAATGGTCACGTCACGTAAGCACAACCTCAGGCTACTTGATATTGGCAACTTTCTTTGGTTTCTCCCAGAAGGAGCATTCTGTCCCTGATCAAAGGGAGCCTAAGTTAAAAATATTTTTTGCCTTGTACTGCATATATGACAATTGATTAAAGGGAAGCTCAATAAAAATAGACAATTCCTCTTCTTTTCCAAAGGAAATTTGGTTCCATTGCACCAGGACAAGGAGTCATCTGCAAGATGGGCAGAGGCTGGGAGTTGGGGCTGCTCAGCCTGGGGAAGGGGGCTTGGGGGTCCCATCTGTGTGTGTGAACACCTGGTGGGCTGCCCAGAGCCTGGGCACAAGGGCATGGACACCGCTGGAGGCACAAGGATGCCTGGTGAGACATCAGGAAAGTCTTTTTTTGCTGTGCGGGTGTCTGAGCGCTGGCACAGGCTGCCCAGAGCAGTGCTGGGGTCTCCATCCCTGGAGATGTCCAACACCCAGTGGACACGGTCCTGGGCAGCTGGAGTGGTGTCCAGAGGTGCCTCCAGCCCCAGGCATTCAGTGGCTCTGTGGTGCTGGGATTCATCGTAGCCGTGCAATAAGAAAACCCAGGGTAATCACAATAATGATGAGGACAATAAGCACAAAAGCCAGGAGAGCTGTCCTTCAGCTGGATCACTCCTTCTTCACCCTGCCTGCTCTGTACCTCTGCATGTGATACTCCACCTTCTCTTCTGTTAAATTGGGCTCCAGGTACATCTCATTGCTGTAGTACCTGTCCCCATTCTTCTGCAGCATGCAGCGGACCATCCCCATCAGCTCTATGACCTGGTGGTCCTGTTCGGCTCCAACTGCCCGGTTGTTGAAGCCGCAGTACCTGTTCCCACACCTCTCGATCAGCTTGCGGAGAGCCCTATTTTTGGAATACTTCAAATAATCTTGCAGTGACCCACGCACAAGCTCTTCCGCACGGGTGAATATGACAATCGTGTGCTGCAAAACATCAGCTCCAAAGATGTCCTGCAGTCTCTCTGCAGCCTCCTCGTCCTCCTGGGTGAATCGGCCCAGCTGGGTCACCAGCAGCAGCGCGTGGGGGCCTGGGGAGGACAGCCTGATGCAGCGGATAATTTCTTGGCGCACCTCACTGCTGACACCTCTGGGGTTGAAAATGTTGGCTGTGTCAACCACCGTGAAGTCCTCACCGTCCCAGTGCCCCTGTGCACTCGCACAGCTCACGGTCACTGTCTGGGTGGACAGCTTGGACTTGAAGACATGCTTCCCAAGGAGGGTGTTCCCCGTGGCGCTTTTCCCCTCCCCAGCCTTCCCGGCCAGGATCAGCCTCATCTCCAAGCCCCCACCGACCCCGGGCTGCATGTAGACACGATGGATGGCCACGGCCTGGCTGTAGAGACAAAAGCAGACACCCAGGGCTCCGTCAGCAGGTACCCAGACTCTGGAGACTGCGGGGCTCTGTGTGCCCCCACTGTGCGAAGGGCTTGAGGGCTGCTGCTGGGTCAGGCTGTGGTGGCACTGGGACAGATGGGGTTGGACAGCAGCAGAAAACAGTAAGAAGCAAAATAAGAGCCAGAACTGCAAGGTTCTGCGGGGAAACAGAGCAGTGAGGCAGCCTCAGTGTGTGCAGGATCATGGTGGGGGAAGGCAGCGTGGTGGCAGGGACCCTCGGGTGGTGGCAGGGACCCTTGGGGCAGTGACACCCGTGCAGCTGTGGCCCCGTGGGGCTGAGCACGGTGCCCAGGGCCTCCCCTGGGCTGGGGCTGTGCCCATGCAGAGCATTGGGAGCGAGGAGTGGGGAGAAGGGAAAGAGAGAGGAGGGGACTGGGGAAGAGCCACTTCCCTGCCCCGCTGCCCTGCACCAGGTCCCCAGGCCCCCTCGGAGCCCTCCCCGCCGGCACGGAGCCTCGCAGCCCCTGGCCTCCCGCCCGTACCTTCCTGCATGTCCTGCGCTGGCGTTCGCCTTGTCCCTGTGGGATGCTCACAGCCACCAGGAAGTGACAGCGGTGACGGCCGGTGTCAGCCTGGAGAACTGTGCTCATGCCACAAGGGCAGCACCGGCTCCTCCTGCACCAGCCCCCAGCTTGGTTTCGATTCTGTGCAGCCCTGGAGGTTCAGACAGCTCTAACGCTACCTCCTGTACTTCCTCCATAAACAATCCGGCCTCAGAGTTATTTAACTCCCGCGATGATCTGTGCTTAGTTTTCAAGCAGTTCCTGCTGCTGGTGGGACTGGAGGCAGAGCCGTGACAGAAGAAGGGGCAGGAGACGAGGCAGCTGCAGCCTGCACTGCGGTCAGGGGTTGGGACGGACCCTACACAAAACTCAGGGCACCTTTGGAGACCACAGCTCTGCTGTGGAGATGTGCATGGTGTTGTGGTGCCGGAAGCCCCTGGCCACCCCCGAGCCCACCTTGGGAGCTTGTCCTGCATGCAGGGTGTGCTGAAGGGCACCAGGAGCAGCATTCTCCAGGGCTGCTGTGTGCTCGGGGCTGCTGCGCGCCTGCTGCGTGCCTGGGGCCATGTGGGTACCGAACCCCAGGGCTGCAAAGGTGGGACGCTGGGGGACATCGTCCTGTAAGAGCCCAGGGCCATGGTTGGGGGAAGCGGGGCTGCTCCACGCTGCTCATGCTTAGGGCAGCAGCAGCGCCGTGGAATTGTCTCAGGGCGTTGCCCTTAGTCCCGCTTCCTGCAATAGTGCAGTGCAAACTCAGCACATTTACGGGAAAAGCCTGTTTGCTGGACCCTCGGTGTTTGCAGCTGGGGCTGGCTGTGCCCTGCAGGTTCCCCCGCAGGGGAACTGCTGCTGCGTGCCTGGAGCACCTCCTGCCTCCTGCTGCACTCCCCTGGGGGCTGCAGGGCTGGGTCTCTCTCCTCTCTCCCAGCGGCTGTAGTGTAGCAGGGTTTGGGTATTTTTTCTCCTTTCTTACCTGTGCTCTCAGAGCACGCATGCTGGGTGTGCAGCACTGCTGCAACCTCCGAGGTGCCTGAGAGGTGATGGACACAGCAGGGCTCTGCCAGAGCCCCAGGGGAGCCAGGTTCTGGCCAGAACTGGAGCTTTGCTCCTCAGGCTTTAATTTCAAGCCTTGCCTTGGCAGCCCCTGGCTCTTGTGCTTGTCCTTGGGTGTCCCCTTCAGAGGCTGAAGCCTTTGGGGTCCCTCTGGCCACGTTCCCGAGATGTCAGGAGCTCTCCTCCACCTCCCCGAGCTGCTGGCTGGGCAGCCGCTGCCATGGCGCTGCTCCCTGCGGCCAGAGGTTCCTGACACCCAGTGTCCCCATTCCCAATGTCCCTGTGTCACAGGTCCCTGTGCCCCAATGTTCCCAGGTCCCCAGGTCCCTGACACCCGGTGTCCCCACGTCACGATGTCCCCAGCCCCCATGTCCCCATGTCACAGATCCCGGTGTCCCAGTGCCCCCAGTGCCCCAGGTGACACGCAGTGCCACAATGTCCCGGTGACCCCAGGTCCCAGCGCCTGTGTCCCTGACCCCTGGTGCCCAGCTCCCAGTGCCATTCCCCGCACCAACGTGGTGCTCGAGTGCCTTGGTCCAAAGCACGAGCAGCGTGCTGGGGCTGTGGTACGCAGGGGCTGGAGGAGGGGGCTCCCTGCCTCCTGCGAGGGACCTGGGCTTAGCAGAGGGGCCGGGCAGGGGCTGAACACCGGTTTGTGCTGTGCCACAAAACGTCCCCAGCTCAGGAGACTGCGGCCTCACACACCACAGCCTGGGTGGAAAAGGGAGCCTCCGGCTGTGTTTGCATGAGCATCAGACCAAAACTCCTCTGGTAGGAGGCTGCACCTCATCGTCTCGTCAACCTCATGACCACTGAGGTTTATTTCCAGGCCATGCGTTCCCTCATTTGCACAGACCGAGCTTTCCCAGTGCTTTTTGAGAGGTCACCGTGGGGCCAAGGGAAGGCAGCCCAGGAGCAGAGCCGGACCCTCGGTGTTTGCAGCTGGGGCTGGGTGTGCCCCGCAGAGCATGCAGCAAACCGCCCCCCACAGCTCCATGCCCCCCACGAGTGTTTCTGGGCTGTCCTTGCAGAGCCCCCACCCTGTGAACCTTGCGCCCAGCCCTGCTGCACTCAGATCCCGCCCCCGCAGCCCCAGACTAAAAGCTGGGGCCGGGCACGGGCACCTCCTGCCCAGGGACACTGCTGCACCCGGAGCCATGGGTAGGTTGCAGGGGCTTGGTGCTCACCGGGTTTGCTCCCCAGTGCACTGCACGGCTCCAGAGTCACAGCTCAGCAGCGCAGAAACCGTGCAGCAGGTCCCTGGGGGGCTGCTTCTGAACGCAGGGATCGGGAGCAGCCGGCGTTGCTCACCTACAGGCGAATGGTGCATGGCTAAGCCTGCTGCTGGCTGGGCTGGCGCTGCAGGCTCGGCCTTCTCAAGGGCTTTGTCACAGCCTGCCATCGCCCTTATCCCCCAAGCCCAGCGGGAAAGCCTTCACCCTGCACGTGTGTTTGCTCTCTGTCCCCCTGCAGCCTGTGACCCAGCTCTGGCATCACCCTTCCTGCACTGACACTGTGGCAGAGCATGATGGCGAGTGGCTCCTGGGAGGATCACGGTAAGGGTGCAAGGGCCAGGCACTGCGCTGCCCCAGAGCCCCCTCGCAGGGGGGTTCGGTGTCCTCGTGCCACCGCAGGCACCGCGGGGACCGGGCTCTCCTGGCAGTCTCCCTGCCGGTGGGGGGGTTTTGGGGACAGAGCAGGCATGTGCCAAGCAGTGCCGTGCACGTGGAGAGGGGACAGGCATCCTGGATGGTGTCCGGGTATCCCTGGGGTGTCACGGGTATCCCTGGGGAGGTAAGAGAATCCCCGGGGTGGCACAGGCAGCTCTGTGCCCCTGTGCCGGGCTGTTTCCATGCATGCCCCACCCCAGGCAGTGCTTTACACACTGCTGCTCTCTCACTAAGCCTTTCCCCTCACCTGATTCCAGCAGGCCAGGGGACCCAGGAGCACATGGAGCTGCGCCTGCTACTCGTCGGGAAGACCGGTGCAGGGAAAAGCGCAACGGGGAACACCATCCTGGGGCCGGGCGGCCTTCGAGTCACGCCTGGCGCCACAGTCGATAACACAGACATGTGCCCAGGAGAGCCGGCTCTGGCGGGGCCGCAGGGTGGTGGTCACCGACACCCCTGGCATGTTTGACTCACCGGAGCACAGCGCCCGGTCCTGCTACGAGCTTGCCCGCTGCCTGCTGCTGTCGGCGCCGGGGCCGCACGTGCTGGTGCTGGTGACCCAGCTGGGCCGCTTCACGCAGGAGGAGGAGGAGGCCGCCCGGCAAGTGTGGCGGGTGCTGGGGCACAAGGCTGCGAGGCACACCATCGTCCTCTTCACCCGCAAAGAGGACCTGAGGGGTGGCTCCCTGCAGCACTACGTGGCCAGAAGCACCACCCTGCAGGCGCTGCTGCAGGCCTGCGGGGGACGGTGCTGCGCCTTCAGCAACCGGGCGGCCGGCGCCGAGCGCGAAGCCCAGGTCGAGGAGCTGATGGTGCTGGTGCAGCGGGTGCTGGAGGAGAACCAGAACACCCATTACACGAGCGAGCTCTACTCCCAGGCCACGCGGCTCCTCAGCCGCAGCGACGTGGATTTCGAAGAGAAGTGCAAGCACCTCGCGAAGCAAGTGGAGCAGCAGCTGAAGGCCAACAAGGAGACGGCGTCCCGGCGTTGCTCAGACGGTGTGTGCAGGGGCTGTGGTCCATGCTATACATGTGCCTGTGCTGCTGCTGCCGCTTCATCGTGGCAGTTCTGTCCTCAACCTGCCACTTCATCGTGGCAGCAGTCCGGCGCATTGCGCGCTTTCTGCGGCAGGCGTTCCTCGGTGGTTGGAGGGCAGTTGTCCGGCTGTACAACCGCTTCTTTCACTAGAAGCAAGAGTAGAACTAGAATACACTGTGCTGTACTACTTCTCTCATGTAATTGCACTGTGTTGCTTAACAACATGGCAAGCAGCTGATTCCCCCTCTAACAGCACCGCAGTCCCTGGTCCCTATGGGCTGTGCCTCTCGGCACAAAACTGCAGCACAAAGCTTGTGGCTGCTGAGCGGTTTCTGCTGTGTCTCCAGCTCGATGCCAGGGATGTGCCCAGGGCATTGCAGGGACGGCTGCGGACCTGGGGACACGCAGAGGGGACCCATCCCTGAGCAGCTCTGGTGGCAGCAGGTTGAGGACAGAACTGGTCACATTCCCCTCACTGCCATGGGCTGAGATCACCTCATGTCCCCGCAGGCTGGCATGGGATGTGGGGAGCCACCTTGGCCTGGCACGGGGGTGGAGGGGTGAAGGACAAGGGGCACAGGGTGATGGGCCAGATGCCAGCTGGCCCAGGAGGGACACCGAGGGACCCTGTCAGGGACACCAAGGGACAAAGCCCTTCTTCCTGCTGCCCCTCAGGTGCTGCTGCTGTTTCTCAGGGGATCGAGGCCACATGCGCAGGTTGCAGGAGATCCACGTCACTGAGGTAGGACCCCGGGCAAAGAGCATCCTAGGGACAGGTGGGACAGGTTGGTCACACGTACGTGACAGCAGAAATAGCCCTGGTGGCAGCAGTTCTGAGCATCTGAAACCACCAGGAGCTTTGACAGGGAAGTGCCGTGACACAGGATGAGATGCCGTCCCACTGGAGGTGCCCTGACCCCAGGCTCATGTGCTGTGGAGCTGCACACAGGCACAGGCTCCATTTCTCATGCGCACCTCCCTGCCTTCAGGAACACGGGCTGCCCTGCGCTTCGGTGCAGTTTCATGCTTTGCTGTGATCACTGACCCATGGCGGGGAGCCCCCCGGGGGTGTGGGGGCAGGGGTCGGAGCTGTCACTGCCAGCTCTGCAGGTGCCTGCGGAGCCAGGGAGCACCATGAGTGTGGGGAGAAAGAAGTATTTTTTCTCGCCATTCCTGCCCACCCCGTCCTCACCAGGCTGAATGTCCCTGCCTTCCCCCTGCTCCCAGTTCAAGGTTCCCCTCACCAGCGTTGAGGCTCGTGTGCTACAATGAGGAAGAGGAACACTTGGAAACGTTTCCTGAGCGCTGGCAGAGCAGGGTCCCCTCCTGCAGGCACAAAGGGGTGCGAGGGTGGGAGTCCCGTGCAATCCCACAGCAAGGGCCGTGGCTCAGGGATGGGACCCGCACCATGGAGGCACCTGATGTCCCCTGCATGGTCGCAGCCCCCATCCAGCAGGGTGAGGGAGGGGATTGTCCCCCTGTGCCCCGCTCTCGTGAGACCCCCCGGGCACTGCCTTCGCTGTGGGGTCCCAGCATTGGGACGTGGAGCTGCTGGGGCGAGTCCAGAGGAGGCCACGGGGATGCTCGGAGGCTGGAGCAGCTCTGCTGTGAGGAGAGGCCGAGAAGCTTGGGGTTGCTCAGCCTGGAGAGGAGAAGGCCCAGGGGAGACCTCACAGCGGCCTTCAGGGCCTGCAGGGGGTGCAGGAGGTCTCGGGAGGCACTCTTGGGCGGCAGGGTGTAGGGATAGGATAGCCCTGAGCGGTGAGCAGGGTCCGTAACAGCCCCTGACTATGATGCAGGTGGCAGCTGCCTCATCTCCTGCCCCTGCTCTGGGTGCTCCCTGGAGCGATTGCACCAAGAGAAACTGGTTCAAAATTAAACACTGAAACCTAAATTTTGAGATCCCTTCCAACCCAAACCATTGTAGGATTCATTCTGTGATTCATCTGGCCAGAAGTGCCATGCTGCCAGGTGCATTCTGTGTCTCATGCCTGGACACTGGTGTTCTGTTTTGGGTCAGGATGGCGGTACACACATGAACACAGAGCCCTCTACCTCCTCCACCAGGTTTTCTGGTTACTTCTTTTCTGGTAGGGCTTACACGGATTGTGGTGATCTCCCCACCTGGGGATGTTTTTGCAGCATCGTCCAGTTACGATGGAGGGGGTGGAAATGTCTGCACCATAGGAATATCAAAAGGGTGAAAAAGTTCTCCGACCTGCCTTAAAGTGTCTAGGAAGAAATTGACTCATTTAAGTTACAATCAAGCTTTTAAATATATTTCCCCCTAAGCGTGCCATATGAACCTTTCACATACTTTCTAATTACTGAAGCCATTCTTAATTTTATGCTTGTTTCGTGGACAGAACAGTCTTCTTGGGTGCGTTAAAATGTAGTACTTGTCCCTGCTTTTTGTTTTAGATGTGGTTTGTTCTACATGCCGGTTCTGTTGTGGGATTTCCCAGCTGACACGGGTTCTAGTTGTTTCATTGCACATCTGTTTCTTACCATGATGCCGAGCCCCGGAGGCTCAAACGGAGGCTGGTTGGTGCAACCCAGGGCTCGGCAGGGCACGAGCATCTCTCAGCTCAAATGAAGGGCGCAGGTACCCATGGGTCTGGGTGGATTGTCTGCCTGGGCTGGGGCTGCCACGTGTGGTTAGGTGATAAAAGCATCGTTCTCGTGCTGGCAAGGAACAGAAAGCAGAGAGCTGAGGACACGGTCAGGGGCGAGACGTGAACTGTATTGCACCTGGCCCAAGCGCTGTGACCTGAGGAGGTAAGAGGCAAGCACAGCAGCCGCTGCTGGAGCCATGCGAAGTGAGCGGTCTGTGCACCGGGTGGCTCTGTAGGGTCTCGGTATTTGGGGGTACTTTAGGAACTGCTAAGCCTGAGCAAGCTGGCAGGGAGGCAGAGGAAAGAGAGCCGAGAAGTGCTGTGGCTTTGCTGTGGATGGGGTAATTCCTCCAGTAATGACTGAATTATTTAGTGACGTGATTTTAGTTTACTTTGAGTAGTGTATAGTCTGTGCTTAGTTTTGGAGCAGTTTATCTTGCTGAAATCACTTGAGGCAGAGTCCAGAGCTCAAACAGGGGCAGGAGACGTGACAGCTGGCACCCATAGCACGATCAGTGGCAGGGACGGACCCCGCACAGCGCTCAGGCTCAGGGCTGGAGGTTCAGGTGCGGGACGAGGGCACTGAACTGACGGCGATTCTGGGGGGAGGCTCCTGCTCCAGTTGGTGGCCTCTGGAGAGCTCGCAGGTTTCCCAAAGCACTGCAAGGGTTGCCAGTGACCGAGCTGAGTTCCCCTGCCAGCTCCTCGTTCCCCAAGGCATCGGGATCCCCTCCCAAGTTGGCCACAAGCAGCTGAGGAGGAGCAGCCCTTGCCCTGTGCGTTTACCCTCGGCTGTACAACCACTTCCTGCATGCACACACAGCAGGCAGCACGCACACACCAGGTGTGTTAGTGACCTGACAGCCTGGTGATCATCATTGGCCTTGTTACTGCTGTGGGGGGAGCACGGGAGACTTTGGCAAACCTCGCTCAAAATCCCTTATTCTTCTTTCAGGCTTCCCCTCGGAGTGGGCTCAAATTTGGCAGACACTCAGATGAAAGGTGAGCTCCTTACCCACTGCACGCAGCAGCCAGAGCCTGGAGGAGCTTAGAGTCCCATGGTCACAGAGCCACAGAGTGGCCGCCCCCAGCCCCATCCAGCCTGGCCTTGGGCACTGCCAGGGATGGGGCACCCGCAGCTCCTGGGGGCAGCCTGCGCCAGGCCTCACCGCCCTCATAGTAAAGAATTTCTGCCTCGAATCTAACCCAAACCCACCCTCTTCTACCTTAAAGCCGTCACCCCGTGTCCTATCCCTACACCCCCTGCCCAAGAGTCCCTCCCAGCCCTCCTGCAGCCCCTGCAGGCACTGAGGGCCGCTGTGAGGTCTCCCCACAGCAGAATTTCACAGAATTTCTGGGTTGGAAGAGACCTCAAGATCATCGAATCCAACCTGTGACCTAACACTAACAGTCCCCACTAACCCATATCCCTAAGCTCTACATCTAAACGTCTTTTAAAGACTTCCAGGGATGGTGACTCCACCACTTCCCTGGGCAGCCTGTTCCAATGTCTAACAACCCTTTCGGTAAAGAAGTTCTTCCTAACATCCAACCTAAAACTCCCCTGGTGCAAACAGCCTTCTCCTTTAGCAGCCTCCTCATTCAGTCAGCCGGGCGCAGTGCTGCTGAGGGTGAGGCTGGGTTTGCGTCCTCGTGCAGCCTCACGCACGCTTGTGCACGCGGTGCACGGGCCCTCTGGGGAGGCCACGGGCTCGAGGATTTCCCGAGGCTGCCTCTCCTCTTCCCACTCCTTAGGCTGTGCTGTGCCAGGCTCAGGGCACATGGGGCAGCAGCCGTTGGTTACAGCCGGAGGCACAGCGCAGGGTGCAAAGTCCTGCCCCAAAACCTCGCTATCTGTGTGCCTGAGCCAGCTCTAGCCCTGCTGGGGCCGTGCAGGGCAGGCTGAGGTCCTGCGGTGATCCAGCACAGAATCCAGAGGGTGTTTCTGGCTCAGAACATGACTTCTTGTAAAGGGAGTGCTTCAGCCCGGCCGTTTGAGCACTCTGTGCATTCCTGCACTGCTGGAGAGCTGCAGCATGCACTTCTGCTTTCTCTTTCTGCCTTTGGAAGAGGTCTGGGTGCTGGCCCTCTGAGGCAGCCTTATCCAGACTCCCCTGGGGTCCCTCTTGTTGCTCCTGATGGTCCCTGGGGACCGCTGCTGGGGCCGCTAACCCTAATTCCTGTGTTTTTGCAGTAAAAACCCTTTCCTTCTCACCCCTGGGAGCGTGGCCTGCAGGGGATGTCCCGGCACCACAGGGCTGTGAGGTTCAGACACGTGTCTCTGGTTGTTCCCCCAGGACGCAGGCTGAACATCCTGCTCGTGGGCAAAACTGGAAGTGGGAAGAGTGCGACAGGGAACTCCATCCTTGGGAAGAAAGCATTTGAATCTCTGGTGTCACCAGATTCAGTGACCAAGAACTACAGTGCAGACACTGCCTCATTCCGTGGAAGAGAAATTGCCGTTATTGACACTCCTGGCCTTTTTGACACCCAGAGAGCCAATAAGGAAACAGCTGAACTGATTGGAAATGCTCTTCGTCACTTCTATGGAGGGGTGCATGCTATCATCCTGGTGATGCAACTGGCCCACATCGGTACAGAAGAGGTGGAAGTGGCTGAGTGGGTGACAAAGACTTTCCATACTGAGGCACAGAAGTACATGATCCTGTTATTCACCCGAGCAGAAGAATTTGGGAGTCCAGATGATATCCATGATTTCGTGGAAAGTAACACACACCTCAGTGGGATTGCAGAAAAATGTGAAAATAGGTACATTGCTTTCAGCAACATAGCAGCAGAGCAGAGAAGGAAACAGCAGGTTGCAGACCTCATTAAAATGATTGATGCGATGGTAGAGAAGAACAAAGATGCTCCGTGTTATACGCGAGAAATGCTGGAGGAACATACACGGACGTTTTTTGGAAAGCATTGTCCTATACTCTAGCCAACAAGGCTTTGGTCAGACGGGCGATGTTTCCTCTCTTGTGCCTTTCCTGCCGTGCTCTGAAGATCACTCTCTCCTTCCTCTCTTGACGTTTCCTCCTGTCCCGTCAGTGACCTACCTTTTCCCCTGGCCCGTGCCATTGCTCTCCTGACAGGCTGCGAGAGTGCAATGGGTGTCTGGCAACGTGTAATTCTCCTCTGCTGCTCTGTTGTGCTGGGAAGCCGGAGACCTTGGCTGGGTGGCAGAGAGCTGCACTGCCCTGCTGGCAGCACCACTGCGCTGACTCTCTCCTCCCTGGTCTGAAGACACGGCAAGCTGAAAGCAACGGGAACATCAGGGCTGTGAGATGTGCCCCCTCAGAGCACAGGTCAGCCTGGAGCGCTGCTTCCGAGATCAAAGCCTCTTGTTGTCCCCGTGGCAGCCAGGGCTCTAGGAACTTCTCCGGGCTTTGGGAGGGTTCGTGGTGCCAGCCTTGGTCTCTCTGCAGTGGGATGCTGCTGGTGTCACTGGCTGTGCTGCCCCTGCCTTCGCTGGGCAATGCGAGTAATTGTATGTGATGGCTGGGTCTAAAGAAAGTCATCTAATAAATGCTAATCTGATGCTCATCTAATAAATGCTAATAAATGCTAATAAACACTAATAAATGCCCATAAATGCTGAGCCTTGCTGTGTGGAGAGGCGCCCTTCAGTGCACTGTGACCCGCAGTGCTGAAACAGCCGTTAGGGAGGGTGGAGAATGGTCCAGGTGCATTCAGGATCAGGCCCAAGCTGCAGCTCCCCCCAGGCTGGGGTTTGGTGGTGGCCATGAGCTGTGCAAGGGCGTGAGGTCTCACTGCTTGCCAGGCGAGTGCAGCAGGCAGGGGAAGCTCTGTGGCCATACCTGAGCGTGGGGCTGGGGGAGTGCTCGGGGGGGCTGCCTGACTCACCCCAGGTTCTTCTCCCACCCAGAAAGGCTGCGGAAAGCAGCCTAGGAGGGGGGAGGAATCCCAGAACGCCAGGCTGACCTCTTTCTCAAGCGATCACAGTGAGAGAAACTGCTTCAGAGCTAAACACAGACCGTGCATCTCTGCAATTAAATAACTCTGAGGTCGAATTGTTACTGGAGGAAATACCAGAGTTAGTGTAATAGCTGCTTTGTAGGTAGCGCTGTATGGGTATCCGTGTATGTAAATGTATCAGTAACCTCCAGTGGCATAAGCAGTATCATTGCTATCCTAAAACCATTCCAGTGTGTCCTGAAGGCATCCAGTGCTGACTCCTGGCTGTCCCCATCCCTTGCATGACAAGAGGAATCACAGAATCCCAGAACCATCTAGATTGGAAGAGCCCTCCAGGATCACCCAGTCCATCCTCTGACCTACCACTAACCAGTCCTCCACTAAACCATATCACTGAGCTCTAAATCTAAACGTCTGCTAAAGACCTCCAGGGATGGTGACTCCACCACTTCCCTGGGCAGCCCATCCCAATGCCTCACAACCCTCTCCGTAATGAAATTCTTCCTAATAAATAACCTAAACCTCCCCTGGCGCAACTTTAGCCCGTTCCCCCTCATCCTGTCACCAGGCACATGGGAGAACAGACCAACCCTCACCTCGCTACAGCCTCCTTTAAGGAACTTGTAGAGAGCAATAAGGTCGCCCCCGAGCCTCCTCCTATCCAGGCTGAGCAACCCCAGCTCCCTCAGCCGCTCCTCAAAGGGAAGGGGCAGAAGAAGTGTGTTGGAGGGGTTGGGGGCTGTGTGCCACAAACTGCTGGAGACTCTGAGGGCCCCAGCACATTTCCTGGGGGCACAGAATACTTCTGCTGACCTGGAAGAAGGCTTGAAATGCAAGCAGCCCTGTAAGAATTCTGCACCGCTTGCTTAGAATGGCAAGAAAATGAGCATTTAACCTGAGGATTACGGCAAAATGCAGGCCCTGTGTGCACCTCCACCCGGGGCGTGTCTGTTGCTGTGTTAAGAGCAGCAGCAGTGGTGTGGGTAGGGGGGGTCGCCACAAGAACAAGCCAAGGCTGGGCCTGCTCCCCTCCTCTGCCACACTTCTCATTTCCAGCCAATTTTTGCATTCAAACACTGGAGCACAGGCAAGGGGGCCCGGGGAAGCACGCTGGGTTAGAAGCAGAGCAGCACTGCAAGGCTCATGCTGAAATGCAGACAGCGAAGTGGACAACTAACCCCACAGTCACACCTCCAGAGCTGCACGGGATCGAAACCAAGATCTGGGCTGGTGCATGGGTATTCGTAGGCTGCCGAGTGTCCGTGCCAGGAGGCTGAGTGCTCTCCTGTGCCTGCACCAGTGCTGGGCACAGTGGTGCCAGCAGCCACAGCCTTTGTCTCTGGGAATGCTGCTGCAGCAGCGCAGTGTCGCAGCAGGGGGGTCTGGACAGGTGGGGGCTGCTATTGGGATCCACGGGGTTCTCCGTGTCCTTTGCCAGGCCCTGCCGGGTGTCCCCATGGGAGGAGCTTGTGCTGCCTGCGCCTTGTATGCCCCCTAATGCCACGAGGGCCATGCTCCAGGCTGCCAGTGCCAACGCCGCCACCACCACCACCACCGGCAATGCTGCTGCCACTTCGTGGTGGCTGCGAGGGTTCCACGGGGACACTGCCTCTGCTGCAGCGTGGCCACGCTGGTGAGGCCAGCATGGAAGCTGCTTGAAGACATGGGTTGGTGGCGAAACTCTGTGCCGCCGGGAGGGTTTCGAGGTGGCCCAGGGCACACGTGTGCCTGGGTGCTGCAGGAGCCTCACGGGGAGGGTGCTGCTTTCTCCTGCAGCCACCCAGGGACCTGGTGTAGAGGCCATCCCTTTAAAAGATCGAAACCCAAAACCTTTTTCATGGTGATTTGCAAAGTGATTAACTGGTAAGTGCTTCACATCCGTGAGTTGTACATTAACTTGGCAGTTTGGTTTCATGCTCGGTACTTAACCAGTATGCACGCCTTGTTTACTGATAAGCTTTTGCTCAGTCAGGTCCAACGCCTCCCGGACACCCCTTGTTCTGACTTCAGGACTTGCAATTCCTCCCTGAGGGGGAGGAAGGGGCTGTTTTCCTATCTGCACCTGGCAGACCTATAAACATATAGATATATTTATGCATGTATGTGTGAATGTATACATATATGTCAATATTTTAATTCCAGTTGGTCCTTAAGGACAATTGACAAAGTCTTTGTAGGACTCCTAGATGTGATGCACATTCTGATTACCTACTGAACTTTAACCCAAACTGCTGTGTTAATTTATGACTGTCAGCCATGAAAAGCATGCTGATTACTTAATATCACGGAATGATCAAATATCTGAGTTAGAAGGGACCCACAAGGATCATCGAGTCCAACTCCTGGGTCCCCAAAGGACCAGCCCCTGTGTGTGAAAGCGGTGTCCAAACGCTCCTTGAGCTCCATCAATCTCGGGGCCGTGCCCACGTCCCTGGGCAGCCTGTCCCAGTGCCTGACCACCTCTGGGTGCAGACCCTTTCCCTAGCCCCCAGCCTGACCCTCCCTTGTCCCAGCTCCATGCCGTTCCCTCGGGTCCTGTCCCCAGAGAGCAGAGCTCAGCGCCTGCCCCTCTGCTCCCCTCGTGAGGGAGCTGCAGGCCGCCATGAGGCCTCCCCTCGTCTCTTCTCCATGCTGAACAATCCAAGCAACTTCAGCCGCTCCTCATATGTCTTCCCCTCTAGACCCTTCACCACCTTTGTTGCCCTTCTTCGGACACTCTCTAACAGTTTTTTATCTTTCTTGTACTGTGGTGCTCAGAGCTGCACTCAGTACTCGAGGTGGGGCCACACCAACGCAGAGCAGAGCAGGATGATCACTTCCTTTGACCTACAGTGCTGTCCTTGATCCAGCCCAGGATACGGTTGGCCCTCTTGGCCACCAAGGCACGCTGCTGGCTTGTGCTCAGTTTGCTGTCGATCCAAACCCCCAGAACGCTTTCTTCTGGCTGCTCTCCAGCATCTCGTCCACCGGTCTGTATAACCAGGGTTGCCCTGTTGCCCTTTCCCAGGTGCAAAATCCGACACTTGCTCTTGTTAAACTTCATATCGTTGAATGGCAATGACAATGATCTAGCTGACACCAGCTAGTTCTCAGAGTACTTTGGGACGAATCCCATCAGGCCCCATTGGCTTGTACGCATCCAGGTGGGGAAGCCAGTCTGCACAAGATCGGGGTTAACTGGGAGTTTGTTGTGCTGGCTCTCGCCATCCCCCAGCTGTGGGTAGCTGGGGCCTCAGAGCCCATCATCGGTGTTCAAGACAGAGGCAGAGGTGAAAAATGCATTAAATGTCTCTGCTTTGTCTATGTCCCTCATTGTGAGGTGACCATGCTCATCAGACCAACGTTTGCTCTGCTCCTTCTTTTCCCATTAATCTACTTCAAAAAGTCTTTTTATTGTCCCCCATGCTGCTGGGCAGCTTCAACTCTAACAGAGCCCGCGCAGAGCCGGGAGCAGCTCATCTGGGCTCGGTGTCAGACAGCTGTCGGTGTGTCCCCTAGCCCCAAGACTAGCTCCGGCTTCCCTGCCAGGCCTCGACACCATGGTGTGGGCAGCCCACGGCCCCAAGGCCCCAGCAGCAGTCCCCGGGGACCATCAGGAGCAGCATGAAGGCAGAAAGAGAAAGCAGAAGTGCATGCCGAAGACCCCAGCAGCCCAGAAATGCACAGAGTGCTCAAACGGCCGGGCTGAAGCACCCCCTTTACAAGAAGTCACGTGCTGAGCCAAAAAAACCCACTGGATTCTGTGGTGGATCACCGCAGGCCCTCGGCCTGCCCTGCACGGCCCCAGCAGGGCCAGAGCTGGCTCACGCACACAGATAGCGAGGTTTTGGGGCAGGACTTTGCACCCTGCGCTGTGCCTCCGGCTGTAACCAACGGCTGCTGCCCCATGTGCCCTGAGCCTGGCACAGCACAGCCTAAGGAGTGGGAAGAGGAGAGGCAGCCTCGGGAAATCCCAGCCCCTGACCGCGGTGCAGGCTGCAGCTGCCTCGTCTCCTGCCCCTTCTTCTGTCAGGGCTCTGCCTCCAGTCCCACCAGCAGCAGGAACTGCTTGAAAAATAAACACAGATCATCGCAGGAGTTAAATAACTCTGAGGCTGGACTGTTTCTGGAGGAATTACAGGAATTACAGGAAGTAGCGTTAGAGTTGCCCGCACCTCCAGGGCTGCACAGAATCGAAACCAAGCTGGGGGCTGGTGCGGGAGGAGCCGGTGCTGCCCTTGTGGCATGAGCACAGTTCTCCAGGCTGACACCGGCCGTCACCGCTGTCACTTCCTGGTGGCTGTGAGCGTCCCGCGGGGACAAGGCGAACGCCAGCACAGGACGTGCAGGAAGGTACGGGTGGGAGGCCAGGGGCCGCGAGGCTCCGTGCCAGCGGGGAGGGCTCTGAGGGGGCCTGGGGACCTGGCGCAGGGCAGCGGGGCAGGGAAGTGGCTCTTCCCCAGTCCCCTTCTCCCTCCTTCCCTGTTCCCCACTCCTCACTCCCCATGCTTGGTGTGGCCCCGACCGCAGCCCAGGGGAGCACCTGGGCACCATGCTCAGCCCCAAGTACGGCCACAGCTGCACGAGTGTCACCACCCCGAGGGTTCTTGCCACCACCTGAGGGTCCCTGCCAACCTACTGCCTTCCCCCGTGCCTGAAATCCTGTGCAGACTGAGACTGAGACTGAGGAAACAGACCAGCGGCCCTCTTTCCCCGCAACACCTCATTGCTCCAGCTGTTATTTTGAATTTCTGTTCCTTGCTGCTGTCCGTGCACTGCTGTGACTGCACACGCAGTAGTGCGATCCAGGGGACCCCGTCTGTCCCAGTGCCACCGCAGCCTGACCCAGCTGCAGTGTCTCCGACCCCTTCCCACAGCGGGGGCACACAGAGCCCCGCAGCCTCCAGTGGCCAGCAGCAAGGTTTCGAAACCATCCCCACTTTTAATGAAAATCCCTTCTGCTGTCAGTGATGCTCCCAGCATCTGGGTGCCTGCTGACGGAGCCCTGGGTGTCTGCTTTTGTCTCTGCAGCCAGGCCGTGGCCATCCATCGTGTCTATTTGCAGCCCGGGCTCGGCGGGGACTTGGAGATGAGGCTGATCCTGGCCGGGAAGGCTGGTGGGGGGAAAAGCGCCACGGGGAACACCCTCCTTGGGAAGCGTGTCTTTGAGTCCAAGCTGTCCCACCAGCCAGTGACCGTGAGATGTGCGAGTGCACAGGGGCACTGGGATGGCAAGGACTTCACGGTGGTTGACACGGCCAACATTTTCAACCCCGAAGGTGACAGCAGTGAGGTGCGCCAAGAAATTATCCGCTGCATCAGGCTGTCCTCCCCGGGCCCCCATGCGCTGCTGCTGGTGACCCAGCTGGGCCGATTCACCCAGGAGGATGAGGAGGCCGCAGAGAGACTGCAGGACATCTTTGGAGCTGATGTTTTGCAGCACACAATTGTCATATTCACCCGTGCGGAAGAGCTCGTGGGGGGGTTGCTGCAAGATTATGTGAAGTATTCCAAAAACAGGGCTCTCTGCGAGCTGATTGAGAGATGCGGGAACAGGTACTGCGGCTTCAACAACCGGGCAGTTGGAGCCGAACGGGACCACCAGGTCATGGAGCTGATGGGGATGGTCCGCTGCATGGTGTGGGCGAATGGGGACAGGTACTACAGCAATGAGATGTACCTGGAGCCCATTTTAACAGAAGAGAAGGTGGCGTATCACATGGCGAGGTACAGAGAAGGCAGGAAAAGTATTGGGTTTCTCACTCTGTCTTACAGGAGACCTATTGTGATTTGTGGGATGATTCTCCTTGCCATTGCGGTGGTTGTCATTATTTTTCTTATTTGGTGGGAGCGATGAATCCCAGCACCACAGAGCCACTGAACGCCTGGGGCTGGAGGCACCTCTGGACACCGCTCCAGCTGCCCAGGACCGTGTCCACTGGGTGTTGGACATCTCCAGGGATGGAGAATCCAGCGCTAGTCTGGGCAGCCTGTGCCAGTGCTCAGACACCTGCACAGCAAAAAAAGACTTTCCTGATGTCTCAGTGGGCATCCTTGTGCCTCCATTGGTGCCCATGCCCTTGTGTCCAAGCTCTGGGCACCCCACCAGGCATTCACACACACAGACGGGAACCCCAAGCCCCTTTCCTCAGGCTGAGCAGCCCCAGCTCCCAGCATCTGCCCATCTTGCAGATGACTCCTTGTCTCGATGCAATGGAACCAACTCTTCCTTGGAAAAGGAGAGGAATTGTCTATTTTTAATGAGCTTCCCTTTAATCAATTGTCATATATGTAGTGCAGGACAAAAAATATGTTTTTCTTTTAACCTAGGCTCCCTTTGATCAGGGACTGAATGCTCCTTCTGGGAGAAACCAAAGAAAGTTGCCAATAGCAAGTAGCCTGAGGTTGTACTTAGGTGATGTGAACATTTTGAGAATCAAGGTTGTATTTTTGCAATAGAAGTTGTTTTTGCAGTGGAATATCCACTAACCTTGCATATTCAAATGTGATTGTGCAGCCATGACAGCAGCATAGCACTAGTTAAGCAGATAAGGGGAAGGTCCCACTGTCCCAACATAAGAAACATAGATAATTAAAATTGGATGAGTAGTACAAAATAAGCAAAAACAAGAATCACAGGCCCTCTAATCACAAGAGAAGTAAAAAAAAAAAAAAAAAAAAAAAAAAGGAAAAGGAGAAATCAATGGCTGGTCAAATAAAATTGTACCTATATGGTATAGAAGTGCGTCAAGTAAGTTGTGAACCTGTAGTATTCAACCAGTGAGGAAACAGGGAGAAATCAGGTGTCGGGAAATAGGGGACATAGGGCTAGGGTAAACTTGTGCTGTGCGCTCCCACTTGCAGGATATGAAAAACAAAGTTGTGTTTTTGCAGTAGAGAATTACTTTTCTGTATTCCAAGGTAGCTGTGTAGTCATAATAAGGAGAAATGCGCAGTAGGTAAGTGGACAGGAGAAGGCTTCACTGTTCCAAAATAAGGTGGAAGCTTGAGACAAACAGGATGAGCAGTGTGGGAATAGTAAAACAAAGATCACAGAAACATAAGAAAAAAAAAAAAAAAGGAAAAGGGAGAAATTAAGGGGTGTAAAGAAAGAAGAACTGTACGCGTATGGTATAAAGGAGCGTCAAGTAGCTTGTGAAACTGTAGTACTCAGCCAGTGAGGAAACAGGGGAGGTAATGAGGTGTCGGGTAATAGGGAATAAAAGGTTATGATGTGTTTACTAGAATGGGCTCCTAATTGGTAGGACGCCTGCCACTGCAATCATGAATAAAATAGCTTCACGGAACATCCTGTCTGAAGAAAATTATTTGAGATTTTCCTCACAAGGATGCCCACCATTGCAATTGCGATTAAAATAGCTTCATGGAAGGTCCCATCTAAGAAAATTATTGATATTTTTATCACACCACCAATAGATAAAAGGGGTTAGGGTGCTTCATTGGGGAACACCACCAAGGACCCCCACAGAAAGGAAGGCATGTGCAGGAGGGCCTGAAAAGGAGCCATTAAGAATGATGCCGCGTGAGCACAAAACTCAGGTAGATGAGAATGAATTTGTATTAGATCACTAGAATAGTCATGAATTTAATGTCTGCATGTAGCCAGGAAGTCGACATTGGCTGTGCTTGATCTGTGGAAACTGCACCGAGCTCTGAGGCCTGAATAAAAGCAATCTCTCTCCTGAGTGCGTGCGAATGGGCTTATTGCACACGGGGTGAAGGATCATAGAGTCATAGAATGGTTGGGGTTGGGAGGAACCTTAAAGATCATCCAACTCCAACCCCCCTGAAACAGACGAGGCTGCCTCCCCCCAGATGAGGTTGGCCAAGGCCCATCCAGCCTGGCCTTGAACACCTCCAGGGATGGGGCATCCACAGCTTCTCTGGGCAACATGTGCCTCACCACCGTCTGAGTGAAGAATTTCTTCCTAACATCCAATCAAAATCTCCCCTCTTTCAGTTTAAAAACATTCCCCCTTGTCCTATCATTATCTACACAATTAAACAGTCCCTCTCCATCCTTTTTATAAGAACCCTTTGAGCACTGAAAGGCCTCAATGAGGTGTCCACAGAGCCTTCTTTGGATGGCATCCCTTCCTTCTCCTGTGCTGACTGCACCACTCAGCTTGGTGCCATCTACAAACTTACATCATGACACATTTCAATCATGCCTGGCACTGGGTCCTTGTGCATCCACATGTGTGGTGGGAGCGGAGGATGGCAAAATCCTTCTTGATGTGCCAAGCCAAGCCATGTCGTGCCAGCTTCAGGAGCTGAGTGGATCTCTGGGTCAAGTGGTGCCTGCCGTAGTGCGGGTGCCTGCCCCGGTTCCCTTCCCGTACTTCCTTCTACCTCCTTTGCTTGAGGAAGCGGTCAGCCTGGCGTTCTGGGATTCCTCCCCCCTCCTAGGCTGCTTTCCGCAGCCTTTCTGGGTGGGAGAAGAACCTGGGGTGAGTCAGGCAGCCCCCCCGAGCACTCCCCCAGCCCCACGCTCAGGTATGGCCACAGAGCTTCCCCTGCCTGCTGCACTCGCCTGGCAAGCAGTGAGACCTCGCGCCCTTGCACAGCTCATGGCCACCACCAAACCCCAGCCTGGGGGGAGCTGCAGCTTGGGCCTGATCCTGAATGCACCTGGACCATTCTCCACCCTCCCTAACGGCTGTTTCAGCACTGCGGGTCACAGTGCACTGAAGGGCGCCTCTCCACACAGCCAGGCTCAGCATTTATGGGCATTTATTAGCGTTTATTAGATGAGCATTTATTAGATGAGCTTCTGTAGACCCAGCAATCAGATACAATTACTCGCATTGCCCAGCGAAGGCAGGGGCAGCACAGCCAGTGACACCAGCAGCATCCCACTGCAGAGGGACCAAGGCTGGCACCACGAACCCTCCCGAAGCCCGGAGAAGTTCCTAGAGCCCTGGCTGCCATGGGGACAACAAGAGGCTTTGATCTCGGAAGCAGGGCTCCAGGCTGACCTGTGCTCTGAGGGGGCACATCTCACAGTCCTGATGTTCCTGTTGCTTTCAGCTTGCCATGTCTTCAGACCAGGGAGGAGAGAGTCAGCGCAGTGGTGCTGCCAGCAGGGCAGTGCAGCTCTCTGCCACCCAGCCAAGGTCTCCGGCTTCCCAGCACAACAGAGCAGCAGAGGAGAATTACACGTCGCCAGACACCCATTGCACTCTCGCAGCCTGTCAGGAGAGCAATGGCACAGGCCAGGGGAAAAGGTAGGTCAGTGACGGGACAGGAGGAAACATCAAGAGAGGAAGGAGAGAGTGATCTTCAGATCGTGGCAGGAAAGGCACAAGAGAGGAAACATCGCCCGTCTGACCAAAGCCTAGTTGGCTAGAGTATAGGACAATACTTTCCAAAAGCTGTCCGTGTGTCTTTCTCCAGCATTTCTCGCGTGTAACACGGAGCATCTTTGTTCTTCTCTACCATCGCATCAATCATTTTAATGAGGTCTGCAACCTGCTGTTTCCTTCTCTGCTCTGTAGCTTCGTTGCTGAAAGCAATGTACCTATTTCCACATTTTCCTGCAATCCCGCTGAGGTATTCGTTTGATTTCACAAAATCGTGGATACCATCTGGACTCTCAAGTTCTTCTGCTCGGGTGAATAACAGGATCGTGTACATCTGTGCTTCAGTATGGAAAATCTTTGTCACCCACTCAGCCACTTCCACCTCTTCTTTACTGATGTGGGCCAGTTGCATCACCAGGATGATAGCATGCACCCCTCCATAGAAGTGACGAAGAGCATTTCCAATCAGTTCAGCTGTTTCCTTATTGGCTCTCTTGGTGTCAAAAAGGCCAGGAGTGTCGATAACAACAATTTCTCTTCCACAGAATGTGGCACTCTCATAACTGTAGCTCTTGGTCACTGAATCTGGTGACACCATAGATTTAAATTCTTTCTTCCCAAGGATGGTGTTCCCTGTCGCACTCTTCCCATTTCCAGTTTTGCCCACGAGCAGGATGTTCAGCTTGGGTCCTGGGGGAACAACCAGAGACACGTGTCTGAACCCAACAGCCCTGTGGTGCCGGGACACCCCCTGCACGCCACACTCCCAGGGGTGAGAAGGAAAGGGTTTTTACTGCAAAAACACAGGAATTAGGGTTAGCGGCCCCAGCAGCGGTCCCCAGGGACCATCAGGAGCAACACGAGGGACCCCAGGGGAGTCTGGATAAGGCTGCCTCAGAGGGCCAGCACCCAGACCTCTTCCAGAGGCAGAAAGAGAAAGCAGAAGTGCATGCTGCAGCTCTCCAGCAGCCCAGGAATGCACAGAGTGCTCAAATGGCCGGGCTGAAGCACTTCCTTTACAAGAAGTCACATGCTGAGCAAAAAACACCCACTGGATTCTGTGCTGGATCACCGCAGGACCTCAGCCTGCCCTGCACGGCCCCAGCAGGGCCAGAGCTGGCTCAGGCACACAGATAGCGAGGTTTTGGGGCAGGACTTTGCACCCTGCGCTGTGCCTCCGGCTGTAACCAACGGCTGCTGCCCCATCTGCCCTGAGCCTGGCACAGCACAGCCTAAGGAGTGGGAAGAGGAGAGGCAGCCTCGGGAAATCCTCGAGCCCGTGGCCTCCCCAGAGGGCCCGTGCACCGCGTGCACAAGCGTGCGTGAGGCTACACGAGGACGCAAACCCAGCCTCACCCTCAGCAGCACTGCGCCCGGCTGACTGAATGAGGAGGCTGCTAAAGGAGAAGGCTGTTTGCACCAGGGGAGTTTTAGGTTGGATGTTAGGAAGAACTTCTTTACCGGAAGGGTTGTTCGACATTGGAACAGGCTGCCCAGGGAAGTGGTGGAGTCACCATCCCTGGAAGTCTTTAACAGATGTTTAGATGTAGAGCTTAGGGATATGGGTTAGTGGGGACTGTTAGTGTTAGGTCAGAGGTTGGACTCAATGATCTTGAGGTCTCTTCCAACCTAGAAATTCTGTGAAATTCTGCTGTGGGGAGACATCACAGCGGCCCTCAGTGCCTGCAAGGGCTGCAGGAGGGCTGGGAGGGACTCTTGGGCAGGGGGTGTAGGGATAGGACACGGGGTGACGGCTTTAAGGTAGAAGAGGGTGGGTTTGGGTTAGACCTGAGGCAGAAATTCTTTACTATGAGGGTGGTGAGGCCTGGTGCAGGCTGTCCCCAGGAGCTGTGGGTTCCCCATCCCTGGCAGTGCCCAAGGCCAGGCTGGATGGGGCTGGGGGCAGCCACTCTGTGGCTCTGTGACCATGGGACTCTAAGCTTGGCCAGGCTCTGGCTGCTGCGTGCAGTGGGTAAGGCGCTCACCTTCCATCTTAGCGTCTGCCAAATTTGAGCCCACTCCGAGGGGAAGCCTGAAAGAAGAATAAGGGATTTTGAGCGAGGTTTGCCAAAGTCTCCCGTGCCCTCCCCACAGCAGTAACAAGGCCAATGATGATCACCAGGCTGTCGGGTCACTAACACACTTGGCGTGTGCGTGCTGCCTGCTGTGTGTGCATGCAGGAAGTGGTTGTATAGCTGAGGGTAAACACACGGGGCAAGGGCTGCTCCTCCTCAGCTGCTTGTGGCCAACTTGGGAGGGGATCCCGATGCTTTGGGGAACGAGGAGCTGGCAGGGGAACTCAGCTCGGTCACTGGCAACCCTTGCAGTGCTTTGGGAAACCTGAGAGCTTGCAGAGGACGTGCACAGCCCCCAACTGGAGCAGGAGCCTCCCCCCAGAATCACCATCAGTTCAGTGCCCTCGTCCGGCACCTGAACCTCCAGCCCTGAGCCTGAGCAGTGTGTGGGGTCTGTCCCAACCCCCAGCGGTGTGCGGGGTCCGTCCCTGCCACTGATCATGCCATGGGTGCCAGCTGCCACATCTCCTGCCCGTTTCAGCTCTGGACTCTGCCTTGAGTGATTTCAGCAAGATAAACTGCTCCAAAACTAAGCACAGACTATACACTACTCAAAGTAAACTAAAATCACGTCACTAAATAATTCAGTCATTACTGGAGGAATTACCCCATCCACAGCAAAGCCACACCACTTCTCGGCTGTCTTTCTTCTGACTCCCTGCCAGCTAGCTCAGGCTTAGCAATTCCTAAAGTACCCCCAAATGCCGAGACCCTTCAGAGCCACCCGGTGCACAGACCGCTCACTTCGCATGGCTCCAGCAGTGGCTGCTGTGCTTGCCTCTTACCTCCTCAGGTCACAGTGCTCGGGCCAGGTGCAATACAGTTCACGTCTTGCCCCTGATCGTGTCCTCAGCTCTCTGCTTTCTGTTCCTTGCCAGCACGAGAACGATGCTTTTATCACCTAACCACACGTGGCAGCCCCAGCCCAGGCAGACGATCCACCCAGACCCATGGGTACCTGAGCCCTTCATTTGAGCTGAGAGATGCCCTGCCCTGCCGAGCCATGGGTTGCACCAACCAGCCTCCGTTTGAGCCTCCGGGGCTCGGCATCACGGTAAGAAACAGAAGTGCAATGAAACAACTAGAACCCGTGTCAGCTGGGAAATCCCACAACAGAACCGGCATGAAGAACAAACCACAGCTAAAACAAAAAGCTGGGACAGGTACTACATTTCAACACCCCCAAGAAGACTGTTCTGTCCACAAACAAGGAAAAAATTAAGAATGGCTTCAGTAATCAGAAAGTATGTGAAAGGTTCATATGGCACGCTTAGGGGGAAATATATTTAAAAGCTTGATTGTAACTTAAATGAGTCAATTTCTTCCTAGACACTTTAAGGCAGGTCAGAGAACTTTTTCACCCTTTTGATATTCCTATGGTGCAGACATTTCCACCCCCTCCATCGTAACCGGATAATGCGGCAAAAACATCCCCAGGTGGGGAGATCACCACAATCCGTGTAAGCCCTACCAGAAAAGAAGTAACCAGAAAACCTGGTGGAGGAGGTAGAGGGCTCTGTGTTCGTGTATGTACCGCCATCCTGACCCAAAACAGAACACCAGTGTCCAGGCATGAGACACAGAATGCACCTGGCAGCATGGCACTTCTGGCCAGACGAATCACAGAATGAATCCTACAATGGTTTGGGTTGGAAGGAACCTCAAAATTTAGGTTTCAGTGTTTAATTTTGAACCAGTTTCTCTTGGTGCAATCGCTCCAGGGAGCACCCAGAGGTGGAGCAGGGACAGGAGATGAGGCAGCTGCCACCCGCATCACAGTCAGGGGCTGGGACGGACCCTGCTCACCGCTCAGGGCTATCCTATTCCTACACCCTCCCGCCAAGAGTGCCTCCCCACCCCTCGTGCACCCCCTTCAGGCTCTGAAGGCCGCTGTGAGGTCTCCCCGGGGCCTTCTCCTCTCCAGGCTGAGCAACCCCAACCCCTTGGCCTCTCCTCACAGCAGAGCTGCTCCAGCCTCCGAGCATCCCCGTGGCCTCCTCTGGACGCACCCCAGCAGCTCCACATCCCGGCGTTGGGGCCCCACAGCAAAGGCAGAGCTTGGGGGGGTCTCACGAGAGCGGGGCTCAGGGGGACAATCCCCTCCCTCACCCTGCTGGATGGGGGCTGCGACCATGCAGGGGACATCAGGTGCCTCCATGGTGCGGGTCCCATCCCTGAGCCACGGCCCTTGCTGTGGGATTGCACGGGACTCCCACCCTCGCACCCCTCTGTGCCTGCAGGAGGGGACCCTGCTCTGCCAGCACTCAAGAAGCGTTTCCAAGTGTTCCTCTTCCTCATCGTAGCACACGAGCCTCAACGCTGGTGAGGGGAACCTTGAACTGGGAGCAGGGGGAAGGCAGGGACATTCAGCCTGGTGAGGACGGGGTGGGCAGGGATGGCGAGAAAAGATACTTCTTTCTCCCCACACTCATGGTGCTCCCTGGCTCCACAGGCACCTGCAGAGCTGGCAGTGACAGCTCCGACCCCTGCCTCCACACCCCCGGGGGCTCCCCGCCACAGGTCAGTGATCACAGCAAAGCATGAAACTGCCCAGAAGCGCAGAGCAGCCCGTGTTCCTGAAGGCAGGGAGGTGCGCATGAGAAATGGAGCCTGTGCCTGTGTGCAGCTCCACAGCACATGAGCCTGGGGTCAGGGCACCTGCAGTGGGACGGCATCTCATCCTGTGTCACGGCACTTCCCTGCCAAAGCTCCTGGTGGTTTCAGATGCTCAGAACTGCTGCCACCAGGGCTATTTCTGCTGTCACGTACGTGTGACCAAACTGTCCCACCTGTCCCTAGGATGCTCTTTGCTCTGGGTCCTACCTCGGTGACGTGGATCCCCGAGAACCTGCACATGTGGCCTCGATACCCTGAGAAACAGCAGCAGCACCTGAGGGGCAGCAGGAAGAAGGGCTCGGTCCCTTGGTGTCCCTGACAGGGTCCCTTGGTGTCCCTCCTGGGCCAGCTGGCATTTGGCCCATCACCCTGTGCCCCTTGTCCTTCACCCCTCCACCCCCGTGCCAGGCCAAGGTGGCTCCCCAAATCCCATGCCAGCCTGCGGGGACATGAGGTGATCTCAGCCCATGGCAGTGAGGGGAATGTGACCAGTTCTGTCCTCAACCTGCTGCCACCAGAGCTGCTCAGGGATGGGTCCCCTCTGTGTGTCCCCAGGTCCGCAGCCATCCCTGCAATGCCCTGGGCACATCCCTGGCATCGAGCTGGAGACAAAGCAGAAACTGCTCAGCAGCCGCAAGCTTTGTGCTGCAGTTTTGTGCCGAGAGGCACAGCCCATATGGGGACTGCGGTGCTGTTAGAGGGGGAATCGGCTGCTTGCCATGTTGTTAAGCAACACAATGCAATTACATGAGAGAAGTAGTACAGCACAGTGTATTCTAGTTCTGCTCTTGCTTCTAGCGCAAGAAGCAGTGGTACAGCCGGACAACTGCCCTCCAACCACCGAGGAATGCCTGCCGCAGAAAGCGCACATTGTGCCGGACTGCTGCCACGATGAAGCAAGATTGAGGACAGAACTGCCACGATGAAGCGGCAGATTGAGGACAGAACTGCCACGATGAAGCAGCAGCAGCAGCACGGGCACCACATGTATTGCATGGACCACAGCCCCTGCACACACCGTCTGACCAACCCCAGGACGCCGTCTCCCTGCAGCTGCTGCTCCACTTGCTTCGCGAGGTACTCGCACTTCTCTTCGAAATCCATGTCGCTGCGGCTGAGGAGCCGCGTGGCCTGGTAGTAGAGCTTGCTCGTGTAATGGGTGCTCCAGTTCTCCTCCAGCACCTGATGCACCAGCACCATCAGCTCCTCGACCTGGGCTTCGCGCTCGGCTCTGGCCGCCCGGTTGCTGAAGGCGCAGCACCGTCCCCCGCAGGCCTGCAGCAGTGCCCGCAGGGCGGCGTTGCTGGGGTGTGCCACATAGTGCTGCAGGGAGCCACCCCTCAGGTCCTCTTTGCGGGTGAAGAGGACGATGGTGTGCCTCGCAGCCTCGCGCCCCAGCACCTGCCACACTTGCCGGGCGGCCTCCTTGTCCTCCTGCGTGAAGCAGCCCAGCTGGGTCACCAGCACCAGCACGTGCGGCCCCGGCGCCGACAGCAGCAGGCAGCGGGCAAGCTCATAGCAGGACCGGGCGCTGTGCTCCGGTGAGTCAAATATGTTGGGGGTGTCGGTGACCACCACGCTGTGGCCCCTCCAGAGCCGGCTCTCCTGGGCACATGTCTGTGTTACCGAATTTGGCGCCAGGCGTGACTCGAAGGCCTCCCACCCCAGGATGGTGTTCCCCGTTGCGCTTTTCCCTGCACCGGTCTTCCCGACGAGTACCAGGCGCAGCTCCATGTGCTCCTGGGTCCCCTGGCCTGCTGGCATCAGTGAGGGGAAAGGCTCAGTGAGAGAGCAGCAGTGTGTAAAGCACTGCCTGGGGTGGGGCATGCATGGAAACAGCCCGGCACAGGGGCACAGAGCTGCCTGTGCCATCCCGGGGATGCTCTTACCTCCCCAGGGATACCCGTGACACCCCAGGGATACCCGTGACACCCCAGGGATGCCTGTCCCCTCTCCACGTGCACGGCACTGCTTGGCACATGCCTGCTCTGTCCCCAAAACCCCCCCACCGACTGGGAGATTGCCAGGAGAGCCCGGTCCCCGCGGTGCCTGCGGTGGCACGAGGACACCGATCCCCTGCGAGGGGGCTCTGGGGCAGGGCAGTGCCCGGCCCTTGCACCCTTACCGTGATCCTCCCAGGAGCCGCTCGCCATCGTGCTCTACCGCAGTGTCAGTGCAGGAAGGGTGATGCCAGAGCTGGGTCACAGGCTGCAGGGGGACAGAGAGCAAACACACGTGCAGGGTGAAGGCTTTCCCGCTGGGCTTGGGGGATAAGGGCGCTGGCAGGCTGTGACCAAGCCCTTGAGAAGGCCGAGCCTGCAGCGCCAGCCCAGCCAGCAGCAGGCTTAGCCATGCACCATTCGCCTGTAGGTGAGCAACGCCGGCTGCTCCCGATCCCTGCGTTCAGAAGCAGCCCCCCAGGGACCTGCTGTACGGTTTCTGCGCTGCTGAGCTGTGACTCCGGAGCCGTGCAGCGCACTGGGGAGCAAACCCGGTGAGCACCAAGCCCCTGCAACCTACCCACAGCTCCAGGTGCAGCAGTGTCCCTGGGCAGGAGGTGCCCGTGCCCGGCCCCAGCTTTTAGTTTGGGGCTGCGGGGGCGGGAGCTGAGCGCAGCAGGGCTGGGTGCAAGGTTCAAGGACAGCCCAGAAACACTCGTGGGGGGCACGGAGCTGTGGGGGGCGGTTTGCTGCATGCTCTGCGGGGCACACCCAGCCCCAGCTGCAAACACCGAGGGTCTGGCTCTGCTCCTGGGCTGCCTCCCCTCGGCCCCACGGCAACCTCTCAAAAAGCACTGGGAAAGCTCGGTCTGTGCAAATGAGGGAACGCATGGCCTGGAAATACACCTCAGCGGTCATGAGGTTGACGAGACGATGAGGTGCAGCCTCCTACCAGAGGAGTTTTGGTCTGATGCTCGTACAAACACAGCCGGAGGCTCCCTTTTCCACCCAGGCTGTGGTGTGTGAGGCCGCAGTCTCCTGAGCTGGGGACGTTTTGTGGCACAGCACAAACTGGTGTTCAACCCCTGCCCGGCCCCTCTGCTAAGCCCAGGTCCCTCGCAGGACGCAGGGAGCCCCCTCCTCCAGCCCCTGCATACCACAGCCCCAGCACTCTGCTCGTGCTTTGGACCGAGACACTCGAGCACCGCGTTGTGCTCGGGGCCGTCCATACAGGGCGGCAAGTCCGGACCCCTGTGGGTGCCCGGGCACCCACCGCCCATGGCTCTGCGGTTCCCTGTGGCTTTGCAGTCCCCGTGGCACCGCGGTGTGCCTGTCTGCTCACCATCACCCGTGGGCACGCTGCCCCGCAGCTCCCCTGGATCTGCTGCTGTGCTTGGGCTGCGCGCCTCCTTCACGTCCCCTTCCTGCTCCCCAGCCCCCTCCTGGGACGCTTTTACTTTCGGTCTGTCCGCGAACCTCCCGTGCTCCTGCTTCAGGCACCTCCTCGCCCCCCTCCTCATCCCCGCAGGGGCTCGGGCACTCTTCCACTCTTCCTCCCCATCCTCTTCCTCTCGGCCACACGTCCCCAGCCCGGCCAGTTCGGGATGCCCGCGGGGTTGCCCCTGGCTGCTGGGGGGTCCGCACGGTGTCTGCTGGGGGGCTCTGGGGGGTCCTAGGCCAGAGCTGCCGTGCCATAGCCACGGGGCAGCCGCCACCAGGGTCCAGCGTCGCCCAGGGGTGCTCCAGCACGGGGGGCACCGCTCCGGGACACACGGCGCAGCCCTGGTTCCGTTCCCATGTTCGCCCACTGACCGGAGTCCAACCCGCAGACCCCGGTGCCACCCGCTCCCAGTCCCCCGGCGGTTCCCTCACCTGTTTGGCTCCAGTACCTGCCGGTCCCCCAGAGCCGCCGGCACTCGGTGAGACCGGGAGCGGCACCCAGGTGTGCAGCAGCGGCCGCCGAGTAAGCCTGGAGAACTGTGCTCATGCCACAAGGGCAGCACCGGCTCCTCCCGCACCAGCCCCCAGATTGCTTTCGATTCTGTGCAGCACTGGAGGTGCAGGCAACTCTAACGCTAATTCCTGTAATTCAGGAATTAACACCCCTGTAATAACATCACCTGCCCAAGAGTCCCTCCCTGCCCTCCTGCAGCCCCTGCAGGCACTGAGGGCCACTGTGAGGTCTCCCCGCAGCCTTCTCCTTTAGCAGCCTCCTCATCCAGTCAGCCGGGCGCAGTGCTGCTGAGGGTGAGGCTGGGTTTGCGTCCTCGATGAGCCAGAGCTGGCTCAGGCACACAGCGAGGTTTTGGGGCAGGACTTTGCACCCTGCGCTGTGCCTCCGGCTGTAACCAACGGCTGCTGCCCCATCTGCCCTGAGCCTGGCACAGCACAGCCTAAGGAGTGGGAAGAGGAGAGGCAGCCTTGGGAAATCCTCAAGCCCCAAAGGGCCCGTGCACTGCCGTGCACAAGCGTGCGTGAGGCTGCACGAGGACGCAAACCCAGCCTCACCCTCAGCAGCACTGCGCCCGGCTGACTGAATGAGGAGGCTGCTAAAGGAGAAGGCTGTGGGGAGACCTCACAGCTGACTCACGGAAAGCTGACTCCACAGTCACTGAGATTGTACAGTAGGTATGTTTATTCAGCGCTGGGCAGCACGGGGGGTAGTCCCAAAAAAGTCATGCACCCCTAACGCGGCAACTTGCCGTGGTTATATGCAGTAAAGAGTTACGTATTCATGAAGTTTCCCAATACGCCTATACATATGCATAACCTGTCCCCGCTTAGTATTAAAATTAATTCCAAGAAGTCATTTCCATAAATTCCTCTTGTCTGTGCTTGCTCAGTGCCTTGTGGTGGTGGGCGCTGAGGGTCATGGGGATGAAGTAAGATGTCTTCATCAGGGTTGAACTTTTCACCTCATCTCTTTGCGCATGCTCTCTGAGGCCTTGGTCACAATCTGGGCCATAAGGTTGTTTTGATCTGCTTCTTGGGGTCCGAAGGGCTCCTGTTATCTGGAGGCCTAAGCGCAGCACAGGCGCAGTACATCGCAAATATAGCACCTGTTCATTCTTAGTCAATCACTCTCTAATTTCTAATCCCAATGATTCAGTCCTCCCTTTTCTGGAAAATCTACTAAATTCTTTTAGTTAATACAAAAATTCTTCTTCTCAGTCTCTATGGTATGTACCCCTCAATGCCTTGCCATGCACTTTTGTCAAGGAAGATAATATAGACATTCGTTGTAACAATTTCCAATTCCAAACAAATATTACAAAAGACAATATTAAACTTGTACCAACTAATATCTATAAAACAATAATTGGGTGACACAATGTGTTCAAAATCCCAGTTGCAGTGGGCGACCATCCAAAGAGTGTATCCCACCAGTTGTGATTTGTGTCCTGTTTTGCTCTTTGCCTTTGTATCATGATGGACAGTGATTAGAGTGTACATTGTGTTGTTAGACTCGATCAACTGGTGGGATACCACTGGTGCCAAACACAGAAAATGACACCCGACGATTCTAACAAAGTTACAAATACAAATGTTAGAATGATTTTTGCTAGGGAGAGTTATGTTCTCCTTATCTACTTCTACAAAATCACAAGCAGTTCTTAAACACACATAGCCTTGACCGATATATACAAGCACAGTCTTTTGACTAGTATTTGGATGAATTTCAAAGTGGCAAACACCTTGCTCCGTGTCAAGACATACATCCTGAGCATCAATTGTATTACTTTCACAAATAAATCCTTGCTGTTCCCAGGTAACACATGATTCTAGATTTACAGACTGCCATCTCCCATTCTCCATCCGTGCCCATGTTCTATGCTCCGACGGACAGAGCACTGTCTCCTCATGGTTTAATCCTAGTGCAATGATGGGGTGGATAACATAAACTGTGCCATTACGTATAGTAAGCACAAAGGCAGTAGCCATGTTAACAATGGGGTCATAGGTAAAATTTACCAGAGTCCACCAAGATTGGAATTTCTCAAAATCATTGGCATTGTCCCAAACAGTCTTTTGGACTTCAACTGGAAAAATGCCTTCACTTCCTTCCCTAATGATCAAGGCAGCCGTTGCCTGAATCCGTAACTGTGCTTGTATACAACTAAGAGTTAAAGATGCATTATCTTGAACCATACTAAGTGCATCTATTATTAGTTTGTGGTCTTGGTCTTCAACCTTTTCCCATCTCGGTAACACCTTTGAAACTCGTTCCATTAATCATTCAGCACCCTATTTTAGTTTCGTCCCCCACAGTTCTTTGGTGTGTCCATTCTTTCCCTATTTTTTGCCATTCTTATAATGTATATAAAAGGTCACCATTTGTTCGCCAAATAACCACAACTGCTAACTTTCCATTAATGCTCTATTCTCTGTTACAGCTTCGGACCAAGGCCACTAACCATTCTCTATTATCCGTTCCTTGATCTTAATTGTGGTGAAGCACCTTGTATAGTCCTTCCCACTGTGGCTTTAAAGTTTTCTCTACAAGAGACTTGGTGACAGGACGAGCGGGAATGGGCTAAAGTTGCGCTGGGGGAGTTTTAGGTTAGATGTTAGGAAGAACTTCTTTACTGAAACGGTTGTTCGACACTGGAACAGGCTGCCCAGGGAAGTGGTGGAGTCACCATCCCTGGAAGTCTTTAAAATACATTTAGATGTAGAGCTTAGGGATATGGTTTAGTGGGGAATGTTAGTGTTAGGTCAGAGGTTGGACTCGATGATCTTGAGGTCTCTTCCAACCTAGAAATTCTGTGATTCTGTGATTCTGTGACTTTGGTGGGACTACCCCCTGTGCTGCCCAGTGCTGAATAAACAAACCTACTGCACAATCTTAGTGACTGTGGAGTCAGTTTCCGCGAATCAGTTTGCCAAAGTCTCCCGTCCTCCCCCCATGGCGGTAACAAGGCCGATGATGGTCACGATGAGGGTCACTAACACACTTGGCGTGTGCGTGCTGCCTGCTGTGTGTGCATGCAGGAAGTGGTTGTATAGCCGAGGGTAAACACACGCACGCACCCACAAGATGGCTGCGCACCCCGTGAGGCAGGGAGAAGCATTTGGCAGCCCCGCACCCCGTGCCAGGGGCAGGGCACGTTTCTGCCAGCCCTGCACAGCCCAGGAGCAGGGGCCGCAGGGGCAGGGGAGCGTGGCTGGGCCTCGCTGCACCATGGTGGCAGATGGGGACAGCCCGGGCAAGGGCTGCTCCTCCTCAGCTTGGGAGGGGATCCCGATGCCTTGGGGAACGAGGAGCTGGCAAGGGAACTCAGCTCGGTCACTGGCAACCCTTGCAGTGCTTTGGGAAACCTGAGAGCTCGCAGAGGACGTGCACGGCCACCAACTGGAGCAGGAGCCTCCGCCCAGAATCACCGTCAGTTCAGTGCCCTCGTCCGGCACCTGAACCTCCAGCCCTGAGCCTGAGCAGTGTGCGGGGTCCGTCCCAGCCCCTGACCGCGGTGCAGGCTGCAGCTGCCTCGTCTCCTGCCCCTTCTTCTGTCAGGGCTCTGCCTCCAGTCCCACCAGCAGCAGGAACTGCTTGGAAAATAAACACATATGATCGCAGGAGTTAAATAACTCTGAGGCTGGATTGTTTCTGGAGGAATTACAGGAATTACAGGAAGTAGCGTTAGAGCTGTCTGAACCTCCAGTGCTGCACAGAATCGAAACCAAGCTGGGGGCTGGTGCGGGAGGAGCCGGTGCTGCCCTTGTGGCATGAGCACAGTTCTCCAGGCTGACACCGGCCGTCACCGCTGTCACTTCCTGGTGGCTGTGAGCGTCCCGCAGGGACAAGACGAACGCCAGCGCAGGACGTGCAGGAAGGTACGGGCGGGAGGCCAGGGGCTGCAAGGCTCCGTGCTGGCGGGGAGAGCTCCGAGGGGGCCTGGGGACCTGGCGCAGGGCAGTGGGGCAGGGAAATGGCTCTTCCCCAGTCCCCTCTGGTCTCTTTCCCTTCTCCCCACTCCTCGCTCCCCATGCTCTGTGTAGCCCCAGCCCCAGCCCAGGGGAGTCCCTGGGCACTGTGCTCAGCCCCAAGCAGGGCCACGGCTGCATGAGTGTCACTGCCCCGAGGGTCCCTGCCACCACACTGCCTTCCCCCGTGCCTGTATTCCTGCGCAGAGTGAGGCTGAGACTGAAGAAACAGACCAGCGGCTCTGTTTCCCCGCAGCACCTCACGGCTCCAGCTGTTATTTTGAATTTCTGTTCCTTGCTGCTGTCCGTGCACTGCTGTGACTGCACACGCAGTAGTGCGATCCAGGGGACCCCGTCTGTCCCAGTGCCACCGCAGCCTGACCCAGCTGCTGTGTCCCCGAGCCTTTCCCACAGTGGGGGCACACAGAGCCCCGCAGCCTCCAGAGGCCAGCAGCAAGGCTTCGAAACCATCCCTGCTTTTAGTGAAAATCCCTTCTGCTGTCAGTGATGCTCCCAGCATCTGGGTGCCTGCTGATGGAGCCCTGGGTGTCTGCTTTTGTCTCTGCAGCCAGGCCGTGGCCATCCATCGTGTCTATTTGCAGCCCGGGCTCGGCGGGGACTTGGAGATGAGGCTGATCCTGGCCGGGAAGGCTGGTGGGGGGAAAAGCGCCACGGGGAACACCCTCCTCGGGGAATGTGTCTTCGAGTCCAAGCTGTCCACCCAGCCAGTGACCGTGAGATGTGCGAGTGCACAGGGGCACTGGGACGGCGAGGACTTCACGGTGGTTGACACGGCCGACATTTTCAACCCCGGAGGTGCCAGCAGCGAGGTGCACCAAGAAATTATCCGCTGCATCAGGCTGTCCTCACCGGGCCCGCACGCACTGCTGCTGGTGACCCAGCTGGGCCGATTCACCAAGGAGGACGAGGAGGCCGCAGAGAGACTGCAGGACATCTTTGGAGCTGATGTTTTGCAGCACACGATCGTCATATTTACCCGTGCGGAAGAGCTGGGGGAGAGATCTCTGCATGACTACGTGTCCTGTACTCACAACAAAGCACTCCACAAGCTGATCGAGAGATGTGGGAACAGGTACTGCGGCTTCAACAACCGGGCAGTTGGAGCCGAACGGGAGCACCAGGTCATGGAGCTGATGGGGGTGGTCCGCTGCATGGTGCGGGTGAATGGGGACAGGTACTACAGCAATGAGATGTACCTGGAGCCCAATTTAACAGAAGAGAAGGTGGCGTATCACATGGCGAGGTACAGAGCAGGCAGGATAAAGAGGGTGCAATTCAGATGGAGGCCATCCCGGAGAGTTGTCCTGGCTTGTGCGCTGATTGTCCTCATCATTATTGTGATCACCCTGGGCATCCTTATCGCACGGCTGTGATGAATCCCAGCACCACAGAGCCACTGAAAGCCTGGGGCTGGAGGCACCTCTGCACCCCACATGTTCTGTCCCTGCCCAGGCAGGGTCCCCAGCGCCGGCTGCCCAGGACCGTGTCCACTGGGTGTTGGACATCTCCGGGGATGGAGACCCCAGCACCGCTCTGGGCAGCCTGTGCCAGCGCTCAGACAACCGCACAGCAAAAAAAGACTTTCCTGATGTCTCAGCGGGTGTCCTTGTGCCTCCAGCAGTGCCCATGCTCTTGTGTCCAGACTCTGGGCACCCCACCAGGCGTTCACACACACAGACGGGACCCCCAAGTCCCAGTGTAATGGAACCAACTCTCCCTTGGAAACGAAGAGGAATTGTCTATTTTTATTGAGCTTCCCTTTAATCAGTTATCATATATGTAGTGCAGGACAAAAAATATGTTTAACTTTTAATCCAGGCTCCCTTTGTTCAGGGACAGAATGCTCCTTCTGGGAGAAACCAAGGAAAGTTGCCAATAGAAAGTAGCCTGAGGTCGTGCTTCGGTGATGTGTGGCCATCGATGGATAAAAGGGGTTAGGGTGCTTCATCGGGGAACACCACCAAGGACCCCCACAGAAAGGAAGGCATGCGCAGAAGTTCCTGAAAAGGAGCCATTAAGAATGATGCCACATGAGCACAAAACTCAGGTAGATTAGAATGAATATGTATTAGATCACTAGAATAGTCATGAATTTAATGTCTCCATGGAGCCAGGAAGTCGACATTGGCTGTGCTTGATGTGTGGAAACTGCACCAAGCTCTGAGGCCTGAATAAAAGCAATCTCTCTCCTGAGTGCGTGCAAATTGGCTTATTGCACACCGGGTGAAGGATCATAGAGTCATAGAATGGTTGGGGTTGGGAGGGACCTTAAAGATCATCCAACTCCAACCCCCCTGAAACAGACAAGGCTGCCTCTCACCGGATGAGGTTGGCCAAGCCCCATCCAGCCCGGCCTTGAACACCTCCAGGGATGGGGCATCCACAGCTTCTCTTGGCAGCCTGTGCCAGTGCCTCACTACACTGACAGTGAAGCGTTTCCTCCTAATGTCTAGCCTAAAGCTATTTTCTTTTATTTTAAGACCATTCCCCCTTGTCCAGCATAATCCACGCGAATAATTTTTTTTTCTCCATCCTCTTTATTAAACCCCTTTAAGCACTGAAAGGTCCCAATGAGATGTTCCCAGAGCCTCCTCTTCCACAGGCTGAACATCCCCATCTCTCTCAGCCTTTCTTCATAGGAGAAAGGATCCACTTTTTCGGTCAACACCAGCACCTCATTGTCCTTGCTGAGCAATTGAAAGGGTGCCCATGTCTTCCCCCACATGGAGTGCTCTGAGGCACGGATGTGGGCCCCTGGCAGCCAGCAGGAATGCACAGCCCTGCCCTTGGCCCCACACTCGGTCCCTGTGCATCCATGTGTGTGGCAGGAGAGGAGGATGGCAGAGCCCCCCTTGCCATGCCAAGCCAAGCCGTGCCGTGCCAGCTGCAGCAGCTAAGCGGATCTCTGGGCCTAGTCGTGCCTGCCTTATGGCTGGTGCCCTTCCCCACAGCCAATGTCCCCAAGAGTTGCCTGGGTGCCATGGGGCAGGGGACACTTGGCTTTCCTCCCCGGCCTGCAGCTCAGTGGGAGCAGCACAGCAGAGGGCAGAGCCATGACGGCTCTCGGCCTACCCCTGCTCTGCACTTTGCACAAGGCCTGGGGCTCCTGCTGGCGCATGCTCGGAGCTGGACAGGTCCCGAATGCAGTGCCATGAGGGCAGGACATCCAGCAGCATCGCCCTGCCAGAGCCCAGGGCCGTGCTCTGTGGACGTGGGGCTGCTCCTGAGCTCTCGCTCAAAGGGCAGCTCCCTGGTCTCACATCTGTGCTGGGTGGGTGCTGAAGCCCTGGTACAGGCTGCCGTGGTATCGATTTCAGACAATTTCACTGTAGCTGCAATGTAGGCTAGTATTGAGATGGTAAATAACAAAGTCTGCCAGGTGCAGATAGGAAAGCAGCCCCTTCCTCCCCCTCAGGGAGGAATTGCAAGTCCTGAATTCAGAACAAGGTGTGCCCGAAAGGCGTTGGACCTGGCTGAGCAAAAGCTTATCAGTAAACAATGCACACATACTGGTTATGTACTGAGCGTAAAACCAAACTGCCAAGTTAATGTACAACTCACGGATGTGAAGCATGTACCAGTTACTCACTTTGCAATTACAAATCATCATGAAAAAGATTTCAGGTTTTGATCTTTTAAAGGGATGGCCCCTGCCAAGTTGTGTTTGAACATCACCCCAACCCCAGTCTAATTAGAGGAACTCCCCTTAAAAGTGTGTGGGAGGAGTATAGAAGTGTTGTCAGGGCCTGCAGGGATGCGACAAGGAAGGCCAAAGCCCACCTAGAGATGAAGCTTGCAAAAGAGATAAAGGATACTAAGAAGTTGTTTGTTTGTTTGTTTGTTTAAAGTATGGAAACAGTAAAAGGAAGATGAGGTTCTAGAAAACAGGAGAGGTGCCTGAACACTGGAGGACAGCCAACGTCACTCCGGTCTTCAAGAAGGGCACGAAGGAGGATCCGTGAATCACAGAATCACAGAACTGTAGGGGTTGGAAGGGACCTCGAAAGATCATCAGGTCCAACCCCCCTGCCAAAGCAGGTTCCTCAGAGCAGGCTGCCCAGGTGGGCGTCCAGACGGGCCTTGAATGTCTTCAGAGAAGGAAACTCCACAACCTCCCTGGGCAGCCTGTTCCAATGCTCTGTCACCGTCACCATGAAGAAGTTCTTTCACATGTCAGTACGGAATGTCCTGTGCTGTAACTTGCAGCCATAGCCCCTTGTCCTATCCACACAAACCACTGAGGAGAGGTTGGCTACATCCTTTTGTCTCCCACCCCTCAGATATTTATATACATTGAGGAGATCCCCTCTCAGTCCTCTCTTCTCCAGGCTGAACAGCCCCAGGACTCTCAGCCTCTCCTCACAGGGAAGATGCTCCAGGCCCCGTATCGTCTTTGTGGCCCTCCGCTGGACTCTTTCCAGGAGATCCCTGTCTTTCTTCTACCGGGGAGCCCAGAACTGGACACAGTACTCCAGGGGAGGCCTGACCAGGGCAGAATAGAGGGGGAGGATCACCTCCCTCGACCTGCTGGCCACACTCCTTTTAATGCACGCTAGGATCCCATTAGCTCTCTTGGCCACAAGGGCAGAGTGCTGGCTCATGGTCAACCTGTCGTCCACCGGGACCCCCAGGTCCTTCTCCTCAGAGCTCCTCTCCAGCGGGTCATCCCCCAGCATGTACTGATACTTCGGGTTGTTTCTTCCCAGGTGCAGGACTCTACACTTGCTCTTATTAAATCTCATTTGGTTTCTAAACTACTGGTGAATCTACAGGCCAGTCAGTCTCACCTCTGTTCCTGGAAAGGTGTTGGAGCAGCTTGTTCTGGATGCCATCTCCAAGCGATTGGAAGAGAAGAAGAAGAGGAGTGGTCAGCATGGATTCACCAAGGGGAAGTTGTGCTCGACCAACCTCGTTGCCTTCTATGATGGCATCACCAGCTGGGTAGATGGGGGGAGAGCGGTGGATGTCATCTACCTTGACTTTAGCAAGGCTTTCGGTACTGTCTCCCATGACATCCTGATAGAAAAGCTGAGGAAGTGTGGGATAGAGGAGTGGACAGTAAGGTGGGTTGAGAACTGGCTGACTGGCTGAGCTCAGGGGGTGGTGATCGGCGGTGCAGAGTCCAGCTGGAGGCCTGTGACTAGCGGTGTTCCCCTGGGGTCGGTGCTGGGTCCGGTCTTGTTCAACATCTTCATCGATGACCTTGATGAGGGAATAGTGTCTGCCCTCAGCAAGTACGCCGATGACACAAAGCTGGGAGGAGTGGCTGACACACCAGAAGGCTGTGCTGCCATTCAGCGAGACCTGCACTGTCTGGAGAGATGGGCAAAAGAAACCAAATGAGGTTTAATAAGACCAAGTGTAGAGTCCTGCACCTGGGAAGGAACAACCGCATGTATCAGTACATGCTGGGGGCATCATTTTTAAAGAGGAAAAAGGAAGACCTGGTTAACCACAGGCCAGTCAGTCTCACCTCTATGCCTGGCAAGATCATGGAGCAGATCCGGCATATCATGCCTGACAAATCTGGTGGCCTCCCATGACAGGGTTGCAGCACTGATGACTGGGGAAGAGCAAATGACATCATCTGCCTGGACTTGTGCAAAGCATTTGACACTGTGCCCCCACACTGGAGGGAAGGGATGCCGTCCCGAGGGATCTCGACAGGCTTGAGAATTGGGCCTGTACGGGCCTCATGAGGGTCAACGAGGCCAAGTGCAAGGTCCTTAATCTGGGCTGAGGAAATTCCAAGCACAAACACAGGTTGGGTGGGGAGTGGATTGAGAGCAGCCCTGAGGAGAAGGACCTGGGATGGTGGTGGAGGACAAGGGGGAATGGTCTTAAAATAAAAGAAAATAGTTTGAGGCTAGACATTAGGAGGAAACACTTCACTGTCAGTGTAGTGAGGCAATGGCACAGGCTGCCCAGAGAAGCTGTGGATGCCCCATCCCTGGAGGTATTCAAGGCCAGGCTGGATGGGGCTTGGCCAACCTCATCTGGGGGGAGGCAGCCTTCTCTGTTTCAGGGGGGTAGAGTTGAATGATCTTTAAGGTCCCTCCCAACCCCAACCATTCTATGACTCTATGATCCTTCACCCGGTGTGCAATAAGCCCATTCGCACGCACTCAGGAGAGAGATTGCTTTTATTCAGGCCTCAGAGCTCGGTGCAGTTTCCACAGATCAAGCACAGCCTGATGTCGACTTCCTGGCTCCATGGAGACATTAAATTCATGACTATTCTAGTGATCTAATACATATTCATTCTAATCTACCTGAGTTTTGTGCCCATGTGGCATCATTCTTAATGGCTCCTTTTAGGGACCTTCTGCGCATGCCTTCCTTTCTGGGGGATCCTTGGTGGTGTTCCCCGATGAAGCACCCTAACCCCTTTTATCCATCGATGGCCACATGTCACCAAAGCACAACCTCAGGCTACTTGCTATTGGCACCGGGGCTTGCTTGGTTTCTCCCAGAAGAAGCATTCTGTCCCTGAACAAAGGGAGCCTGGATTAAAAGTTAAACATATTTTTTGTCCTGTACTACATATATGATAACTGATTAAAGGGAAGCTCAATAAAAATAGACAATTCCTCTTCGTTTCCAAGGGAGAGTTGGTTCCATTACACTGGGACTTGGGGGTCCCGTCTGTGTGTGTGAACGCCTGGTGGGGTGCCCAGAGTCTGGACACAAGAGTATGGGCACTGCTGGAGGCACAAGGATGCCCGCTGAGACATCAGGAAAGTCTTTTTTTGCTGTGCGGGTGTCTGAGCGCTGGCACAGGCTGCCCAGAGCGGTGCTGGGGTCTCCATCCCCGGAGATGTCCAACACCCAGTGGACACGGTCCTGGGCAGCCGGCGCTGGGGACCCTGCCTGGGCAGGGACAGAACACGTGGGGTGCAGAGGTGCCTCCAGCCCCAGGCGTTCAGTGGCTCTGTGGTGCTGGGATTCATCACAGCCGTGTGATAAGGAAACCCAGGGTGATCACAATAATGATAAGGACAATCAGCCCAAAAGCCAGGAGAGCTGTCCTTCAGCTGAATCGCGCGCTCTTTATCCTGCCTGCTCTGTACCTCGCCATGTGATACGCCACCTTCTCTTCTGTTAAAATGGGCTCCAGGTACATCTCATTGCTGTAGTACCTGTCCCCATTCACCCGCACCATGCAGCGGACCATCCCCATCAGCTCCATGACCTGGTGGTCCCGTTCGGCTCCAACTGCCCGGTTGTTGAAGCCGCAGTACCTGTTCCCACATCTCTCGATCAGCTCGTGGAGAGCTTTGTTGTGAGTACAGGACACGTAGTCGTGCAGAGATCTCTCCCCCAGCTCTTCTGCACGGGTGAATATGATGATTGTGTGCCTGAAAACATCAGCTCCAAAGATGTCCTGCAGTCTCTCTGCGGCCTCCTCGTCCTCCTGGGTGAATCGGCCCAGCTGGGTCACCAGCAGCAGCGCGTGGGGGCCCGGGGAGGACAGCCTGATGCAGCGGATAATTTCTTGGTGCACCTCACTGCTGGCACCTCCGGGGTTGAAAATGTCAGCCGTGTCAACCACCGTGAAGTCCTGGCCATCCCAGTGCCCCTGTGCACTCGCACAGCTCACGGTCACTGGCTGGGTGGACAGCTTGGACTCAAAGACACATTCCCCGAGGAGGGTGTTCCCCGTGGCGCTTTTCCCCTCGCCAGCCTTCCCGGCCAGGATCAGCCTCATCTCCTAGCCCCCGCCGACCCCGGGTAGCACGTGGACACGCTGGATGGACACGGCCTGGCTGTAGAGACAAAAGCAGACACCCAGGGCTCCGTCAGCAGGCACCCAGATGCTGGAGGCTGCGGGGCTCTGTGTGCCCGCGCTGTGCGAAGGGCTTGTGGGCTGCTGCTGGGTCAGGCTGCGGTGGCACCAGGACAGATGGGGTTGGACAGCAGCGGAAAACAGTAAAAAGCAAAATATAAGCCAGAACTGCGAGGTACTGCAGGGAAACAGAGCAGTGAGGCAGCCTCAGTGTGTGCAGGATCATGGTGGGGGAAGGAAGTGTGGTGGCAGGGACCCTCGGGTGGTGGCAGGGACCCTCGGGGCAGTGACACTCGTGCAGCCGAGGCCCCACGTGGGGCTGAGCATGGTGCCCAGGGACTCCCCTGGGCTGGGGCTGTGCCCATGCCAAGCATGGGGAGCGAGGAGTGGGGAGAAGGGAAAGAGACCGGAGGGGACAGGGGAAGAGCCACTTCCCTGCCCCGCTGCCCTGCGCCAGGTCTCCAGGCCCCCTCAGAGCCCTCCTCGCCGGCACGGAGCCTCGCGGCCCCTGGCCTCCCGCCCGTACCTTCCTGCACGTCCTGCGCTGGCGTTCGCCTTGTCCCCGCGGGATGCTCACAGCCACCAGGAAGTGACAGCGGAGACGGCCGGTGTCAGCCTGGAGAACTGTGCTCATGCCACAAGGGCAGCACCGGCTCCTCCCGCACCAGCCCCCAGCTTGGTTTCGATTCTGTGCAGCCCTGGAGGTGTGGGCAACTCTAACACTACTTCCTGTAATTCCTGTAATTCCTCCAGAAACAATCCAGCCTCAGAGTTATTTAACTGCCGCGATGATCTGTGCTTAGATTTCAAGCAGTTCCTGCTGCTGGTGGGACTGGAGGCAGAGCCCTGATAGAAGAAGGGGCAGGAGACGAGGCAGCTGCAGCCTGCACCGCGGTCAGGGGCTGGGTCAGACCCTGCACGCCTCTTAAGTGTTGCAAAGGTTGCAAGTGACAAATTTCCCTGCCAGTACCTTGTACTTCTTTCTCCCCACACTCATGGTGCTCCCTGGCTCCGCAGGCACCTGCAGAGCTGGCAGTGACAGCTCCGACCCCTGCTCCCACACCCCCGGGGGCTCCCCGCCACGGGTCAGTGATCACAGCAAAGCATGAAACTGCACCGAAGCGCAGGGCAGCCCGTGTTCCTGAAGGCAGGGAGGTGCGCATGAGAAATGGAGCCTGTGCCTGTGTGCAGCTCCACAGCACGTGAGCCTGGGGTCAGGGCACCTGCAGTGTGACGGCATCTCATCCTGTGTCACGGCACTTCCCTGCCAAAGCTCCTGGTGGTTTCAGATGCTCAGAACTGCTGCCACCAGGGCTATTTCTGCTGTCACGTACGTGTGACCAACCTGTCCCACCTGTCCCTAGGATGCTCTTTGCCCTGGGTCCTACCTCGGTGACGTGGATCCCCTGGAACCTGCGCATGTGGCTTCGATCCCCTGAGAAACAGCAGCAGCACCTGAGGGGCAGCAGGAAGAAGGGCTTTGTCCCTTGGTGTCCCTGACAGGGTCCCTCGGTGTCCCTCCTGGCCCATCACCCTGTGCCCCTTGTCCTTCACCCCTCCACCCCCGTGCCAGACCAAGGTGGCTCCCCACATCCCATGCCAGCCTTCGGGGACATGAGGTGATCTCAGCCCATGGCAGTGAGGGGAATGTGACCAGTTTTGTCCTCAACCTGCTGCCACCAGAGCTGCTCAGGGATGGGTCCCCTCTGCTGGGTGCTGCTCCCCTCTGCCCGGATGCTCTGTGCTCTCCTGGCAGCACCCGGGACTGCCCCACGGCTCGATGCAGGGGACGAGGGCATTTCCTGGGAGCCACCACCTGGCTCTGTCCCTGCGTGTCCCCAGGTCCGCAGCCGTCCCTGCAATGCCCTGGGCACATCCCTGGCATTGAGCTGGAGACAAAGCAGAAATCGCTCAGCAGCCACAAGCTTTGTGCTGCAGTTTTGTGCCGAGAGGCACAGCTCATATGGGGACTGCGGTGCTGTTAGAGGGGGTATCGGCTGCTTGCCATGTTGTTTAGCAACACAGTGCAATTACATGAGAGAAGTAGTACAGCACAGTGTATTCTAGTTCTGCTCTTGCTTCTAGCGCAAGAAGCGGTGGTACAGCCGGACAGCTGCCCTCCAAGCACCGAGGAATGCCTACCACAGAAAGCGCGCAATGCGCCGGACTGCTGCCACGATGAAGTGGCAGACTGAGGACAGAACTGCCACAATGAATTGGCAGCAGCAGCACAGGCACCGCATGTATCGCATGGACCACAGCCCCTGCACACACCGTCTGATCAACCACGGGACGCCGTCTCCTTGTTGGCCCTGCAGCTGCTGCTCCACTTGCTTCGCGAGGTACTCTGCACTTCTCTTCAAAATCCACATCGCTGCGGCTGATGAGCCGCGTGGCCTGGGAGTAGAGCTTGCTCGTGTAATGGGTGCTCTGGTTCTCCTCCAGCACCCTGCTGCACCAGCACCATCAGCTCCTCGACCTGGGCTTCGCGCTCGGCGCCGGCCGCCCGGTTGCTGAAGGCGCAGCACCGTCCCCCGCAGGCCTTGCAGCAGTGCCCGCAGGGCGGCGTTGCTGGGGTGTGCCACGTAGTGCTGCAGGGAGCCACCCCCCAGGTCCTCCTTGCGGGTGAAGAGGACGATGGTGTGCCTCGCAGCCTCGCGCCCCAGCACCCGCCACACTTGCCGGGCGGCCTCCTTGTCCTCCTGCGTGAAGCGGCCCAGCTGGGTCACCAGCACCAGCACGTGCGGCCCCGGCGCCTGACAGCAGCAGGCAGCGGGCAAGCTCGTAGCAGGACCGGGCGCTGTGCTCCGGTGAGTCAAACATGCCGGGGGTGTCGGTGACCACCACCCTGCGGCCCCGCCAGAGCCGGCTCTCCTGGGCACACGTCCGTGTCATCGCCTGTGGCGCCAGGCGTGACTCGAAGGCTGCCCGCCCCAGGATGGTGTTCCCCGTTGCGCTTTTCCCTGCACCGGTCTTTCCGACGACTAGCAGGCGCAGCTCCATGTGCTCCTGGGTCCCCTGGCCTGCTGGCATCAGTGAGGGGAAAGGCTCAGTGAGAGAGCAGCAGTGTGTAAAGCACTGCCTGGGGTGGGGCATGCATGGAAACAGCCCGGCACAGGGGCACAGAGCTGCCTGTGCCACCCCGGGGATGCTCTTACCTCCCCAGGGATACCCGTGACACCCCAGGGATACCCGCACCATCCCAGGGATGCCTGTCCCCTCTCCACGTGCACGGCACTGCTTGGCACATGCCTGCTCTGTCCCCAAAACCCCCCCACTGGCAGGGAGATTGCCAGGAGAGCCCGGTCCCCGCGGTGCCTGCGGTGGCACGAGGACACCGAACCCCCTTCGAGGGGGCTCTGGGGCAGGGCAGTGCCTGGCCCTTGCACCCTTACCGTGATCCTCCCAGGAGCCGCTCGCCATCGTGCTCTGCCGCAGTGTCAGTGCAGGAAGGGTGATGCCAGAGCTGGGTCACAGGCTGCAGGGGGACAGAGAGCAAACACACGTGCAGGGTGAAGGCTTTCCCGCTGGGCTTGGGGGATAAGGGCGCTGGCAGGCTGTGACAAAGCCCTTAGAGAAGGCCGAGCCTGCAGCGCCAGCCCAGCCAGCAGCAGGCTTAGCCATGCACCATTCGCCTGTAGGTGAGCAACGCCGGCTGCTCCCGATCCCTGCGTTCAGAAGCAGCCCCCCAGGGACCTGCTGCACGGTTTCTGCGCTGCTGAGCTGTGACTCTGGAGCCGTGCAGCGCACTGGGGAGCAAACCCGGTGAGCACCAAGCCCCTGCAACCTACCCACGGCTCCGGGTGCAGCAGTGTCCCTGGGCAGGAGGTGCCCGTGCTCGGCCCCCAGCTTTTAGTTTGGGGCTGCGGGGGCGGGAAGCTGAGTGCAGCAGGGCTGGGCGCAAGGTTCACGGGGTGGGGGCTCTGCAAGGACAGCCCAGAAACACTCGTGGGGGGCACGGAGCTGTGGGGGGCGGTTTGCTGCATGCTCTGCGGGGCACACCCAGCCCCAGCTGCAAACACCGAGGGTCCGGCTCTGCTCCTGGGCTGCCTCCCCTCGGCCCCACGGTGACCTCTCAAAAAGCACTGGGAAAGCTCGGTCTGTGCAAATGAGGGAACGCATGGCCTGGAAATACACCTCAGCGGTCATGAGGTTGACGAGACGATGAGGTGCAGCCTCCTACCAGAGGAGTTTTGGTCTGATGCTCGTACAAATACAGCCGGAGGCTCCCTTTTCCACCCAGGCTGTGGTGTGTGAGGCCGCAGTCTCCTGAGCTGGGGACGTTTTGTGGCACAGCACAAACCGGTGTTCAACCCCTGCCCGGCCCCTCTGCTAAGCCCAGGTCCCTCGCAGGACGCAGGGAGCCCCCTCCTCCAGCCCCTGCGTACCACAGCCCCAGCACGCTGCTCGTGCTTTGGACCGAGACACTCGAGCACCGCGTTGTGCTCGGGGCCGTCCATACAGGGCGGCAAGTCCGGACCCCTGTGGGTGCCCGGGCACCCACCGCCCATGGCTCTGCGGTTCCCTGTGGCTGTGCAGTCCCCGTGGCACCGCAGTGTGCCTGTCTGCTCACCATCACCCGTGGGCACGCTGCCCCGCAGCTCCCCTGGATCTGCTGCTGTGCTTGGGCTGCGCGCCTCCTTCACGTCCCCTTCCTGCTCCCCAGCCCCCTCCTGAGACGCTTTTACTTTCGGTCTGTCCGCGAACCTCCCGTGCTCCTGCTTCAGGCACCTCCTCGCCCCCCTCCTCATCCCCGCAGGGGCTCGGGCACTCTTCCACTCTTCCTCCCCATCCTCTTCCTCTCGGCCTCACGTCTCCAGCCCGACCAGCTCGGGATGCCCGCGGGGCTGCCCCTGGCTGCTGGGGGGTCCGCACTGGTGTCTGCTGGGGGCTCTGGGGGGGTCCTAGGCCAGAGCTGCCGTGCCATAGCCACGGGGCAGCCTGCCACCAGGGTCCAGCGTCACCCAGGGGTGCTCCAGCACGGGGGGCACCGCTCCGGGACGCACGGCGCAGCCCCGGTCCCGTTCCCGTGTTCGCCCACTGACCGGAGTCCAACCCGCAGACCCCGGTGCCGCCCGGTCCCGGTCCCCCGGCGGTTCCCTGACCTGCTTGGCTCCGGTACCCGCCGGTCCCCCAGAGCCGCCGGGACCGGGAGCGGCGCCCGGGTGCGCAGCAGCGGCCGCGGAGCTCCCGGAGTGGAGCCGCGACCTCCTGCGTCGGTGCGGGGAACGGCACCGGGAGCCGGGCACCGGGGGTCAGGGACACCGGGGGTCGGGGACACCGGCACTGGGACCTGGGGTCACGGAGACACTGCGGCACTGCGTGTCCCCGGGGGCACTGGGGGCACCGGGACACGGGGATCTGTGACAGGGATATGGGGCTGGAGACATTGGGGCATGGGGACACCGGGTGTCAGGGACATGGGGACCTGGGGATATTCAGACCTGGGGACCTGTGACACAGGGACATGGAGACCAGGGACATCAGGACATGGGGACACCGGGTGGCACGGACATGGGGACCTGGAGGCATAGCTACACAGGGATCTGTGACACAGGGACATTGGGAATGGGGACATTGCTACACCAGGTGTCAGAGACAGGGAGACCTGGGGGCATTGGGACACAGGGATTTGTGACACAGGGACATTGGGAATGCGGACATCGGGACATGGGGACGCTGGTTGTCAGGGACATGGGGACCTGGGGGCATTGGGATACAGGGACCTGTGACACAGGGACATGGGGACTGGGGATGCTGGGACACGAGGACACTGGGAGTCAGGGACATGGGGACCTGGGGACATTGAGACACCGGGACCTGTGACACAGGGACATTGGGAATATACGGACATGGGGACACCAGGTGTCAGGGCCATGGGGACCTGGGAACATTGGGGCACAGGGACCTGTGACACAGGGACTTGGGGACTGGGGACATCACTACACCAGGTGTCAGGGACCTGGGGACCTGGGGACACTGAGACACAGGGACCTGTGACACAGGGACAATGGGAATGGGGACACTGGGACAGTGGGACAGGGGGACACTGGGACACCGGGTGTCAGGAACCTCTGGCCGCAGGGAGCAGCGCCATGGCAGCGGCTGCCCAGCCGGCAGCTCGGGGAGGTGGAGGAGAGCTCCTGACATCTCGGGAACGTGGCCAGAGGGACCCCAAAGGCTTCAGCCTCTGAAGCCCGGGGACACCCAAGGACAAGCACAAGAGCCAGGGGCTGCCAAGGCAAGGCTTGAAATTAAAGCCTGAGGAGCAAAGCTCCATTTCTGGCCAGAACCTGGCTCCCCTGGGGCTCCGGCAGAGCCCTGCCGTGTCCATCACCTTTCAGGCACCTCGGAAGTCGCAGCGGTGCTGCACACCCAGCATGCGTGCTCTGAGAGCACAGGTAAGAAAGGAGAAAAAATACGCAAACCATGCTACACTACAGCAGCTGGGAGAGAGGAGAGAGACCCAGCCCTGCAGCCCCCAGGGGAGTGCAGCAGGAGGCAGGAGGTGCTCCAGGCATGCAGCAGCAGTTCCCCTGCGGGCGAACCTGCAGGGCACAGCCAGCCCCAGCTGCAAACACCGAGGGTCCGGCAAACAGGCTTTTCCCGTAAATGTGCTGAGTTTGCACTGCGCTATTGCAGGAAGCGGGACTAAGGGCAATGCCCTGAGACAATTGCACGGCGCTGCTGCTGGCCCAAGCACAAGCAGCGTGGAGCAGCCCCGCTTCCCCCAACCGTGGCCCTGGGCTCTTACAGGACGATGTCCCCCAGTATCCCACCTTTGCAGCCCTGGGGTTCGGTACCCACATGGCCCCAGGCGCGCAGCAGCCCCGAGCACACAGCAGCCCTGGAGAATGCTGCTCCTGGTGCCCTGCAGCACACCCTGCATGCAGGACGAGCTCCCAAGGTGGGCTCGGGGGTGGCCAGGGGCTTCCGGCACCACAACATCATGCACAGGGGCACTGGGACGGCAAAGACTTCACGGTGGTTGACGCGGCCGACATTTTCAACCCCAGAGGTGCCAGCAGTGAGGTGCGCCAAGAAATTATCCACTGCATCAGGCTGTCCTCCCCGGGCCCCCACGCGCTGCTGCTGGTGACCCAGCTGGGCCCATTTACCCAGGTGAAGGCGAAGGCCGCAGAGAGACTGCAGGACATCTTTGGAGCTGATGTTTTCAGGCACACAATCATCATATTCACCCGTGCAGAAGAGCTGGGGGAGAGATCTCTGCACGACTACGTATCCTGTACTGACAACAAAGCTCTCCGCAAGCTGATCGAGAGATGTGGGAACAGGTACTGCGGCTTCAACAACCGGGCAGTTGGAGCCGAACGGGACCACCAGGTCATGGAGCTGATGGGGATGGTCCACTGCATGGTGCGGGTGAATGGGGACAGGTACTACAGCAATGAGATGTACCTGGAGCCCAATTTAACAGAAGAGAAGGTGGAGTATCACATGGCGAGGTACAGAGTAGGCAGGGTGAAGAGGGAGAGGGAGAAGAGTGGGATGAAGAGTGAAGAGGGAGCTGAAGGACAGCTCTTCTGTCTTGTGGGCTGATTGTCCTCATCATTATTGTGATTACCCTGGGTATCCTTATCGCACGGCTGTGATGAATCCCAGCACCACAGAGCCACTGAACGCCTGGGGCTGGAGGCCCCTCTGTACCCCACGTGTTCTATCCCTGCCCAGGCAGGGTCCCCAGCACTGGCTACCCAGGACCGTGTCCACTGGGTGTAGGACATCTCTGGGAATGGAGACCCCAGCACCGCTCTGGGCAGCCTGTGCCAGCGCTCAGACACCCGCACAGCAAAAAAAGACTTTCCTGATGTCTCAGCGGGCGTCCTTGCGACTCCAGCGTGTGTCCATGCCCTTGTGACCAGGCTTTGGGCACCCCACCAGGCGTTCACACACACAGGAACCCCCGAGCCCTCTTCCCCAGGCTGTGCAGCCCCAGCTCCCAGCCTCTGCCCATCTTGCAGATGACTCCTTGTCCTGGTGCATTGGAACCAACTTTCCTTTGGAAAGAGAAGAGGAATTGTCTATTTTTATTGAGCTTCCCTTTAATCAGTTATCATATATGTAGTACAGGATAAAAAATATGTTTAACTTTTAACCTAGGCTCCCTTTGTTCAGGGACAGAATGCTCCTTCTGGGAGAAACCAAGGAAAGTTGCCAATAGCAAGTAGCCTGAGGTTGTGCTTAGGTGACGTGTGGCCATCAATGGATAAAGGGGTTAGGGTGCTTCATCGGGGAACACCACCAAGGACCCCCACAGAAAGGAAGACATGCGCAGACGGGTCCTAAAAGGAGCCATTAAGAATGATGCCACATGAGCACAAAACTCAGGTAGATGAGAATGAATTTGTATTAGATCGCTAGAATAGTCATGAATTTCATGTCTCCATGTAGCCAGGAAGTCGACATCAGCTGTGCTTGATGTGTGGAAACTGCACCGAGCTCTGAGGCCTGAATAAAAGCAATCTCTCTCCTGAGTGCGTGCAAATGGGCTTATTGCACACCGGGTGAAGGATCATAGAGTCATAGAATGGTTGGTGTTGGGAGGGACCTTAAAGATCATCCAACTCTACCCCCCTGAAACAGACAAGGCTGCCTCCCACCAGATGAGGTTGGCCAAGCCCCATCCAGCCAGTCCTTGAACACCTCCAGGGATGGGGCATCCACAGCTTCTCTTGGCAGCCTGTGCCAGTGCCTCACTACACTGACAGTGAAGCGTTTCCTCCTGATGTCTAGCCTGAAACTATTTTCTTTTAGTTTAAGACCATTCCCCCTTGTCCACCACCACCCCAGGTCCTTCTCCTCAGGGCTGCTCTCAATCCACTCCCCACCCAACCTGTATTTGTGCTTGGAATTTCCTCAGCTCAGATTAAGGACCTTGCACTTGGCCTCGTTGAACCTCATGAGGCCCGTACAGGCCCAATTCTCAAGCCTGTCGAGATCCCTTGGGATGGCATCCCTTCCCTCCAGTGTGGGGGCACAGTGTCAAATGCTTTGCACAAGTCCAGGCAGATGATGTCAGTTGCTCTTCCCCAGTCATCAGTGCTGCAACCCTGTCATGGGAGGCCACCAGATTTGTCAGGCATGATATGCCGGATCTGCTCCATGATCTTGCCAGGCATAGAGGTGAGACTGACTGGCCTGTGGTTAACCAGGTCTTCCTTTTTCCTCTTTAAAAATGCGGGTTTTCTTTCCCCTCTTCCACTTAGCGGGAAGTTCACCGGACTGCCACGACTTCTCAACTGTGATGGGCAGTGGCTTAGCAACTCCATCCAGTCTCGGGGCGTGGGGCTGCTCCACACCACTCGTGCTTGGGGCAGCCGCAGCACCCTGGAATTTGCTCAGTGCGGTGCTTTTAGTCCCTCTCCCTGGAATAGGGCGGTGGGAGCTCAGCGCATTTGCAGGAAAGGCCAGTTTGGCAGAGCTCTGGAGTCTGCAGGCTGCAGAGAGGAGGGGAAGGACACGGGCTGAAGGACACAGGGCCCTTTCGCAGGTGGCTGTGCGAGCAGGGGGTTTGCTGCTCACTCTGTGGATGCCTCTGAGCCACGGAGCGCCTGCCCCACCTGCAAACACGCTGGGGCTGCGAGCCCGGGGCTGCAGGTCCCCCAGACAGGCTTTTCCTGTAAATGTGCTGAGCTCCGGGCAGTGCAGAGAGTGAAACTCAGAGAAAGGGGAAGCAAAGGTAACCTGAGCTCGGCTCCCCACTTCCTCTGCCCTGCAGCAGCACTAGAGCTGATTTCCTGAAAAGGGCTGGAGCTGTGCACACACCACACCTCTGTGCACCTGCACAGGCTTTGTGCAGCCCCTCTTCAGGCCGGTTTTGCTGATTACAAAGCCCTTTCTCGCCATCCCTGCCCACCCCATCTTCACCAGGCTGAATGTCCCTGCCTTCCCCCTGCTCCCAGTTCAAGGTTCCCCTCATCAGCGTTGAGGCTCATGTGCTATGATGAGGAAGAGGAGCACTTGGAAATGCTTCTTGAGCGCTGGCAGAGCAGGGTCCCCTCCTGCAGGCACAAAGGGGTGCAAGGGTGGGAGTCCCGTGCAATCCCACAGCAAGGGCCATGGCTCAGGGATGGGACCCGCACAGTGGAGGCACCTGATGTCCCCTGCATGGTCGCAGCCCCCATCCTGAGCCTCCTCGCCCAGTCCTGATTAACACCTTCATTATCAGTCTGGGAGATGCAGTATCATAGAATCATAGAACCATTGAATATGCGGAGTTGGAAGGGACCAAAGCCCTTTCTTGCCATGTCTGACAGCGGTGTCCAAATGCGGTTTGGACACCACGTCCCTGGGCTGCCTGTCCCAGTGCCCGACCACCTCTGGGTGCAGACCCTTTCCCTAACCCCCAGCCTGACCCTCCCTGTCCCAGCTCCATGCCGTTCCCTCGGGCCCTGTCGCTGTCCCCAGAGAGCAGAGCTCAGCGCCTGCCCCTCTGCTCCCCTCCTGAGGAAGCTGCAGGCCATGATGAGGTCTCCCCTCATCTCCTCTTCTCCAAGAGGACAACAGTGTTTGCTTTGGGCTGAACAAACAAAGCAACTTCAGCCGCACCTCATATGCCTTGCCCTCTACACCCTTGACATCTTTGTAGCCCTCCCGTGGACACTCCGTAATAGTTTCATGTCCGTTTCATACTGTGGTGTCCGGAACCACACGCACTTCACAGAATCACAGAACTGTAGGGCTTGGAAGGGACCTCAAGAGATCATCGGGTCCAACCCCCCTGACAAAGCAGGTTCCTTAGAGCAGGTTGCCCAGGTGGGCGTCGAGATGGGCCTTGAATGTCTCCAGAGAAGGAGACTCCACAACCTTCCTGGGCAGCCTTCGAGATACTTCGAGTCCTGCACCTGGGAAGAAACAACCCGAAGTATCAGTACAGGCTGGGGGATGACCTGCTGGAGAGTAGCCCTGAGGAGAAGGACCTGGGGTGATGGTGGGCCACAAACCAGCTGTGCCCTGGGCTGCAGTAGCATCAGCACAACCAGCAGGGCGAGGGAGGGGATTGTCCCCCTGTGCCCCGCTCTTGTGAGACCCCCCCGGGCACTGCCTTCACTGTGGGGCCCCAGCACCGGGATGTGGAGCTGCTGGAGTCCAGAGGAGGCCACGGGGATGCTCGGAGGCTGGAGCAGCTCTGCTGTGAGGAGAGGCCGAGGGGCTTGGGGTTGCTCAGCCTGGAGAGGAGAAGGCCCAGGGGAGACCTCACAGCGGCCTTCAGGGCCTCCAGGAGGGCTGGGGAGGGACTCTTGGGCGGGGGGTGTAGGGATAGGACCCTACAGGCAGGTGGCAGCTGCCTCATCTCCTGCCACTGCTCCAGCTCTGGGCGCTCCCTGGAGCGATTGCACCAAGAGAAAGCGGTTCAAAATTAAACACTGAAACCTAAATTTTGAGGTCCCTTCCAACCCAAACCATTGTAGGATTCACTCTGTGATTCATCTGGCCACAAGTGCCATGCTGCCAGGTGCATTCTGTGTCTCATGTGTGGACACTGGTGTTATATATGGAGTGGTAATTTGTGTGGAGAAAATGGTTGATATTAATAAAGAAGGGGGAGATTTTGGAATGTGGCCATGGGGGTTGGAAAACCCTGTGACTGAGATAACATTAGCCTCTTAACGACGAGGCCATCAGGAATATAAAAGAGTTTAGAGGGAACAAAGAAGGGTGGTTCAGGAGACTCCATGCAGTCTGGGGTTTCTTGTTCTCCAGCTGGTTCTCTTGTTCTCCAGCAGTTGAGGCATGGAAGTTTCTGGGTGTTTGCTGTTGTTGTTACATTCAAAGTTGTCTGACCAATGAAAAGTTGTTTGGAAAAGAACTGCTGTGGAGAGAAGGGTATAAGAGGGGAGCCTGCCCTCAAGATTAAAAAAAAAAAAAAACAAAAAACAAGAAGGCAACATGAAGTTACATCAATAAAGAAGCAGGAAAAAGAAGTGAAGAGGAACAGGCTGGCAGAATGGAGACCAGGACGGGAGCAGGCACATGGATTGCCTCACGAAGACAGGTTCGGCCAGACTCAGCAAACCACTCAGAGAAGCTTGTACAGAAAGTCGCTGGAAATAGGCAGCACTGGAGCTGGAGAGAAGCTCGAGCTGAGAGAAGCAGACCTGTGCACACAACTGCCTCTTGCTGGTCAGTAGTTGCGCATTATGGAGAATCTGTCCTTAGGAGCAAAGACTGTCCTGGTAACCTTACAGCTTATTCTCCTTATTAACAATCGGACAGTTTATGATCCTGAAATATGGGACCAAACTGAGGTGAAGGTGTGGGACTCTGCAACTAAAAACGACAAGGTTGCAGTGGGATTGCTGGGCACCTGGTGAGCAATCTCTGAGGCCTTAAAGAGCCATGTGGAGCCACAGTCAGAAATGTGTCGCTTGCCAGATACTGAGGGAGCTGCGGGCTCGTTTACCGATCCGACTGCTACGCCATTACCATGGGCCCCTCTGCTGCTACAGCCATCGAAGGCTTTTGCTGTTGCACCCCCTGTTGACCTGGATGTGCCTTTTGACCCAGGCCTCTTGCCTTGAAAAGGAGACAACTTAAAGCAAGACATTGTTCAAAAGGAACGGAAAATGGAGACTGTTAAGTTATGGAACTTAAAGGATTGCTTACTTGGTTACCTATCCTGATTGTATGTATGTATTGGCATATTCGAGTTATTATGTAAAGCAATGTTCTGTATACATGTATTTAGAATGTTTGATGTTCGTGTGTGCGTGTTTGTAGAGCATAGACTCCCCGCGCACCCAGCACTGTTTACTTGCCTTTTATAAATATTCTTTTACGTTACTAAATTCAGAGTTGAGACTTCATTTATAACAACACCCAGCCTGGCTCCAGGAAAAGCCTCCTGAGCCTGACGAGCCCTGCTCTTGTCTGGGGGAGGAAGACAGCGCGGACGGTTTGTTTGTGAGAAAGGAGCGGTGGCGAGAAGTACTCAAACTAAAACGCCCTTCATCGGGAGGAGCTTTTGTTGCCTTACTTGCTCAGTTCAGTAACTTTCTGTTTCTGTTCTTGACGACCAATGACTTTGCACATGATCTAGCTCCTAACCGGCTCGTACACGGTCATTTGTTCAACAGAGCTGGTTTGCATGTCACCGAAATCCCCTCCTACTCCCGCTCCCGCTAAATGCTGCCGAACTTTACAGGCAGCTGCCACACTTCAGCCACTGCACCTACAGCAGAAGACCTGTCACCGTCAGAAGCTGCAAAGTTCAGACTTGGGGACAAAAGCGCACAGGTGCCTCTGGTGAGTTATCTGAAATGCTGCTACTGTCATTCCAGGGAGAAAAAAGAAAAAAAGGTTGTAATGCCTGCTTTCAGGGAGGGGGTTATTACTTCCTTAAGTAAAGTTCAGGGAGTCTTTGTCTTCCAGGTGAGAACAGAAAGTCCCTGGAGAATGGAAATCCTGATTGCATTTCTGTAAGGGTGATTTAACAAACTCCTTGTCTTCAGGAGTGTCTGTTCTGGTAGCACTCGCTGGGTCCTCACAGGAGCGTTGACTTCACAAGGGTGTCTGCACCATAGGAATATCAAAAGCGTGAAAAAGTTCTCTGACCTGCCTTAAAGTGTCTAGGAAGAAATTGACTCATTTAAGTTACAATCAAGCTTTTAAATATATTTCCCCCTAAGCGTGCCATATGAACCTTTCACATACTTTCTGATTACTGAAGCCATTCTTAATTTTTTCCTTGTTTTGTGGACAGAACAGTCTTCTTGGGGGTGTTACAATGTAGTACCTGTCCTAGCTTTTTGTTTTAGCTGTGGTTTGTTCTACACGCCTGTTCTGTTGTGGGATTTCCCAGCTGACACGGGTTCTAGTTGTTTCATTGCACATCTGTTTCTTACTGTGATGCCGAGCCACGGAGGCTCAAACGGAGGCTGGTTGGTGCAACCCAGGGCTCGGCAGGGCACGAGCATCTCTCAGCTCAAATGAAGGGCTCAGGTACCCATGGGTCTGGGTGGATCATCTGCTTGGACTGGGGTGCCACGTGTGGTTAGGTGATAAAAGCATTGTTCTCGTGCTGGCAAGGAACAGAAAGCAGAGAGCTGAGGACACGGTCAGGGGCAAGACGTGAACTGTATTGCACCTGGCCCGAGCGCTGTGACCTGAGGAGGTAAGAGGCAAGCACAGCAGCCTCTGCTGGAGCCATGCGAAGTGAGCGGTCTGTGCACCGGGTGGCTCTGAAGGGTCTCGGCATTTGGGGGTACTTTAGGAACTGCTAAGCCTGAGCTAGCTGGCAGGGAGGCAGAGGAAAGACAGCTGAGAAGTGGTGTGGCTTTGCTGTGGATGGGGTAATTCCTCCAGTAATGACTGAATTATTTAGTGACGTGATTTTAGTTTACTTTGAGTAGTGTATAGTCTGTGCTTAGTTTTGGAGCAGTTTATCTTGCTGAAATCACTCGAGGCAGAGTCCAGAGCTGAAACAGGGGCAGGAGACGTGACAGCTGGCACCCATGGCATGATCAGTGGCTGGGACGGACCCTGCACACTGCTCGGGGCTGGGACAGACCCCGCACACCGCTCAGGCTCAGGGCTGGAGGTTCAGGTGCCGGATGAGGGCACTGAACTGACCGTGATTCTGGGCAAAGGCTCCTGCTCCAGTTGGGGGCCGTGCACGTCCTCTGCGAGCTCTCAGGTTTCCCAAAGCACTGCAAGGGTTGCCAGTAACCGATCTGAGTTCCCCTGCCAGCTCCTCGTTCCCCAAGGCATCGGGATCCCCTCCCAAGCTGAGGAGGCGCAGCCCTTGCCCGGGCTGTCCCCATCTGCCACCACGGTGCAGCGAGGCCCAGCCACGCTCCCCTGCCCCTGCGGCCCCTGCTCCTGGGCTGTGCGGGGCTGGCAGAAACGTGCCCTGCCCCTGGCAGGGGGTGCGGGGCTGCCAAACGCTGCTCCCTGCCTCACGGGGTGCGCAGCCATCTTGTGGGTGCGTGTGTTTACCCTCGGCTGTACAACCACTTCCTGCATGCACACACAGCAGGCAGCACGCACACACCGGGTGTGTCAGCGACCCTCATCGTGACCATCATCGGCCTTGTTATCCGCCATGGGGGGAGCACGGGAGACTTTGGCAAACCTTGCTCAAAATCCCTTATTCTTCTTTCAGGCTTCCCCTCGGAGTGAGCTCAAAATGGAAGACGCTAAGATGGAAGGTGAGCGCCTTACCCACTGCACGCAGCAGCTTAGAGTCCCATGGTCACAGAGCCATAGAGTGGCTGCCCCCAGCCCCATCCAGCCTGGCCTTGGGCACTGCCAGGGATGGGGCACCCACAGCTCCTGGGGACAGCCTGCGCCAGGCATCACCACCCTCATAGTAAAGAATTTCTGCCTCGGATCTAACCAAAAACCACCCTCTTCTACCTTAAAGCCGTCACCCCATGTCCTATCCCTACACCCGCTGCCCAAGAGTCCCTCCCAGCCCTCCTGCAGCCCTTGCAGGCACTGAGGGCTGCTGTGATGTCTCCCTAAAGCAGAATTTCACAGAATTTCTGGGCTGGGAGAGACCTCAAGATCATTGAGTCCAACCTCTGATGTGACACTAACAGTCCCCACTAACCCATATCCCTAAGCTCTACATCTAAACGTCTGTTAAAGACTTCCAGGGATGGTGACTCCATCACTTCCCTGGGCAGCCTGTTCCAATGTCTAACAACCCTTTCAGTAAAGAAGTTCTTTCTAACATCCAACCTAAAACTCCCCTGGTGCAAACAGCCTTCTCCTTTAGCAGCCTCCTCATTCAGTCAGCCGGGCGCAGTGCTGCTGAGGGTGAGGCTGGGTTTGCGTCCTCGTGCAGCCTCACGCACGCTTGTGCACGCGGTGCACAGGCCCTCTGGGGAGGCCACGGGCTCGAGGATTTCCCGAGGCTGCCTCTCCTCTTCCCACTCCTTAGGCTGTGCTGTGCCAGGCTCAGGGCACATGGGGCAGCAGCCGTTGGTTACAGCCGGAGGCACAGCGCAGGGTGCAAAGTCCTGCCCCAAAACTTCGCTATCTGTGTGCCTGAGCCAGCTCTGGCCCTGCTGGGGCCGTGCAGGGCAGGCCGAGGGCCTGCAGTGATCCAGCACAGAATCCAGTGGGTGTTTTTGCTCAGCACGTGACTTCTTGTAAAGGAAGTGCTTCAGCCCAGCTGTTTGAGCACTCTGTGCATTCCTGGGCTGCTGGAGAGCTGCAGCATGCACTTCTGCTTTCTCTTTCTGCCTTTGGAAGAGGTCTGGGTGCTGGCCCTCTGAGGCAGCCTTATCCAGACTCCCCTGGGGTCCCTCTTGTTGCTCCTGATGGTCCCCGGGGACCGCTGCTGGGGCCGCTAACCCTAATTCCTGTGTTTTTGCAGTAAAAACCCTTTCCTTCTCACCCCTGGGAGTGTGGCGTGCAGGGGGTGTCCCGGCACCACAGGGCCGTGGGGTTCAGACACGTGTCTCTGGTTGTTCCCCCAGGACCCAAGCTGAACATCCTGCTCGTGGGCAAAACTGGAAGTGGGAAGAGTGCAACAGGGAACACCATCCTTGGCAAGAGAGCATTTGAAACTATGGTGTCAGTTGATTCAGTAACCAAAAGCTACAGTGCAGAGAGTGCCTCATTCCGTGGAAGAGACATTACCGTTATCGACACTCCTGGCTTTTTTCACACCCAGAGAGCCAATAAGGAAACAGCTGAACTGATTGGAAATGCTCTTCGTCACTTCTATGGAGGGGTGCATGCTATCATCCTGGTGATGCAACTGGCCGATACCAGTAAAGAAGAGGTGGAAGTGGCTGAGTGGGTGACAAAGATTTTCCATACTGAAGCACAGAAGTACACGATCCTGTTATTCACCCGAGCAGAAGATCTTGGGAGTCCAGATGATATCCGCGATTTCGTGGAAAAAAGCACGTACCTCAGTGGGATTGCAGAAAAATGTGGAAATAGGTACATTGCTTTCAGCAACATAGCAGCAGAGCAGAGAAGGAAACAGCAGGTTGCAGACCTCATTAAAATGATTGATGCGATGGTAGAGAAGAACAAAGATGCTCCGTGTTACACGCGAGAAATGCTGGAGGAACATACACGGACGGCTTTTGGAAAGTATTGTACCATACTCTAGCCAACAAGGCTTTGGTCAGACGGGCGATGTTTCCTCTCTTGTGCCTTTCCTGCCGCGCTCTGAAGATCACTCTCTCCTTCCTCTCCTGATGTTTCCTCCTGTCCCGTCAGTGACCTACCTTTTCCCCTGGCCCGTGCCATTGCTCTCCTGACAGGCTGCGAGAGTGCAATGGGTGTCTGGCGACGTGTAATTCTCCTCTGCTGCTCTGTTGTGCTGGGAAGCCGGAGACCTTGGCTGGGTGGCAGAGAGCTGCACTGCCCTGCTGGCAGCACCACTGCGCTGACTCTCTCCTCCCTGGTCTGAAGACACGGCAAGCTGAAAGCAATGGGAACATCAGGACTGTGAGATGTGCCCCCTCAGACCAGAGATCAGCCTGGAGTGCTGCTTCCGAGATCAAAGCCTCTTGTCGTCCCCGTGGCAGCCAGGGCTCTAGGAACTTCTCCAGGCCTTCGGGAGGGTTCGTGGTGCCAGCCTTGGTCCCTCTGCAGTGGGATGCTGCTGGTGTCACTGGCTGTGCTGCCCCTGCCTTCGCTGGGCAATGCGAGTAATTGTATGTGATCGCTGGGTCTACAGAAACTCATCTAATAAATGCCCATAAATGCCCATAAATGCTGAGGCCTTGCTGTGTGGAGAGACGCCCTTCAGTGCACTGTGACCCGCAGTGCTGAAAAAGCCATTTGGGAGGGTGGAGAATGGTCCAGGTGCATTCAGGATCAGGCCCAAGCTGCAGCTCCTCCCAGGCTGGGGTTTGGTGGTGGCCATGAGCTGTGCAAGGGCGCGAGGTCTCACTGCTTGCCATGTGAGTGCAGCAGGCACGGGAAGCTCTGTGGCCATACCTGAGCGTGGGGCTGGGGGAGTGCTCAGGGGGGGCTGCCTGACTCACCCCAGGTTCTTCTCCCACCCAGAAAGGCTGCGGAAAGCAGCCTAGGAGGGGGGAGGAATCCCAGAACGCCAGGCTGACCTCTTCCTCAAGCGATCACAGTGAGAGAAACTGCTTCAGAGCTAAACACAGACCGTGCATCTCTGCAATTAAATATCTCTGAGGTTGAATTGTTACTGGAGGAAATACCAGAGTTAGTGTAATAGCTGCGTTGTAGGTAGCGCTGTATGGGAATCAGTGTATGTAAATGTACCACGTGACCTCCAGTGGCATAAGCAGTATCATTGCTATCCTAAAACCATCCCAGCGTGTCCTGAAGGCATCCGGTACTGACTCCTGGCTGCCCCCATCCCTCTGCATGATGAGAGGAATCACAGAATCCCAGAACCATCTAGACTGGAAGAGCCCTCCAGGATCACCCAGTCCATCCTCTGAGCTAACACTAACCAGTCCTCCACTAAACCATATCACAGAATCACAGAATTTCTAGGTTGGAAGAGACCTCAAGATCATCGAGTCCAACCTCTAACCTAACACAAACAGTCCCCACTAAACCATATCCCTAAGCTCTACATCTAAACGTCTTTTAAAGACCTCCAGGGATGGTGACTCCACCACTTCCCTGGGCAGCCCGTTCCAGTGCCTAAAAACCCTTTCAGTAAGGAAGTTCTTCCTAACATCTAACCTAAAACTCCCTTGGCGCAACTTTAGCCCATTCCCCCTTGTCCTGTCACCAGGCACGTGGGAGAACAGGCCAACCCCCACCTCACTGCAGCCTCCTTTAAGGTATCTGTAGAGAGCGATAAGGTCGCCCCCGAGCCTCCTCTTCTCCAGGCTTAACAAGCCCAGCTCCTTCAGCCGCTCCTCATAGGACTTGTTCTCCAGGCCCCTCAGCAGCTTCGTCGCCCTTCTCTGGACCCGCTCAAGCACCTCGATGTCCTTCTTGTAGCGAGGGGCCCAAAACTGAACACAGTACTCGAAGTGCGGCCTCACCAGAGCCGAGTACAGGGGGACGATCACCTCCCTAGCCCTGCTGGTCACACAGTTTCTGATACAAGCCAGGATGCCGTTGGCCTTCTTGGCCACCTGAGCACACTGCTGGCTCATATTCAGCCGACTGTCCACCATCACTCCCAGGTCCTTCTCTGCCTGGCAGCTCTCCAACCACTCATCTCCCAGCCTGTAGCTCTGCTTGGGGTTATTGCGCCCCAGGTGCAGGACCCGGCACTTGGCCTTGTTGAACTTCGTGCAGTTGACCTCAGCCCATCGGTGCAGCCTATCCAGATCCTCCTGCAGAGCCTTCCTACCCTCGAGCAGATCGACACACGCACCTAGCTTGGTGTCATCTGCAAACTTACTGAGGGTGCACTCAATGCCCTCGTCCAGATCATTGATGAAGATCAGTGATGGAGATATCACTGAGCTCTAAATCTAACGTCTTTTAAACACCTCCAGGGATGGTGACTCCACCACTTCCCTGGGCAGCCCATCCCAATGCCTCACAACCCTCTCGGTAAAGAAGTTCTTCCTAATAGCCAACCTAAACCTCCCCGGAGCAACTTTAGCCCGTTCCCCCTCGTCCTGTCACCAGGCACGTGGGAGAACAGACCAACCCCCATCTCGCTACAGCCTCCTTTAAGGAATCTGTAGAGTGTGATAAGGTCTCCCCTGAGCCTCCTCTTCTCCAGGCTGAACAAGCCCAGCTCCCTCAGTCGCTCCTCAAAGGGAAGGGGCAGAAGAAGTGTGTTGGAGGGGTTGGGGGCTGTGTGCCACAAACTGCTGGAGACTCTGAGGGCCCCAACACATTTCCTGGGGGTACGGAATACTTCTGCTGACCTGGAAGAAGGCTTGAAATGCAAGCAGCCCTGTAATAATTCTGCACCGCTTGCTTAGAATGGCAAGAAAATGAGCATTTAACCTGAGGATTACGGCAAAATGCAGGCCCTGTGTGCACCTCCACCTGGGGCGTGTCTGTTGCTGTGTTAAGAGCAGCAGCAGTGGTGTGGGTAGGGGGGGTCGCCACAAGAACAAGCCAAGGCTGGGCCTGCTCCCCTCCTCTGCCACACTTTTTCATTTCCAGCCAATTTTTGCATTCAAACACTGGAGCACAGGCAAGGGGGCCCGGGGAAGGACGCTGGGTTAGAAGCAGAGCAGCACTGCGAGGCTCATGCTGAAATGCAGACAGCGAAGTGGACAACTAACCCCAAAGTCACACCTCCAGAGCTGCACAGGATCGAAACCAAGATCTGGGCTGGTGCATGGGTATTTGTAGGCTGCCGAGTGTCCGTGCCAGGAGGCTGGATACTCTCCTGTGCCTGCACCAATGCCGGGCACAGTGGTGCCAGCAGCCATAGCCGTGCTCCAGGCTGCCAGTGCCAACGCTGCCACCAACGTCGCTGCCAATGCTGCTGCCACTTTGTGGTGGCTGCGAGGGTTCCACGGGGACACTGCCTCTGCTGCAGCGTGGCCATGCTGGGTGTAGATGGTGAGGCCAGCATGGAAGCTGCTTGAAGACTCTGTGCCGCTGGGAGGGTTTCAAGGTGGCCCAGGGCACGCATGTGCCTGGGTGCTGCAGGAGCCTCATGGGGAGGGTGCTGCTCTCTCCTGCAGCCACCCAGGGACCTGGTGTAGAGGCCATCCCTTTAAAAGATCAAAACCCAAAACCTTTTTCATGGTGATTTGCAAAGTGAGTAACTGGTAAGTGCTTCACATCCGTGAGTTGTACATTAACTTGGCAGTTTGGTTTCATGCTCGGTACATAACCAGTATGTGCTCATTGATTACTGATAAGCTTTTGCTCAGTCAGGCAAAAAAAAAAAAAAAAAAAAAAAAGGAAAAGGAGAAATTAATGTCTGGTCAAATAAAATTGTACCTATACGGTATAGAAGAGTGTCAAGTAGGTTGTGAATCTGTAGTATTCAACCAGCGAGGAAACAGGAAGAAATCAGGTGTCGGGAAATAGGGGACACAGGGCTATGGTAAACTTGTGCTGTGCACTCCCGCTTGCAGGATATGAAAAACAAAGTTATGTTTTTGCAGTAGAGAATTACTTTTCTGTATTCCAAGATAGTTGTGTAGTCATAATAAGGAGAATTGCTAAGTACATGTAGGTAAGTGAACAGTAGAAAGCCTCACTGTTACTAAATAAGGTGGAAGCTTGAGAAAAACAGGATGAGCAGTGTGGGAATAGTAAAACAAAGATCACAGGTTCTTAAAACATAAGAAAAAAAAAAAGGAAAAGGGAGAAATTAAAGGGTTGAAAAAAAGAAGAATTGTACATGTATGGTATAAAGGAGTGTTGAGTAGCTTGTGAACTTGTAGTACTCAGAGAATGAGGAAACAGGGGAGGCAATGACATGTCGGGTAATAGGGAATAAAAGGTTATGATGTGTTAACTATAATGGGCTCCTAATTGGCAGGACGCCTGCCACTGCAGTCATGAATGAAATAGCTTCACAGAACATCCTGTCTGAAGAAAATTATTTGAGATTTTTCTCACAAGGATGCCCACCATTGCAATCGCGATTAAAACAGCTTCATGGAAGGTCCCATCTAAGAAAATTATTGAGATTATTATCACACCATCAATAGATAAAAGGGGTTAGGGTGCTTCATTGGGGAACACCACCGAGGACTCCCACAGAAAGGAAGGCATGTGCAGGAGGGCCTGAAAAGCAGCCATTAAGAATGATGCCGCGTGAGCACAAACTCAGGTAGATTAGAATGAATTTGTATTAGATCGCTAGAAGAGTCATGAATTTCATGTCTCCATGTAGCCAGGAAGTCGACATTGGCTGTGCTTGATCTGTGGAAACTGCACCAAGCTCTGAGGCCTGAATAAAAGCAATCTCTCTCCTGAGTGCGTGCGAATTGGCTTATTGCACACCAGTTGAAGGATCATAGAGTCATAGAATGGTTGGGGTTGGGAGGAACTTTAAAGATCATCCAACTCTACCCCCCTGAAACAGACAAGGCTGCCTCCCCCCAGATGAGGTTGGCCAAGGCCCCATCCAGCCTGGCCTTGAACACCTCCAGGGATTGGGCATCCACAGCTTCTCTGGGCAGCCTGTGCCATTGCCTCACTACACCGACAGTGAAGCGTTTCCTCGTAATGTCTAGCCTCAAACTGTTTTCTTTTAGTTTAAGAGCATTCCCCCTTGTCCTCCACCACCACCCCAGGTCCTTCTCCTCAGGGCTGCTCTCAATCCACTCCCCACCCAACCTGTATTTGTGCTTGGAATTTCCTCAGCCCAGATTAAGGACCTTGCACTTGGCCTCGTTGAACCTCATGAGGCCCGTACAGGCCCACTTCTCAAGCCTGTCCAGGTCCCTCTGGATGGCATCCCGTCCCTGCAGGGTAGCAGCTGCACCACCCAGCTCAGTGTTGTCAGCAAACTTGCTGGGGGTGCCTCAATTTCACTGTCCGTGTCACTGATGTTTAAATAGTACCAGTCCCACTGCTAGGAAGAAACAACCCGAAGTATCAGTACAGGCTGGGGGATGACCCGCTGGAGAGGAGCTCTAGGAGAAGGACCTGGGGTCCCGGTGGACGACAGGTTGACCATGAGCCAGCACTCTGCCCCTGTGGCCAAGAGGGCTAATGGGATCCTAGCGTGCATTAAAAGGAGCATGGCCAGCAGGTCGAGGGAGGTGATCCTCCCCCTCTATTCTGCCCTGGTCAGGCCTCCCCTGGAGTACTGTGTCCACTTCTGGGCTCCCCGGTAGAAGA